AAGAGTTGAAAATTAAATTGGTCAAATTTAAAATTTCCGAACTCGAAGGCAACGAGCTTCACGCCATTTCGTTCTGGGCTGCCGTCGGAGAGGTGCTGGTCATAAATATCGCGGGCAAAGTCCTCATCGTAAAACCTTGGCGACAAGGCCATGGCGTTCTTAAGCACCGTGCTACGATTGTTCTGCAAAAAATCGACGTCGACGAGCAAGTCGAAGACATCTTTAACGAATTCTTTGTTTCGGTGCTGAACGCATTCCGCGATCGTGGATTGTTTTTTCGAGAAATGCGCAGGCGCACAAGTCGTGAGGAGATTTTTAGCCCAGGCCACATCGCTATCGGTCAGGTCGTGGCACGATGATCGATTTTGAATGAATGCAATGTAACTACCCAGTGACAATGATAAACCACATTCGTGTGTTGATGATGGACAAGAACAGTATAAATTAGAAGAAGGTGTGTCCCGTACAACCTGTTCCTCCAGCACACAAATTGACTTTAAATCGTTTGCGTTGAAGAGATCTCCACCACCTTCGTAAACCGTCACAACTGATGCGTACCTGTCAATAAACAAAAACCGCTTCTTACCTATAAGGCTTTCCTGAAAAAAAAAACGCCGGTCACGTTTTTTTGACACGTTCATTTCCTTGCATTTACGAACGGATTAAAATTCTTCAATTTTTTATGTTTTGTATACTTTTGCACTCGTATTTTTATACCTGTACGGGCTGTACTTCCCCGTGTTGCAGATCTGAGAGGATTGTGAGCTACGGCGCTTTCTAATGGGCGAGTTGTTGACACCAGTTGAATCGCACGTCACGTCGTTGTTTCTTATAGCGGCCTTCAACGTTTCCTGCTGAGTGACGATACGTTTCATAATCTCCGTTCCGCGAGGTTCAAAACCCTGAAGAAATGAAAAGTCTTTGGGTTGCACGAAAGCTGGATGGCGCCCTCCGGGGATAGTAATTTTTATCAGTCAGTCTATTGGTGTTTACGTGATATGAAGTATTAAGATAAGGTGAGGTGAGGTGAGGTGAGGTGAGGTGAGGTGAGGTGAGGTGAGGGTAAGGGTTAGGGTAAAGTAGGGTGAGGTAAGGTGAGGTAAGGTAAGGTAAGGTAAACTTATTTAAACAAGCTAACTCCTTGATTTCCAGGGAGGGCATGATAAAATATTTAAAGTACATAAATTACAGGGTACACTATAAAAAGTTCAATACTATTATACACAGTGTAGTTTAGAACAGGTTAAATTTTAAAAAGCTCTCGGCTTTTTTAATTTCAGTTGGTGAATTGTTCCACAATTTAGCACCATTGAGGCACTGAAGCCTATACTCTCTTTCAAATGTTCCGCTTTAGGAAAAGGAAGATTTAGCTTTATGTCAGGGTTTTGTGCAGTATTATCAAGCCTTTGTTTGTCATTAACAACCTCAGTAGTCAGCATCCACAAACTTCGGTTTGTTAATTCTTTTTAACTTGTCTAACCTCAATTGACCTAAATAATTGTTAAACCTTTAACCACAGTCCATACCTCAGTTGGTTTTGAAAAATCTGGAAAATCTGGTCCAACTGCTGGTACGAATGAAAACACCACGCAAATGACAAGGAAAATTGGCGTGAGTATGAGAAAAATGTATGGGTACTTGTAAAGGAAAATGGAATAGCGTCGCACCAAGTTATTACAGCACCTGAAATATAAATGATCACTTGTTTACATGTTCAAAAAATCGTAAAGATCTGGACAAGCTGGGTAACATTATTTCATTTTTGGTCAAATGTGTGAAAATATTAATTCTCAACTATAAATGCTGTCACTACAGTGGTCTAAGTTTGCACAATATTTGTACGGCCAGTTTAGGATCACGAAAACCAACTTTAGCTTTGTTGGATCGAGTTTCCTTCTGATGTATGGAATGTAGTCTGTTACTGATAATGCAATACTGCATTGGCTTTTGTTGATTTGCTGCTCATATACATTACAAGACAACAGACTATACAACATCCATCAAAAGTGAATTGGATGCGAAAAAATTGGATTGTGTGAACAGACCTTAGCATATACTCTGAATTAATTTCTCTGAACAATTTTCTTAAAAATATATTATACTGACAAGCCTTGTCAGGAGAATTACTAAGCTGATGCACTTGAATTTGTTAACTTTAATAACTTGTCCACTAAATTAAAATGTTGGATAGGAATTTTCATGCAAGGCAGATAAAGCAAAATGCCAGATTTAATCTGATCAAGAGACTTGCATCATATATAAGTATTTACTGCAAAAAATTAGCATTAAGTTTAACATTTTTTATGACTTGATCACTTCTAAAGTTTAACTGGTTATCCGGTGCGTAGCAGATATGCTTAGGTTGATTAAATCTCTCTGTTTTGTGGAATTTTCATGTGAGGCACAAATAGGAGTGACAATTTTACTCTTTAAAATTCAAAATGCCAATATCATGAAAATGCTGTATAATTTATGGGTGGATATTAATGATGGCAGATGTTCTGTCAATTTCTGTCAAATTTCAACATTTTTTCCTCATCTATTAAACACATACAGTCTTTCCTCAACATATAAGGCTAATGAAATAGGGTGGAGGGTAATTTAGGTTACTAGCTTAGGACAAAACATCCAGGAATAGATTAAAGAATAGAAAAAAATATGTATTTAAATTATTCGTGAAAGGTGTGACACACTCTGGGAGCAAAAACCTCTCTGGATTATATATGAAAGCAGCTGTGCAGGCAAAAACAGTATCTTCAAACTGAACCTGATGAGTTTGTGACCTTATATGCTTTGGCCAGTTCAGGTGTTCAGAGTACAATAAAAATGGATAAAAATTTGACCCATTTCACCTGTTCACACACTCCTAAATTTGTTAAGTCCTGTATAGCAGCAACATTGTTACTATATAATATATACAGACCCATGTTATGTCCCAACACAATTCTAAATTATTACCATTGTTTACTAATATTATTATGATATCCAGCCATGAAAAGGCTTCTTCCATTAACTCATAAAAGCACCCTATAAAATTATACCCCACATGCATACATAGGCCAGTTCAAATGCAACGTCCTGAGCCTAAGTATGTTCACATTATTGAAGTTCTGTCTCCTAATACGTTGATATATAAACTAAAATTTAGTCCCTCGATCAATGAAGATTCCTGTAGCTGTTTGTAGCTCTATAAAGTAGACCAGGAATCCTAGTTGTTTTGAAATTATACATCTAATGTCTACACCTGTCGTTTGATTTTTTTATCCCATTATGCGAGCACGGCTGTAATTGTTATCAGAGAAGAAAATTATGTTCTTTCCCAGCAAATTGGCAAGGCATTGTAAATTGTAATTCTAGTATAAAAGCTTTTTGTATAAAACCACTTAAAATACGCTTCACAACCGACTGATAGACTGAACCATGCTCAGTCTAGCCCTGTTTATTACTGCCTCGAGAAAAAAAAGCGAAACATCATTTCCGTAGGATTACATGTAAACATCAACTAAAATCTATTAAGTACAAAATAGTGAAAATGCTAAGTAACAAACCTTGCGAGCATTTTGAAGATCCTACAGTGTTGTTATACAAGTTCCAGTGTTCTTATCTCCACTTGCCGGTGTGTGCTACGATCGGAAGTCGTGAACAGTATTTCCGTGAGAGTCGTTCTCCACCTGTGTTGTTAAAATTTTTGATATTTTCCGTTGCTGTTTGATTTATATCAGACGCTCAAAACACCGCCGAAAGAAAATTCCTGCAATGAACTTTAAACAATCGTTTCACTCCCACACGCTTCCTGCTGGTTCTTGCTATCTATGATTCCTCCAAATTCTTTACCAACTGCAGTTTGATTTGTCTGACACAAGCAACGACATATTGAGTATTGATTCCAGTTTAGATAAGTATGGATACTGGATAGTTTACGCCTCTTCCTGTCCGGTTCTTGAGAGCAGCAGAGACGAGGGCTGCGTTGCCATGGGGGAGGGGGGGAGTCCGCATCACCCACTGAGCTGGGGAACCAGTGGGAACCTGGTGGGAACCAGTGGGACACCCCGAGCAAACCCCAGGAGCAATTGGGGCAGCAACAGACAATTTGGATGCAAGTTTTGGCTGTTTTGCTGTATTTCACCGACTGGTTGTTATATGTAAATACTCCTATTTTGGTATTTACAGGAAAGGATCTTTCAGCAAGTGTTGCATATTTTCTGCGGTCCTTTTTATCGAAACGTCATCTGTGATTGCCAATCCTTGCAGTCAAAAAACCGATCAGGTGTTTTCTTTCTGAAAGTTTAAAAGCATTGCATGATAAGACCAGAATTACAATGTCTTTTAAAGCTGTTTCGTCCGCTTTGGAAGGCATGTTTGACGCGTGCACTAACTTCCAAGTTTCAATTGATATTGCACCCTCATTTACCTCCGGTGATTCGCACAAGCTTGTGGACAATTTGTCCAAATCACGAGTATGACCTCCCTCCCCGCACCCTTAGTTTTCTCTAGAGGCAGCCTAGGATAGAGGTTGCCCTCCTTAGCTGCCCAAATGTATGCCCCAGTTAACTCCTAGCATAGAGCCATAGACAATTCATTGTCTATGATCCTAGTTAACTCAGAAATACACAACTCTGACTGGCCAATTCTCTCCTTAACTACAGTCGGCCACTGCAGGAAATGAATTAAGGATGACATGACGACATTTAATTAATTTTGTTCTAATATGACGTGTCAATATTTTCTACAATTGAAGGTAACTAGGCGCCCATGAGGTTATGTTGACATAAAACATACAAGGATCAATAGTCACAGGCTTTGTAGTTTGCGTTGGATTTAGCTCAGAAAATTGGTGCGACTTGAAACAAAGATGACTTTATTCCATGTTATTTAACACAAGACGTTTTGTGTTAAATTTTGTGTTGTATCTCTCACTTCGCGAATTTAATTTTCCTGGTCTGGTAAATCTGGTTTGCAATGATTTAAACGCAAAAGGAAAGAAAACACTTTCGTCATAATCTGGCTAAAGGAGTTGGTAATATTTAACTCTTTATACTATGATATAAACATCTACAAAGTTGCCAAAAAAGTTTAAAACTAGCTTTTTAAGATCTTCATCATGCAAGTTATTTATTTTTACTTTGAATACTTTTGTATTTAAGGTTCTCTGAGATGACCCGGACTCGCAGGCCTAAAGCCTGGAATAAATTACTTGGTGAAGATCACAAAAAATCTTTAATAGCACCATGCAGAACGTGTTCTAAAAAGTTTTAAAACTATTCCTAGACTTGCCAGAAGCAATACAGTACATGCAAAATGTGAACAAAAATCACTATTATAAAAAAGATCGCATGAATATTTAGGTCTACTTAATCTACGTGTTTTTAAAAGATTTTTTAAACGTTCAATGTTAAGACCTTCAACTGATTACGTGTTCCTTATCTTTGTTCTTTAAACTAAAGATTCTCATGTCATTATTTCTGCCGTTAAAAGCCATGCATGCATGCGTCATGGTCTATATATTAGCGTAACCCATCTTCAAAATCATCATCTTCAAATTGAACACGTCCCGTAGTCGTGGCAGGAATGTGATCTGGTTGACTATCAGTTTCATCCTGTGATACATTATCGTCACGTTGATTTTCAACTGGTTGCGTGGGTTCACCTTTTGTATGACTAACATTGTCCAGTGATAAAACATCAATGGGAGGAAGAGAAGGGTTAGGGTTGGGGTTAGGGTTAGGGTCGGGGTTTTGTTCAGCTTCTTTAGCAGTAGGACGCTTCTCTTGTTTTTCTTCTTTTCTCTTGCTGGGGTTAGGGTTTTTGTTGGAAAGGTATTCTTTAAACTTTTGTTTAGCTTCTTTAGCATCAGGACGCTTCTCTGGTTTTTCTTCTACAAGGCTGTTCAGGAGGTCGTAAAGCCTATCACCACCAACACTCAAGATGTTTCTATCCACCATTTTCTCTCCCTGCAACTTCAAAAGGGCATCCTCTATCTCTTTGTCATCTTTTAAACAGCAAGACAATCTGTATAGGACAACACCTGCACTGTATATATCAACCTTTTTACCATAACTACCTTTCCACATCTCTGGTGCACGATAATAGCGGTTTCCTGCACTGGATGACAGTTTCTCTTCGCGTTCATCGGGACTGGACTGGGAAGGTTGATCAATCATTCTTGCTAGACCAAAATCTGCCAGTTTGACTACCCAGGTTTCTATAGTTTTCTCACAAGGTGTGCATACCAGGATGTTTGGTGGATAAATATCCCGATGAACGAAATCCTTGTCATGAATGTAAATCAAGGCTCGGAGAATTTGCTCGAAAACATGTTTATGGAGTAGTTCGTTGTCGACGATGTGCGGTTTTTCTTGCAAAATCGATCGAAGATCCTTGTCACAAAGTTCCATTTGAATAAAAAAAATGGAGCGGCCATTGACTGTTTCTTCCCACGAGTGGTAGTATCGCACGATATTGTTATGGCTAGTGGAAGACTTTACTTGTTCGGAAAGAATACTCAGTTCTCGTTTCTTATACTTTTCCGGAACGTCTTTACGCCTAATGATTTTCACCGCGTACTGTTTTTTGTCAGTTCTAAGTTCAGCCGAAACCACTCTTGCATAAGATCCCCTACCGAGTGACTTGTTAATCACCGTAAATTTTTCTGACAATAAATTGATGGTTGCTTGAAAGGAAATCTCACCGTCCTCGTCAAAATCCCCATCCTTGTTTCGTTGAAGCGGAAGCTTGCACAAAGCCTCTCTAGCGCTCGGTCGTTGCTTTGGATTTTTGTGCAGAAGACTACTTGACGACGAGAACAGCAGTTCGGCAAGTACTTCATCATCATGACAAAGATCACTTCTATCACGCTGGCCATCTCTTAATGCTTTCATTTCGACGTCAGACGGCCATTGGTTTTCGCTTTGGTTTTCAGGACACGAGGTCAGGAGGTACAACACAATACCAGCACTGTACATATCCACCTTTTCACAATAACTATGTCCAGACAATTCAGGAGCTTGGTAGAGAGTTCTTTCAGCCGAATCTTTACGTATGGCGTCTAGCTTCGCTTGATCACTGAGATGAACACCGGCTCCCACTGGCAGTTCCCTGGCCAGACCAAAATCACCAATCTTGATTTGAATTTCCCGAATTAACTTGGGGCATGGAAGTTGCACAAGAATATTTGCCAGGGTGATATCACGATGAATCCATCTTGGTTTCATCGTGTGAATGCCATCAAGACCATTCAGTATTTGAGGGAAGACAAACTTATACAAGTTCGCGTCCTTTACGATTGAGATGCATGGCGGAACACCAGCTTGGGTTTCCTCACGGCTCATCTCTTTCATGTAAACATCAAGACTACGGTAGCACAGTTCCATTTTAATAACAAGAAATTCATTATCAATATATTTTTTCTTCCACGCATAGTAATACTGCATAACGTTCTCTTTGTGCTTAGATGTATTCATCACCAACAAACTCAACTCTCGCGAACGATATTTTCTTTGGTCATTGGATTCGTATTCGACGACTTTAATCGCGAACTGTTCACTGGTGAGGACTTCTTTCGCTTTCACAACAGAACCGTAACGTCCTTTGCCGATAATATCTTCAAAAATCCATTCCTTTTCACCCAGAAGTTCTTGAAAGTCTAGTTTGTTCATCGCTAAAAAGAAAGATGAAACAAATCTAGTTGTGCCTTCCAAACACCGACCACATCAGCATTCCAGGAAGAGCATATTACTGACGTATTATATGATGAAATTACTGTAAATCGCTTTAGTTGTTTAACTTGAAATCTGGACTAATACATAAAAATACTCACCTGAAATAGACATTACACTGATGTATCAACTTTCACGATTATAAATGGAAGAACTTCTTTTCCTTAATCAGAGGTATTTTTCAGAAAAGCGAGATTTGCTGCAATCAACCTAACGGTAAGTTATCTGAAAGATGCGACGCCTACTCAGTTGCAGCGTTTCTTTGTGCGGTCAAGTGTACCGAAAGATGCAGGGGGTGCGTATGTCAAAGGGGCACGACAGAAAATGGGTTTGATAATACGAATATAATCTGGCTTTGTAGTGGTTGCTACAATTCCATTTTCCGTTTCAAAATTATCGTAGATATTGTATATGTTTTGTTAACTGCCTACAGAACCTTTGTACACATAACGTCACAGTGAACATCTGGAGGATGAAACACGGCCTGGAAATGGCGAATAAATGGCGTGGCATGTCCATATATGGATGGACGCGTAACGCCATTTTCAAGTCCTCTTTGACGTTCACGTCCTCGCGCTAAATCTGCCTATAGTCAGTGCTCTCTGTGCTTCTACAATCTAAATATGCAAACTTTTTACTGTAGAATTTACTTGAATAATCTGGGGACAAATAAAATTTGAAAATGATATATTAAACATTCCTCCCTCTCAAGCTTTTCTTCTAAGAAAATTTCCCTAAAATCTCGTTAAATTCGGGTGAAAGCCAATATTTCACAATTCACATTTCATGCACAATAGTAATATGCATACTTTTCACTGCAGGGGAGAATGCTTTGAATAAGCCGGGAGACAAAGAACATTTTAAAATAACATATTAAATATTCCTCTCTCTTGATAAAGTCAAACTTTACTAAGGAAACTTCCCCAAAATCTTGTCAGTACGATCGGTTTAAAAACAATATTATAAAAAAATAATATATTTCGGTGTTCTCAGAATTCAAATATGCAAATGTTTTAGTGTGGAGAAGGATGTTTCGAGCAGGATACGAATAATCTGAAGACAAAGAACATTTTAGAATAATACATTAAATATTCCTCCCTGCCGAGCTTTTCTTAGATCCTAAAATCTTGTTAAATTCGCCGGTTGAAAAACAATATTTCGTATTTTCTCGAGATCATGGGAAAACATCAAAAGTCCGTCACAGCGTTCGTGTAGGCATGTGGAAACTCATCTGTGTCCTCGCTGTAGTCTGAATATTCCGGGGGAGGTGGAGGCAGAACTAAAACGCCGTACGTGTGTAAACTAGCTGGACCTTCACCCTCGGGAAAATCTTCCCATCCCCCCTGCGCGTTTTCTTCCTGCAATGATACACCTTCGTCGTAGGCTTGCTGAGGATAGCTGGGTTCGTATACGGGATTAAATGCCGTGCATGAGTCGAGTGTCCCTGTTTCACCCTTGTCGTCCTCGAGTTCCCGTTCCGTGTACAAAGCGTTAACAAATTGCCGCGGGTTCCCCTCAGCGCACGGCGTACCCACGGGGGTGGTGACAGTTGCTGGGTCAATTCCGATTTCGGCGATCGTTGAATATGGCGCGTCGTAACTGCTCGCTTCAGAGCCGAGTGTTATCGAGTTGTTCCGAAGGCGACCCAATCGAGGGCCGTCGTGGCCTTCCGGAATGGCGTAAGCATTGTTTGGATTAGTTTGGCTATGAACACTGCTGGACTCGACCGAATAAGCGTTGATGGGTTTAGAACTGTGAGAAACGTACGAAGACTCTCCATCGTCAAACGAATCCATTGAAAATGCACCTCTGGAGAGAAAAGAGAAAATTTAATTCATTCACATGGAGCGATCTTACAAGTCTTGCACTCCAAATAAACTGAATACACAGCCTTTAGCTTATGAACTAACCTTTGAAAATTAAACGACTGTTTTATTTCTTTACCTATGAAGAAATTCAGAAAAATGAACTTTTCAGTGCTGATATAGTGTTATTATTACCTGTCTAACTTTATTTATACTGGATAGCTCTATCAGTTCTAAACTGCTCTTCCTAGAGGTCCAGTAAGGATCATCTCTTATTGATCCAATGTTACTACAGGAGGAAACCTAAACTAAACTAACTTTATTTATACTGGATACCTCTATCAGTTCTAAACTGTTCTTCCTAGAGGTCCAGTAAGGATCATGTCTTATTGATCCAGTGTTACTACAGGAGGAAACCTAAACTAAACTAACTTTATTTATACTGGATACCTCTATCAGTTCTAAACTGTTCTTTCTAGAGGTCCAGTAAGGATCATCTCTTATTGATCCAGTGTTACTACAGGAGGAAACCTAAACTAACAGTAATTTATTGATATTGGATAGCTCTATCAGTTCTACATTGTTCTTCTATAGTAGAGATTTGCAAAAATTGCAAGTGTAAACGGCCCTTAAGTCTTTTTTAACAATAATCATTATTTGTGCCTAAAGCCATTGACTGATACAATAGGATGCAACGTCGTAGCCAGGCTGCTAGACTTTAGTTTTATTCATATTGAGAGACGGGAAACTCGCCTAAGACAGCCTCGTACCCAGGCGCTTTATTGGGAAACATAAAATCTGCATTCAGCATAATATGGAGATCTGCGGCTAAGCCACTGCGCGCCAGATCAGTGCTGCGCGCTCGCACATCTTAGCCACAGATCTCTATATTACGCTGAATGCAGTCTTTATGTTTTCCAATATGAAAAGCGCCTGGGTACGAGGCTGCGCCTAAGACGGGAAACTGGTCTGATGTGAATCCGGTCACAGAAGCGTTTCTCGTCCGATTTTTCTTTCCGTCTAAACAGACGAAATATTTCGCGTTTCGCTCGAAAATTTAGCCCGTGGAATTAGGGCTTAAAGAGGGACATCCCGAGGATTCTGGAACCATAAATCGTCATATTCGAATCGGTAAGTCCTAACAATAATCATTATCTGCGCCTATAGCTATTGACTGAATGAAAACCAGCATTTGTGCGACGCCAGACTGATGCCGAAAAGAACTACCTATATACAATCATTGTTGTTAGATACGAGGTTAGATATTCTTAGCTAAAAACTCGCAGTAAATATGAGATTATAGTAGGTGAATTATTATCAGGTGAAATATTTCGCATTTCGCCAAGAAAAAGCGCCCGTGAAATTGGGCCCTAAGGAGATTCAGAGAATGGGATGCTGTATTACGTAAGCCGGTAAGGGCCTGTTCATATGAGACGGTTAAGCCGGGCTTGATGTTTTTATATGAGCCCGTTAAAGGCGAGATCTCGCTTCGTTCAGGTGGGATCTCGCCAGACTCGGGCTGGCCCGGTTCCATATGAATGCAATTTTAGACTTACAATGAAATAATATGTGAAGCGACATCTTGGCACTGCCGAGCTAGCCCGGCTAAACTATCAATTCCCGTCTGGTCACTATTACTCCCGACAATATTGTCGGGCAGAAGCAAAACATTAAATATCTCAGCAAGTATTTGGGCTAAAGACCCCGGAATACCACTAAACGATAGCGGTTGAAACGATTATTCATATAGTATATTCAAACCAACGTATAGTTATAAGCTTTATTTGTATTATAAGTTAAAACAAGAATCAATAACAGGTTGCTTTGTTATCTCAAATTTAATACTCACCCATAGCAACCATATACTTTAGAAATTCCGTATTTTTTCGCTTTTTTTGTTCTCTGTTGTCTTCAAAATGTCTGAATTTTACATGTTATCATTCTGTTATAATTCTGAGTAATTGTTGGGGTAGGGTATGCAAAAGAATCGGAGAAATAGCATTTTATAAGGTCTAGGCGATAATCGTTGCTAAGCGCGTGCTTACCGCATGCACAGAATGTTGTCATGCGGTTGGAAAATGTGCCATAACTCCCCAGAAATCGATTTCTGACGTAAAATTGGACCTCAGGGGCAGATTTTCGGCTTTTCCGAATTTTTTTTCGATGTTTTTATTATTGTGAAATAATAACTCCATTGTTTGGTGTTTTGCATTCACCAAATACAGTTCAAAACTTAGTTCACAACATAACTTAAAGAATAAAAGTAAAATAAATTAATTTTGAGCGGTACGCCGAAAAGATTTTAGCCTAGGTTTTGAGCGTTTTCCCACCAAAATACGCAACATAATAAATAAAAAATCTCCTCTTAATTAGTAATGATTTAGATTTGAGAATGCGTTTTACGTTTGAAGCAAGTGTTTATTAAAAAATGATTCGTAGCTGCTTCGAAGCTACGTAATGCCTGGTTGCCATTTAGTCGTGAGTGTCGTGGTGTCAAATGTCAAGGTGGCTGATGTGATTGAGCATATTTCTGTGTATGTGCAGCAGTGGTGTGCATTCAACAATGACCGATTTAGATACAGAAATAAAGATAAACATACATCCGAACTATTTCTCATCGATGAAAATAACTTGTTCACGACAATTACGACTAAATGGGGTTAGGCCACCAGCCAAAGCTGGCCGGAAGTCACGAGACTGCTACATTGGAGTCTCATTTCGCTTGTCTCTAAAACAATGCCTCGCTTCATCGTCAACAAATTTCCGGTGAAAACGTTTGGGTCAGGGGGGGTTTCTTTGCCGGTAAATGTCGCACCACGCCCCGGTCTACTTATTTACCAGATACAAAAATTTTAACAAAAATTAAAAACTTTTAGGTGAAAATCTAGTGTGAAGTAAGGAACCAATTTAGGCTCAAAATGAGGCTGGATCTTCCGCAAAACGCGACGATGTCGGACATTTATAAATACGTTATGGAATACAACATTACTCACTCATTGGTTCGAATACCCGAGCATGAATTACAGTTGCTACATCGGAAACTGTGCAGCGATCTTCACGAGATATTTCATCACGAGTTCGAAATCGACGCGGACCGAAAGATTTCGCATTATTTTCAAAAAATCCGAAAGGAAAATCAAAGCAAGGGAGACAAGGAGCTGACGTTTCGCACGAAATCCGTCAACGAAAATCGATATTCTTTGTTCCACGACGATCTGCAACAATCCGAGAAGATCAGTGTTTACGGTTCCGACCCCACACAATCTGGTTTGCGCAATGCCGTTGCCGATTTGGGCGATGATTTTTGTTATACTGTTGGGGGTTATTGGAGGGAACTTGCGGATAGAGGGGTATCGTCTTCAACCACGTTCGACACGATGATTTCTAAAGGTGCGTTGATCGATTCTGATATCCCCGCATCTTCCAAAGAGAGTGTAAACGTAGGATACGGTAGGACCCTATATGTCGATGAAGCAAAAGCCACCTTGTTCTTTCACGCACCAGATTTCGTGAAAAGCCAATCCCTGTCGTTCGAATTTGTGAAAGAAAAATGCCGGTACGGAGAGACGCATGTCGTTTTGTTAACTTTCATCAAACTAAAACCGACGTCAAAGTTCATTGCAAGCGCCCAAGCGGAATTTGGCTTCAAGGTGAAAAAGAGATATGCTGTGCCTACATGGGGGAAGGTTCTTTCATTGGGCATCTTTTGTTTTCTCGACCAAGAAAAAACGCAGAAATTCTCCTCCGATCAGTTTCACGTTCAATTTGAATGTTTTTCTTCGCGATTTGAGATTAAAAAGAAACCGAAGATTGACATTTCAATTCAGGACGCGAAGGAATTCTTAAGTTTTGAGCAACAAATGCTAGAATATGAGAAAAAACTTGGAATGAAGGGCGAACTGAAGCAAATCGAAGCAAACAGCCAGGAAGTCGATAAAGAAACGTCAGAAATGATGACCGAAGACCAGCTACAAGAACTTCAGCTAGCGACGGTTGGGTTAAGCAGCCATATTCTCTGGAAGAGTTTAGATCTTGGGAGATGGATAAAGAGGAACAGTTGGTTATTATACGTGACCTTCAAGAATGGACAGAGAACGATATTAAACCTCAACGTTATACAACAGTATGAGAAAGCGTGCATTTTGGAGGTCGCCCTTCGGAGCAGGGCGTATCCGCATATGGACAAGGCCTTCAGAGACACGGGCGTTAAGAAATGGCAGATTGTTCTCGATGATAGCAGGACTCCTCAAGACCTTACCAACGCGTGCGGGTTCGCGTTCGAGGAAATCGTCAATGCCCGCGTAATGGCCAAGGCGGCAGAAAAGGGAATTCCGATAACATGCATAAAAGGTGACGGATTAGGGGAGTACAAGGACGCCCAGGGAAATACTGTAACCACGCCAGAATACGTGGACGCAGTGTTCGTAAATGATGCAACAGGGGACATGATTAGTGTGCAATACAAGTTTAGTGACGAACAATGGCAACTGGAAGAATCTGTTACGCATTGGAAAGACTATTGGGAGGGAAAAGGGAAAGACCTCACGGGAGTTGACGTGATCGTACCCAAAGGTGTTGAAAAAGGTGGTAAATTCAATGAAGTCGTGAAGTTTGGCCATGAAATTGTCGTCGAGGCTCCAACAGCTAACGAGGTCTATCAGTGGCTTCTTTCAAACGTAGACAGATTGAAAAAAATAGCATCGGAAAGTCGAAATGTGAAAGGCTGGAAGACCAGCATCGAGAATGCCAAAAATATTATTGAAAAACTAGAAAATGCTGTGAAAGCGAAAGAAGGTGCACTAAAGAAGGCAAGAAATCCAAATAAATTGCAAGAAGATACAGAAAGACTGAAGGCGGGAATCGACACTTTTAAGGACTGCTTGGCACAGGCAGAGATCAAGAAAGAAAGAGCTGATGCGAGAATGGAACGAGTGATCGCTGGAGATGGGAAGAACTCCATACCTGGAGTGAACGACGAACCTGCAAACCTCATCGCGAAGCAGGCAGAAAAAGAAAAAAGTGTGGCCAGAGCGAACAAAGAACTTGTTGTGTCTGCTGGCCTGGCGATTGCGATCAGCGCTGCAACTGAGATCCTCTGTTCACTTATGGATGAAATTGAGTTATGGAGGGAAGGGAAGCAGACTATTGGGGAAGCAGCTTTGCACGTGTTCACGCAAGCGGTGAAACCGACGCTTATCGGAGCGGGTATTGGCGTGGGTATCAGTGTTGTGCAGTACAGCCTGACGAGAATGGCGCTGGTGGAGTCCTCGAGCCTCGCAGCAAGTCTAGGCGCGTATGGAAGTAAAGTGTTCGGGCCAGCTTTGATTGTTGCGAGTATGGCTTATCAAAGTTACGCCATTATTTCACAATACAACAAGGAGAAAGAGTTCGCTCCGTCCGTTGCCAGAAAACAGATGATCGTCGATTTTACACGTATGGCGGGTGTCACAATCGGGTCTGCTGCCTGTTTTGCGGTCGCCGGTGCTGAAATAGCCGTGGGCGCTGTTTGTTGCATTGCAATCGAGGAGGCAGACCATCGCATCGGTAGGCTGCTCGACAAGTTTTTCAACTTCGATTTGCAAGCGTTCAAGGAGTTACGGCCGAAAGTGATCGCCAAAGCCTACGCGCTCTTCAATCTTGAATCTCACTGCTCCGACAAGGAATTGAAAAAAGCCTACCGCGCAGCCTTGCGACAGTATCATCCTGATAAAGCCAAAAACAAGGAGGAAAAAGAAATCACGCAAGCAATTTTCACCGCATACACCTTGCTCAAAACGGTACGTGCTGAGAATGCATAGTTCTTATTTCTTCGACCAGGCGGGCAGAAGATACTTGAGTAGCATCATCAGACTTTGTAGCATCCAAATCAGAGACTTATAATCGTATTATTAATTGCTAAAAAGGTTGTTAGGGTAGTATTTACGGGTTTTATATACACTTTCTAATGACTCGATCTGTGGACATATTTTAAGACTTTAGATTTTAAGACTTTAGATTTTAAGACTTTAGATTTTAAGACTTTAGATTACATAAGCTTAGTTTGATAAAATTTTATGGGACGCTAGGCCTCATAAATTGTAATCGGGGGATATAGTAAACGGTGTTCAATAGACCAGTGCATGGTGAGTCATGCATGCGACTCATGTTAAGTTTTCATTTTTAGTAAAATGAAATGAAATGATTGTCAGTAGAAGTAATATGAATAAATTCAAGGTTCTGGGGTCGGTTGTATCAAGCCCGTTTAGCTTAAACAGTGGATAAGTTCAAAAGAGAAAGCAAGTGTAACGTTTTATTCAACAAGCGAACTAAATGTTTTTTACCTTAATACAAAGATACTGGTCACAACTACATATTCAGTGCATAATATTCAAGTTGACTCATTCAAGAGAGATGTAAGAGTATTATTTAATTTTGACTTTGACTTATCCACCGTTTAAGGCTAAACGGGCTTGATAAAATAGGCCCCTGGAATTCAAATTTAATTCTAAACAGTTTTCTCCGGCGTTACGTTCTTACAAATCGCTCACAAAGAAAAAAGAAGAAAAAAGTTTAACCTGCGGTGTTTAGCGAAGTGAAATAGGAAGAATTTTTCTAATATAGGAATGGGTTAAAAGGGGACATCTTAAAAAAGAAATGGGAGAATATATCGGGTGTATAAGTCGGCAAAACAACTCGACAAAGTCTAGTTAAAAACCTACCGTCTTTCATTCTTTTCTTTCGTTTAATGAAGCAGCATACGGTGATAGCAATGATAAAAACAAACAAAATGGCCGCCCCACCAGCTATGAGAGGCAAATGATCGTCCACTATCGAAGACGTGAACCTCTCATCTTGAGAGAATGGCTTCTTCGTAAAATCTAAAATGATAAAGAGAGAAACGATAAAGGAGATCGCATATCAGATCGTTATGTACCCTCCCCCAGGGCGGTTCCCTCCAGGAACGTACCCTCCCACAGTTTATTTCCCCGGTGGTTTTGAGGATAATAACTGGGGAGACAGTGCACCCGACCCCTATTTCCAATTTCTCCCCTGGCGACATCACTCGGGTAACCCCTGAACTCTATAGAACCCTAAGATGATTATGATAAAGTGTTGCCTTTTCCCACACGTACGCATGTCAATTTAATTCAATTCAAACGAAGTTTCACCAGAACTTACTTGTCGTAAAAGCAAGATTAGGAGAGCATGGCCCATAACCGACACTCGTTCGCGCCGCCACGCAGAGAGAATACGTCACGTTTCCATAGCGACCATTGAGCACGACTCGTGTAACCACCGTAGTTATCTCTCGTGACTGACTCGTCACGTTGTACATGGTGACGTTAGTTTCGTGTCGACGATACATGCGAACAGTGGTAATGTTTAAATACGTCGTGTAATGAGTGATAATACCATTTGGGGTACGCGGAGGTTGCCAGGATACTATGATTGAACTTGTGGTTATATTTTGAATTAGATTTGCCACAGGACCTGGAACTACATAGAAAAATATAAAAAGAGAAATATGGAAAACGTGTCCACTGGAAACTTCGACAAAACCTATTCTATTTATACTGGATAGTTCTATCAGTTCTAAACTGTTCTTCACAAAGGTCCAGTAAGGATCATCTCTTATTGATCCAGTGTTACTACAAGAGGAAACCTAAACTAAACTAACTTTATTTATACTGGATAGTTCTATCAGTTCTGAACTGTTCTTCCTAGAGGTCCAGTAAGGATCATCTCTTATTGATCCAGTGTTACTACAAGAGGAAACCTAAACTAAACTAACTTTATTTATACTGGATAGCTCTATCAGTTCTGAACTGTTCTTCCTAAAGATCCAGTAAAGAATAAAGATCAACTCTTATTGATACATTTTACAGATGAACTTACAGCTTTCCAAAGTTCTATTCATGGACTCATCACTATGCGGTCCAAGCCCAACTTTTGTAAAAGCTCGTATCTGCACCGTGTAACTCGTGAATATCATCAACCCAGATAGTTCTACGCTTGTCCTGTTTGCTGTCGTCTCATTCCTAGGTACTTCTGAAGAATTTGTCAATTTGTAAAACACTACATAACCGCGTATTACGCCATTTTGCCTCTCCAAAAGTGGTGGGTCCCAGTTCACTGACAGGTTGCTCGAACTTATTGCATTAACGATGACATTGCGTGGTCTCCCGGATGGAACTGTAAATTGCGTGAAAATTCACTCAATAAACAAAGCGAGTTTAATTTGTTACCTTTTAATTTGTATCGAAATCTGAAATTAAACCAGCCAAACATATCCACACTTACCACTCTCCAATGTACGCGAAGCCACCCAGGAACCCCAAATACCCCTGGCAACAGTCTTGGCGACAACCCTGACCTCATATACAGAATATGGATCCAGATTTGTTATATTGCATTCAAGTGTACCATTTCCGATAACGAATATTTCTGTAAAATTCTGATCACTCGGTTTTCTGTACTGAAGGTCATAGCCCATCACAATACCATTCTCTGAACCCCTGGGAATTTCCTTGAAAATAAAATACGATGTTATTTTGTTGAAATCGTTCAGTTTTGAATCGTCACAGCGCTGCATGCGTAAACAAACACGAATTGGATCGTAAAATCGCTCCATTACATTGGATCGCATAAATTTCACTGAAAAATTAATATCAACGGTAGAAATGTGCTTTCGAAGAATCGTTTATTAAAGTTGTGTCTATAGATGCAAAGCCGCAGTTGAATGAAAAAATAATCGTTTTGGCTGTGAATGACACATGTTATGAGACCTGTTATGAGTAGATTACCTGCCATGTAGCCTTGATCGATTTAGGTCCCAATGGGGACAAACGTAAAAATCTTGGTGAGCTTGTTGGGGCTGAGAAACAAAAAATTTGATCAGCTGATAAATTTTGCATTTTACAACAGCCTGTATCAAATATTTATATCATGGTTAATGTATCGTCATTGGTTAAGAAGATGAACGCTTTAGTCTTTTCTGAAAAGATGAATCGGTTTTAGAATGAACGAGTTCTCTTGGGAGAGCTCTAGCATGGCAGGCTTCAACTTCCAACCCTGTTAACGCTATGCCCTGTTTCGGATACCTGCTTGTCCAGACTGACAGGTCACGTACGAAGAATAGTTCCCCCAGAACAACAATGAATGATCTCCGGTTGCCGCTCTGACGCGAAACCTGTACCGAGTGAACGGTTTTAGTTCTTTTACAAAATACGTCAACGATGTTAAGCTGACGTCAGTCGATGCTTCGTCGTTGCTTTGGTTACCATACTGAAGCATGTATTGACGAACAACGCCGTTGGGTCGAAAAGGCTCGTCCCAGTTAACGGATATGGCACTGGAATTGATCGTCTGACATCGGAGATTGGTTGGACTGGACGGAGCTGGAATAGAAAGTAAAACGAGGGTTGTGTTGATTGAGGAAATAGCAGATGAATAAGCCGTTTATTAAAGCCCGTTTTCCACTAGGCGAATTTATTCGCGCGAACAGATAAAAAGTAGGAAGCGATTCTACTTTTTCGCGGCGAATCAAAGTTTCGCAAACCAACCACATCACTGGATTCCAGATATCGCTTCGCGTCATGCGAATAAATTCGCCTAGTGGAAAATGGGCTTAAGTCGGCTCAAGTTGTAAGACTAGTATAGCTGTGAAAGGGAGGGGAGGGGGCTCAAGTGAGCGAGGGGTGCTTAACCTCGTACCCAGGGAGGAAAAACCTGGCGTACGAAATTCGGGGGGGGGGCTATCTGTCAAAAGATCCGCTGATTTTGAGACCAAAAAAATATTGATTAGTCATTGGTCAAAGCATTAAAATACCATAACCTTTACTTACAGTCTTGATCAGTACGAGTCATGGCACTTTCACTCGCCCTACTCCATCCTATCTTGTTGCGAGCAAACACGCGGACATGATACAGTGTAAAGGGTCTTAAACTTTCGAACGTGAAGTTTTTGGTTTTCGTCTCATCCGATGTCGTATTCCAGGTATCCGAAGTGTTCATGCGGATTTCTAACTTGTACGAAGTAATAGGACTATATCCATTGAAGCCAGGCAGCCACAATACTTGGATCGAAGTTGACGTAATTTTACCGAATATGACGTCATTCGGTTCACTTGGAGGAACTACAGAACGCGAAAGAATTCTGTTAATTCAATGAAAGAAGAGTCAATCACAGATTATTCTTATAGGAAGACCAGTTTAGAATTGATAGAGCTGAGATCTACTGGACCTCTAGGAAGAATAGTTTAGGACTGATAGAGCTATCCAGTATAAATAAAGTTAGTTTAGTTTAGGTTTCCTCCTGTAGTAACACTGGATCAATGAGAGATGATCCTTACTGGACCTCTAGAAAAAACAGTTTAGAACTGATAGAGCTATCCAGTATAAATAAAGTTACTTTAGTTTAGGTTTCTTCCTGTAGTAACACTGGATGAATAAGAGATGATCCTTACTGGACCTCTAGGAAGAACAGTTTAGAACTGATAGAGCTATCCAGTATAAATAAAGTTACTTTAGTTTAGGTTTCTTCCTGTAGTAACACTGGATGAATAAGAGATGATCCTTACTGGACCTCTAGGAAGAACAGTTGAGGACTAAAATCTTACTAATAAATTCTACCTTCAACAATAAGTTCCTTCGTCTGTCTGACAGAACCAACCACATTGGATGCCTCACAAGTATAGTTCCCAGTGTGGTTATGCCCAGCGGATGTGATGTGTAATCCAGTCCCCTGCGCATAGATCTCTGTGTCGTATTGGATTTGAATCATATCTTTCAACCAGCTCACCAATGGTGTAGGGACACCGTCGGCTTTACAATAGAATGATATCTTTTTCTTCCATTGGACACGAGGAGGTCCGAGAACTGCTTGAATCGTCGGCGAAACTGGGAAACACAGAAAGCATTTGAAAAACCCTTTTCCCTTTTCCATTTACAATGGTAACGACATTGCCTTACCTTGAACTGTCAAATACCCTGAAGCTGTTTGATGATTAAGATAATTACGGGCAGTACACGAATACCAGCCCGTGTCGCCTCTTTTCACATTCCTTATTTGCAAATTTCCGCCGTAAAGAGTTATTCTACTGCTATTGGCCAGCACGGTTCCATTTGTTGACCATGTGACTTGTGGTTCTGGGTGTCCATGGCTACTACACGTCATATCGGCAACGCCGCTCTCGTTCACAGTCGTATTGCGCGGGAATTTCACTAAGCGAGCTGGAACTGAAAAATGAGAAGACTGTTTACAGGAAACATTGTTTCATAGCCACGTTTCCTGAAGGTGAACAAACCAGGAAACATCGTTTTCTAGCTATGTTTCCAACAGGAGGACAAACCAGGAAACATTGTTTTCTAGCCATGTTTCCTGAAGGTGAACAAACCAGGAAACCTCGTTTTCTAGCTATGTTTCCAACAGGAGGACAAACCAGGAAACATTGTTTTCTAGCTATGTTTCCAACAGGAGGACAAACCAGGAAACATTGTTTTCTAGCCATGTTTCCTGAAGGTGAACAAACCAGGAAACATTGTTTTCTAGCTATGTTTCCTGAAGGTGAACAAACCAGGAAACATTACCTAAAACCGTAAGACTGGCTGAAAAATTCTGCGAGCCAACAGCATTTTCCCCAACACAAGTAAACAATCCGTTGTCGTTTTCATTGACATTCAAAACAACCAACTTCCCGTCGCTTTGAATGTATCGAGATGACGTATTAGCAGGACGAACTGTTCTCTCATTGGCTCGTTTGAAATACCACTTTGTAACGGGCCGAGGGTGGCCAGCAAAGAGACAAAGGAACGTGGCGTTACTTCCAAGAACCACCGTGGTGTCGCTAGGCATGATGGTACCGTTTGGTGGAACTACATAAAAATAAAAAGACCACACTTCGTATAACGCATGAAGCCCATTTGACACTGGGTCAAGAGATGATCCTTACTGGATCTCTAGGAAGAACAGTTTAGAACTGATAGAGCTATCCAGTATAAATAAAGTTAGTTAAGTTTAGGTTTCATCCTGTAGTAACACTGGATCAATAAGAGATGATCCTTACTGGACCTCTAGAAAGAACAGCTTAGAACTGATAGGGCTATCCAGTATAAATAAAGTTAGTTTAGTTTAGGTTTCCTCCTGTAGTAACACTGGATCAATAAGAGATGATCCTTACTGGACCTCTAGAAAGAACAGCTTAGAACTGATAGAGCTGTCTAGAACAGAAAACGCTAGTTCAGCTGACATTTGATAAGACATACCATGAACAACAACCGTCGCCAAAGCGAAACTATCCCCAGCAACATTCTTGACCGAGCACTTGTATTGTCCAGCATCGTTACTATTCACGATACTCAAAACCAAGCTTCCATCAGCGCCTAACGTTAGTCGTGACGTGTTGCCTAGTAACATGTTACCATGGTGCCACGTCAGCTGTGGCTTGGGGTCTCCGTCAGTTTTGCACGTCATGTGAAGCGTTTGACCCAATATCACTGTTTGACCCGAAGGCTTTGTCAGGAAGTATGGAGGAACTGTAAAGATATACGAGGTACCCCGACGGTTAACATGTTTTGACAGATTCAGCTAGTACAGACTGCGAATTCATAACTTACCATTCACTGTGAGATGAGCAACCGTAGACGACCTTGTTTCCATGAAATCGTTCCACACTGCACAGAAATAAACGCCTTCGTCTTCTTTCAAAACAGGCGAGATAACTAAGTTACCGGACGGTAAAATGGTATCTCTACCGCCAGTCCGCAGCGTCCTGTAATTCCTATACCATTTGAATTGAAGCTGCTTAGGAAAATGATTTGGTGGATCACAAATCTGCTCAACTCGACTGCCGTTCACTACCGTTTGGTTTGCGGGATTCCTCTTGAAATGGAAGTCAATGTCTAGACGAATACCCAGACATTGAAAAACTATTTTAGTCTTAATTATCTTATGATTTTGCTGCCATTTTCTTGCGATTTTTGAAATATAGGTCTCTGAAATCGCCGCAAATGCTTCTCAATTTAATGATTCAATGGAAAATAATAGATAGTATGTAAAGTTTCCAGCATGTTTGGCCCCAGTTTGGCGCTCATAACAAACATTAAACAATATAACCTTGCATGCTTTGGTTATGATGTCAAATATTTTGACATGGATAACCACGCTGTTTTAATGGTCAAGTGCTTGTCCTATGTAAAGTTTCCAGCATGTTTGGCGCTCATATACAAACATTAAACAATATAACCATGCTTTGGTTATGATGTCAAATATTTTGAAATGGATAACCACGCTGTTTTAATGGTCAAATGCTTGCCCTATGTAAAGTTTCCAGCATTTTGGCGCTTGTATTGCTTGTAAATTTGAGCGAACTAAAAAATATTGGAAATTAAAGACTAATTACGGAAAAATTATTGGTGGGGCTAAAGCCTAGCGAGCCACCCTGCTCCGCGGTCCCTGTAAATCGCAGCAAAAATTGCAAGTGTAAACGGGCCTTTAACTTTAAGGTCTCTATTGTAACTAGAAACATCACTGGAAACTTGATCTATTAAATTACTCCACACCATCTAGTATACATTAATTGAAAGTGCAACACATTAAGTCACAACTCACAAGCGACATTTAGAGAGATATCAAAACTTGCCACGGAGCCTTTGCTGTTTGTCCCATTACAAGAATAATGACCGTTATCTGGGAGGGATAACGATAAGATCACTAGGGACCCGTTAGGATAAACCTTTCTGTTCGAAGTGTTGTGGACTCTTGCATTGTTATGTAACCAGAACACGACGGGGGGTGGTACCCCAACAACGACACAGTCCAGGCGGAGCGGTCGGCGTATTGGGGAAATGGTGTTCACTGGATGGATCTCGATGCGCGGCCGGGGGTCCTTAGCTGTGGGAGATTAAGGATACTGGTTTTAATGATATAGGAATGCTTGTACTGAACTATTGGGACAATGAAGGGGCATGCATGGCCAGCCATAAATGTGCAGAGGGGGTCTAATTATTAAATACTCAAGTGGTATATTACATAATTAATAGGATGTGGCAAGACCTCATTAGGTCTCTAGTATAAATGGCAGCCTAATGAAATTAAGAGTCGGTCTAGTCCAATTATGAGCGATAATACATACGTTGAACCGTCAGAAAAGCTTCTTGGCTTTTTCTCTGTTCGTTAGGTAAAAGTGGATTCGTTGCAACGCATCTGTAGTACCCACTGTCCTTCAATATAGAAACGTTTTTAAGCTCTAGAGTTGCAGAGGTTGCATTCTGGTCAAGTAGATGGTGTTGAGACATAATCTTCTGGTCAGTGATTGGTCGACCATTCTTCTCCCAAGTGACAATTGATAGAGGTTGGCTTGCGCCACTGATGCATGTCAGGCTACTAGTGTGATGTTCCAAGATAGTTTGGGACAATGGTGACCGAATGAAATTTGCATTGATATCTAGAGAAAGATCAGGGGTCAGTTGTATAAAAGACTAGTTAACTTTTAACTGTAGTTAGCGACAGAATTGCCCAATTAGAGTTGTGTATGTACTTCAGAGTTATAGCTAGGATTTAACTATGCAAAGTGTAGTTAAAGAGTTTAATCATTGGCCCCAGGTTAAATTAGTTTAAATTATTTGCTTGGTTTTAAATGGCAAAGGTTGCTGCATGCATGTACTTAAACTAGTTTTATACATAGAACAAAGATATATCATATGGTCAATGAAATGCCCATCAACCATAGCACAGTTGAATGTGATGAATGCACTTACATGCCAAGGTGTGAGCAGAAGCATTTGAGTAAATTGTCAAAGTAGTTTTTGTCTGAACAGCTGCACAGAAGTATACATCTTCATCATCGCTGCCAACGCTTGGGAAGAATAGGGAGTAGTTGCTTAGCAATTTGTAGGATTTATCTTTATAATCAAAGATCCATCCTTTGTAGCCTTTCCTCCACTGTATCAACACATCTTTCTGGATATTTGTTTGGCAATTCAAAGTTACCGGGCTTCCCTTTTTAACGATTACGCTCTTGGGTTCAGTGGTGAACTCTGGAATTAGTTAACTAATTCATTAATTAATCAATTTCAAGAGGTGTATTAGCTAGCTCGCTTCATAAACTAACCATTGAACACTACCACCCTCTCCTCGCCTATTTCTGTTCCCTCAATGTCTTCGAATCATGAATTCATGTACTTATTTACCAACTTATTTACTTCTTTCTACTGGTTTAAATGGTTATCTGTGTAACAAATTTGGCAATGCATTGTGAATTTCACACCATTATACTTTAACAATGAAACAAAAAATGTTTTATTTTCATTCTTATCATATTTTAAAATTCGAAATCGTTTTTACTTTCGTTTCTTTTCTTTTACTTTTGTTTTTTTAATTGAGAAATTTTGAATGAAAACAATATAGGCCACCACAGATGTCCAAAATGCTGGTCGACGACGATTCGATCAAATCTGATTCAAGACTGAATGCGACATTTTTTATCAAAAACTATTCTAATTGCCATAATTGCGACAAGAAGACTTCGAAATGCAGCATATTGTAACACACACAACATTTGCTACGTTGCCTAACTACATTGCCTAAACGTTTACGATTAGATTTTCTAAAGCCATGTAAGGTCGAACAAAACAAATATACGGTGCACTTATGTATGCCTTTATAAACTGATAACAAATAATAAACTCACTTAATTTTTGCAAGGATACAGTTGGAATCAGGCAGAATAATTGCAGTCCACAGATCAGCAGTAACATGATGAACCGTTCTTCAGAATTCAAAATGAACGCGCAAAAACGATTGTTCTTTTGTTGTTGACGATGACCAGGCTGTTGTTTACTAATCCCCTAAATCTTTCTTTCCTTTGAAATCTCTCTGTATTTTTGTTCTTAAAAGGAGAACACACCGTGATTGTTGATGATGATAATAAATAAACAGCTTAAAATATCAAAATCAGAAAACCTGATGCGGGAAACATCAATTTCATAGTAGGAAATTCAAATCTTTATTTACGTTGGTACGTTGGTTGCTAGGCGAAACGTAGGAATTCAAAAGATTAATTCAAATTTCAGATCACGATTATTCAGGCGCTTACATAACTTTTGCTGACAGGAGGCTTCTGCATTACGGTAATTTACCATCTCTTGAGACATGAAATCTTAAGACATGAAATCCGAAATCGTCTGGCATTAGACAAAGCTCAGTCGATCAGACACATAAACAAGAATGGTAATTAAAACTATTTCGGACCAACCGACCAAGGCTTTCTGAGTGGCAGCTTTGAATCATCACTGAGCCAATAGGTTCTGTAACTGCCTAAAATAGACTAGAAACCCACGTTGAAAAATTTTGACACATAATAGAGCTTTTTTATCAGGTATTGGGTCGTATAGTTTACAGCAAAAATGCTCGCTTACGTACTATATACGCCCAGCTTTAGTATTTTACATCGAACACTGGACCGACATTCTTCTACGATAAAGCAAGACTGAAAATATTTCACACCACAGTATATAAAATACCATTTATAATTAATTCGAATCACGGGCCATCCGTCTTTTTATAAATAGAAAATTTACTTTAATACCAGACATCGTTCAATTCGAAAGAAGTTAGCCTAATGTTAGTTTTCCATACAGTGCAATTTGATAAAATCCCAACTTTGAACTAGTGAATGCCTTGATTTGTACTGGAGACGAATTGATCAGCCCTTGAATTAGAACATAGTTTTGATTAGATTCATTAGAATATGCTTCAGCCTTCATTATTCGAACAAACAAGAAGCACTTTATCGTATGTTTTGAGCTGATGGCAATGGCAAACTATCTCCAGTAAAAATCAAGCCAGTAAAAAACCTATAATATATATCAATAATTATCACATTTACATTCAAAAATAATTACAATAATATACGCGCATTGTGATAAAGGATTAAATAAAATATTTATGAAATAAAACTTCCATTTAGAGGCTTCCATTAGATTTTAAAAATTACTTTGCGAAGACTGCTATTTTTGGTTTCTACGAAGACTTTTTACATAAAAATTTTCCCGGTATTTTTTTTGAACAGTGAAGTACTTACACTAGTGAGATCGGGTGAAAGCCTAGGCCCAAAGCGGCTGTTTTCTCATACAATTTACTAAAATTCTGTTGTATATCATTTGAGAATAAATGTTGTTTATTAAATATACTTAAACATCAATGTTTTTTTCTTTCTTGTCACCTGACAACAATCGTTTTCGCCTCCTTTTCAGCCCTATTCTTATGTTCCTTCTCAATCTGTTTGATTGATAACTCTAAATCTAAAATCTGGGAAAATATTCAAGATGACCATTATCACTTGTATTATATCAGAATCCTTGACACCCCTTTCCACAAGGAGCTACCTTCAAGGGTGACTTTCCCCCCTGCTCCTTCAGGTACGTACATACTGTACCACCACCTTACCACTTTCCAAGCTGTCCCCCACAACCCATTCACCAAAGTGGCATTCACCCTTATCCACTAAGTACCACCACCTCCCTTCTATTAGCTGTCACCTAACACCACCCTCTCCGAAGGCACCACCTTACCCCCTTCTATATACCACACCCTTTAAACAGGATTGAAGACTCGTTCATACTTACAGCGGGTATCAGTCGATCCTCCTCCATTAACTTCAGCGGAAGATTTCGTAATTTATCATTTGTTTCAAACATTCTGCAAACAAAACCTCACGTTCAACTGATTGTGCAAAATTAAAAATTAAATCTTGCACCAGAGTCTTTAAACGAATTTTAATCAAGTTTCACTAACCCCTCGCACTCTTTTAAAACATCGGATGTGAGAGTCGACTTTAAAATTGTTAATGCCGTCCTGAAAAGCACTTTGACACCTGCGAGATCGTGAAAAATTGATGGCAACGTTTTGGAAATTTTAGCAGTATTACTTCACGTCTGCGTTGTAGATTTAGTGAATCTTAAACTCACTATATTACCTTCACAGAAAAACATGTCCCAGATTCTTAACACGGATGCGAACGGTAAATTTCTGCAGAGAAAAATGGAAGAAACGTGATTGAATCAGAAGAAAAAAACTGTAGCAAAAAAAGCCAGTGTTAATCGTGACCTGCATGGCAGACGGTCGCCCCTAGTGTAAACAGCTATCAACAGGCCTTTGAACATCAATTATGTTAAGTACCAAATAACTTTGTGTGTAGTAGTCAAGAAGTGGCTAATGAAAAGACGAGACATGTTTTGTTTTTCCTTTCGGGTTTACCCACCTTGCAAACAAACACATGAACCATTCTGTCATGTACATCAACGGGTCAATATGATGTTTCTCCTAATAACGAAAGTCAACCAGTTTTCAGTTTTGCAAGTATACCACTTGTTCGACCACAATTTCGTCTCCTGAGATATGAGTTTTACAGGATTTGCAGACCAACGAGAACGGCATTGGTTCACACCCAGTGAAAAGCGTGATTGTTGATGTATCAGGCAAAATCACATACACCACATAGAGAACATTGGGTTGAACAAACTGAATTGTGTGAACAAGATCTTCTAGTTTCTTACCATATGTTTTGATATTGATGGAAGAACTTTGGATAGTAAGCCTTTGAAAATTTCACCTTCAAGACGGATGGCTTCCTGAAAAATGAAATATGGCAATAAACTAAATGAGGTAAGACTGTATCATCATATAGAGGGCACTGTTTAAATGTGCTGGATTTGAGAAATACATTATAAACTACCAGCTGTTTCTACGAGATCAATATTCTCACCAATTTCTCCCCGTAGTAGCCTTTAACATAATTCTCTAAAAGTGATACGAGACACCAGAATGCATCCTTAAATGAAGAGAAATGCAATGATTAGTACAGATTAGTATAGTTGGTTATTGAATGATATGCCAATGCTTTTTCCATCAATGAAATAAACATTTTGTATAAGAGATATGAGACTTTAAAAAAGTATTTCATTTTAAAGGCTTATTGCTAACCAATGTATACCTCTGTGGCCATGTGCATTAGCAAGACGGCGGATACTGGTGCCATTGCCTGAAGGAAATTTCAAGATGCTCAACTTGTGGTGAAACACTGTCATTCAAATGAACACGGCACAAAGAAGAGTTTACCTGACAATACCCAACTTCAGTGTCATACAAGGAATATGCTTTCAAAACAAGATGCAAGTCCTCCTGCCTAATAAAACACAATAAATACACATCAAATAGACCTTACTGTTTATTCACTTCCCAGCTATTTGAATGCAGCAATGCCCATCACACAATGATTGTTCTTCTACTGTACAGAAGTTATGAATCTCTCAGCACAATAGATGACCCTGAGTATCACAAAAACTGAGAGTATATAGGCAGTGCAAGACTCACCCTGATCCAGGCTTTGAAAACATATCGTGAAAAGGAAATGTACGGTCAAGATCTTTCTGAATTGTATGTTCCCATTCTGAAGTTTGGCTCACAAGATTCTGACAAAGGTGAATAAAATTACATAAACTTGATGTTGTACCAAGTTGCGACAAACCTCTAACCATAAAGTGAAGCACCCATGATTTATGGACCTGGAATGCCATTTTCCCCCTGCTCTCATGTCATCTTTAATGTTTCCATTCTAAATCAATATTTTACTAATAATACTTACTAGGAACAATCCTTGGTTCTTTTCCTTTAGCTTATGAGCTCCGCACAAATGCTGCCACGCCCTGCCTCTCATTGCCGGAGGGATCCCCTTCCGACACCTTTCTTTCAGCTACAAACAGCGGAAGGAAGATAACATAAAATACATGTAGCGACAAAAAATGAATGAGCAGCCTCAATCTTGAGAATAACCTGTGTACAGCCTGTATTCAAATCATTTAACTGATTACAGGAAATGGCATCACAGCTTTGATTATACCTTTGGAAATTTGTTAGCCATATAATTATCCCAGTCTTTGATCATTTTGATCCATTTTTGTTCTCTTTCTCTCAGCACATCCACAGGCAAGGATGATTCTCTAACAAAAAAATTAAAAATCACATTGTCATCATAAACAATTAGAACTCTAGTATAAAAGAAAAAGAAAAATTACATTGTCGTCATAGAATATTAGAACATTGTCATGAATAAAGATTTCACTTCCTAATGATTCAATACAAGACCAGGATTAGTTTTTCTCAAGAATATGCCTTCCTCCACAGCAGAAGATACATAGCAAAGGCACCACATTTCATGTAATTGGATTTGTTTTTGAAAAGTACGTGGAATTGCCTAATCCCAGATTAACTCTAATCTTTTTTTAAAATTGGGGTTTCGAACAGCTGACCCTTGCCATTTCATAATACCCGTACAACAACTAATAATCCAAGGATTACTACCCCAATGGATGAAAATTATAGGAATTATGAAAACAATACAAATTCCAATAATAGTGAAATATATATGTATTCAACCATCATTTGTTGCTCATGCACTTCCTGAACAAGTTCCTGATGAAATATTGAAAAAATCTTGATGAAACAACAGAGACTTACGCTACGGTTTTCGTAACACCGCCAGTGAAACCATATTTATCGGCTTCTGGTTTGCTAGGGTCTGAAGTTGGTTCAACATAGTCTAAATCGATTCGACGAACAGCGTGTAATTGCACAGATGAATCTTCGTAGAACTCCATCAATATTCCCCCAAATCTTTTATCAAAGTAGCTTTCCCTTTGCCAATGGCTCAGAGCACCGTTTTTGACTCGGATTTACAAATCTAGGTGTTCAAATTTGAAGGAAAACAAACACTGTCAACACTCGGGTATTTACAATGACACTTCAAGTTCTCAGCCAGTTCAATGGCTTGAAATTCCGTTTGAACACAAGGAAGACAAAGGCAGACAGAGAATAATATATAGTTTTAATAAACCTACCTCCATGAGCTTGAAACCACGATATCGGCCGACGATATTGACTTTAAAACATTATTTCACATGATTTCAATACGAGTGTATTTTAATTTAAAGCTCAAACAAGATGTCAAGTGTCGAGGATTCGCGAGAGAAGTGGGGGCGAATCAACGGAAATTATGCAAATAATTTTAATTAGAATATTAATTGCAGGAAATCATTTAATTATTGAATGATCATATCGGCGCTAAAAACGGTCGATTGATTTCACTTCCAATTCAAAGCGAAACAATCAAACATTTATATCACAACATTTGCAGTAAAACAGAAATAAAATAGGAAAGTAAGTTCATTAATAAGACTAAACAAAGACTCATTTAACGGGCTTTTTATAAACCGGCCTTAAAGCAGTAATTACTAGAATTAGCAGGAATTACTAGCCAGGGGAAACACAAAAAGCATGTCCAACAACACGTCTTTCTTTTCTACAGCTGTTGATACGGTGCGAACAGGTAAAATATTAGGCGGTCAGGTTTGAACGCCTACCTCATCACACAATTGCTCACCGTTTAAGGATTACAAACACAGATAAGAGGGCACCTGTACTTTCTTTATTCTTCACAGTAATATTTACACCAAGCTAAGCAACGTCGCAATATACTACATATCCTTCAGCTGCTTAACTTGACTGACAAATTAGAGGAGAGAAGCCTACGCAAATGTACTAAAAACCCTACAACTATTGAAGAAACGGCCAAATGCAAACATTAATACAAAAAACTTGGTTCGTAACACGCACATTACTATCGTTAGACAACAAACGGTGCTCGACATTGTAGATGCGGTGATGTTGGAGCCAGCAAAAACTGGTTACATTCAGACGTAGGTTGAAGTAGTTCTGGTCATATTCTGGTTATTAGGCACGTGTTGTGATGCAGGGCCGCTATCCCTTCAGACATAACACAGGAAGCTGAAAGTAAACAGTGACGGTCGCGTGTTGGCAAAGACGTGACACAATATAAACAAATAAAGGCACACTTGCTATCTTTTAATTATTCTAAGTCAACATTGTGCAAGTAAAGAGTCCTCTAACGACAGCCGACGTAAACGTTCAAGCTGAACACGAGAGTGTATCCAATCGACAACGAAAAATTCCTATTCCGGAATCATGACAGTATATCCAGGCAACTCTTCTGCCGATTTCAACGGCCCGGATTACGGTCAGGTAACAGCGACGTCCGTTCTTCGAACAATCCCGATGATTATGGTCAGCATCGCCTCGTTCATCGGCAATGCTTTGGTGCTTCTGGCGATCTACCGTTTTAAAAACTTGCGCACATTCTCCAACATGTACATCGGGAGTTTGGCCATCACGGACATCATAGCTTCGCTGGCAATGCCTTTTAGCTATATCACAGTTCTCACCAACGGTCGTTGGCTGTTTGGAGAGGCGATGTGCCTCATAAATGGCTTTCTTCTCACTTTCCTTGCGAGCGCTTCGTTGCTCACGCTCTTGGTGTTCAGTATGTATCGTTGTTATCTGATAACGACAATACGAAAACGTTTGTCGGCGGTCCTTCTGGGAAAAATGATCAAAATCTCCGTTCTTGGCATCTGGCTGTTGGCGTTGATCTACTCGTCTCCACCACTATTCGGGGGAGGGAAGATTAAGTTGATGCGATTCAACTACAGCTGTATCATCGATTTCGTTCATTCGGGATTTTACATTGAGTTTTTGGTCATTTTCCTTTTTATTATACCTCTTATCGTGATGACCGTGGCTTACGCACGAATCATCAAGTTCATAAACATGCATAACAAGACGATCAAGAAGAACTCGGCGAACACTCGCCGACGGCATTCCGGCATCTTCGCGCAATCGTCGGAAGCGTCCGTCGACGAAGGTAATCGCTACACTGTGATGGAGTTGAAAAGAAAGTTGGATCTCATGAATGAAGGGAGGAGCGACGCCCAGAAGAAGTTGCAGAACCAACTTAAGAACGTGCTGGCTCAGGTAAGATTGAAAAATTCAGGGGAATAAATGCCCCATAACAAGGGCCTAATGCCATGCCAAAAAATATGAACATCAATTTGCCAATTACCTTAAAAGAATTTTCCTAGGAAGTGCATTAACCATTAACTTTATATTACCAGTCAAAGAACGGGGAATCTTCCCAATCCATGGATTCGGATTCGAAACATCCACAGGAGATACCATTAACAAACATTAAACCATCTCAACTAAACACCGAAGTGACATTTCAACTGAGTTCCAGCCACACAATGGATACCATCGTGTCTTGCCCGCAGGACGAGGCCGACGAGCCGACGAACAACGACGACGGAATCAGCGAAGATGAACGGAGCTGCGACTCGACTTCGGAGAACACCAACACAAAAGAAGTTCGCAAAAAGATCTCCGTAAGCTCTGTCGTACAGAAATGGAAGAATAGGGTTAACAAACAAGACTTTTTAAGACAATACCGAAAACGCATAACGCATCAGACTCGCTTGGCGCGAATCCTTCTTGTAACTGTCGTAACGTTCCTCGTTTGCTGGACGCCATTTTCAGTCGACTCGTTTCTTCTTGGCGTTGGATACACGAAGGAAAGGCCTAAAGATTTTCAACTGGTCGCGCACTGGTTGGCGTTCTCTAACGCTCTTTGCAACCCAATTATCTATACTGTGATGAACGCGCACTTCAAGGGGGCGTTTAAAACGATCCTACAAGATTTCTGGCGAACTCTCGCAAATTGCTGTATCCGTGGGGGGGATGATGATGTGTTTCAGTGAAACTTTAAATTTGTTCTGCAGCGGAAGTCGGTGAAATGTGTCGGTCGTTCTAGGGTTTCTGTATTCAGTTTTGTTACTCGTTAGTCTGACTGGCGGTCCTTAACTACTACTTTAGTCAGTTTAAGGGAGTCATATGAAATCCGGCGAATTTGCTTTGACTTTGTGTTGTATTTTGACATTCCAAGATCCTGCCAGAATCAGAAACGGTATTATAGACAGAAAGATGCAATATGGTATAATCATATGTAATATAAAATATTCTCATTTATCGTAACAAATGTATTATACACAAAAAAACAAAAGATTAAAGTCTATAATAAATTAATTCGTATACTTAAAACATAAGCGAGCGTATAAAAGAGACGTGTTAAAAAGAATGAAGCCGTTGCCATCTTCAATTCACGTTTCCCCTGCCGATATATTTTTCATTATTTGCATGTCATATAAAAACTATGCAAGTTTTTAAATTAATTTACAACAAACAAAATTCGATTGCATGCTATCAATAGGGGTTCTGTAAAATTAATCAAAAGGCAAAAATTTCTAATACGTATAATAAGATTTATAATATAACATTTATAGTACGCGCGTGCTGATTGGTCGAGAAGCGTTTTTCTATTTAACAATTAGACAACGAGTCTGAGTTGTCTATGAGCGAATAGTCAACGAAGGCGAAGCCTGAGTTGACTATTCGCTCATAGACAACGAAGGCGAGTTGTCTAATTGTTTTAGTATACACCCTATACCTAGATATATTAATTTCGAGAAAATAATCGATACACCGAAAAATAATTCAATTTTATACGGTCGCGCGAGCGAAATTTTCCCAAGCGTGCACCATCACGATAATATGGTTGAGTAGCCAATCAGAATGTAGGATTTGTAATAGACAATAGTCGAGTGTATACTAAAACTGTATAGAAACACGGGAATTTTCCCGCCGAACTTGTCAAGCGAAGTAATGTAATGAGAATTTGTAATTGAATCGAATTATAATATTTGTAAAAAATCTTTTTATTGAGTTATATTATAAAAGAAATAGAAAATATTTTCCGTGTTTCTATACAGTTATAGAAACACTTGTGGGAGTTTGGGAGAACTCGAAATAACGTGGAAAAACTCGCCCTACGGGCTCGTTTTCCCACTGATTATTTCTCGTTCTCCCAAACTCCCACGCGTGTTTCTATAACTGTATAGAAACACGGAAAATGTTTTCTATTTCTTAAATAGATATAGACTCGCTGTCTCGTTTGTCTAATGAAATTCTAAATCAGTTTATTTTTTCAAGCCCAAGTCTGGCGTGCTCTTCAAATTTGTCGGCTTTATTTTTTCTTTTTTAAACAGTTCATATTGACACTGTCTCCTTGCTTTCAAAGTCAAAGAGAATAAGAATTACTCTCGTTAGCTTTAATAAATTATGAGCAGGACGAGGCAAATCCAGCTGGTCAAGGCAAACCATAAACTAATACGTCGCATATTACAATTATTCTTCACGTGTACCGTCAAGGAAACGTCCAAAATTGCGTTAGAAATGTAAGGAATTTAAGAAAAAATCACACGCCAATTTTGATACGAAATAAGAGCAGGAGACGAAATAAAGCTTTGCGAAAACAAAAGTTTAATATATTTTTATTGATAAACGTCTCCATGGTGACTGGAAAAAAATAGGACTTGTGCAGCGCGTATATAAAAACGAAGTTTCATATCACTCTAGCCTTCTATTTGAGATTTTGTGATGGGGGAAGTCAACTTTAGGCAGGAAGACATCAATGAAGTTCAAGAACACGTTGAAAGAAATGGAGTTCTTAACATTGGCACAATGTTAAACCAGAAGCTAGAAGAAAACAGAAATACCGAAATAAACATTGGAATCACTGGTAATTCGGGAACTGGGAAATCTAGCTTTATTAACGCTATACGAGGGTAGGCACAAGTCTTTATTTTATACATACAGAAGCGGGATCTCACCATCAGTATCAATGTTTAATGAAAACAAAATTGAAACAGTTTAAGCTCTAATTCGCAAAAACAAGCATATATATATACATGGCGGATTGTTGAAGATGCGACCCTGAACTAAATAAACTAATTATAGGAAATACATTATATTTAAATTTAAAAAATTAAAACCCCTAAACAAACTATACAATATATTCGGAGAGGACTCAACATTTGACTTTCTTCCTTCCCTTCAGTGTACCTGACGACGATCCGACGGCTGCACCAACTGGTGTCACGCAGACCACCATTGAACCAACTCCTTACCATAATTTAGAAAACTATAGAAACATTATTTTTTGGGATTTACCTGGAATAGGGACTGTAGACTTTCCTAATCTGAAAACCTACAAAGGGCAAGTGCATTTGGGGGACTATGACGTGTTCCTTATCTTAGCAGCTAGTCGATTCACGCTGAAGGACCTCGAATTAGCGAGAGAAATCAGATCAATGCATAAGAAGTTTTTCTTTGTTTACACCAAGATTGACGTGGATACTAACGCAGAAAAGAGGAAACAAAATTTTGATGAAACACAGATGCTTGAATCAATCAGAAACACCTGTTTAAATTCCTTAATGAGTTTGCAGGATCATGGAGAAGATGCTCCCCCATTGTTTTTGATCAGTAATCATTATCCAGAGAAGTGGGAATTTTCTGACCTGACCAATGCTATTCTAGATGCACTGCCAAAACTTAAGCAAGAGGCTTTAACCTTGTTCATTGATGTCCTGATCAGTAAATCTGCCGATATTTTAAAAAGGAAAATTAAAGTTCTCAAAGAACGAATTTGGATGGTTGCTTTGAATGCTGGAGTTGCAGGGCTCGTACCAATTCCCGGATTTTCTACAGCGGTTAACTTTGTCCTGATCAGAAAAGAGATAAAGTTTTACCGATCACAACTTGGTCTGCCGGAAGATGGTACGGATGAGTTTGCGAAAATGAATCCGGCCTACAAAGGAACACTAACAAAATTCTCCTTTTCTACTCCCATACAATTTGCTCAATTGGTAACGTCATGCATGCCATTGGTAGCGGGTGAAAAGCTCCTCCTAGTAATCCCAGTGGTAGGAATCGTACTAAGCTCAATTGCAGGCGGGGCAGTGTCATCGGGGTTGGCATATTATATTCTCAAGAAATGTCTAGAGGAGTTTGAGAAAATAGCACTCGATGAGATTAACAAAAATTCGATAGAGGATTCCGATAATGAATAACTTTTTTGCCAATATATTTATCGGAAACAATTGCTAATTCAATGTTCTATGTAGACCATCATATGAGTAAAATAATGAAACGTAGTGATTATATTTTGTAGATTCTTTTCTCACTTTTCCCTTTTCAGCATTAAAATTTGCACAATGTATATCTACGTTGTAGGTTTCAAAAATAGCGTGTCCTTGTTGACGGACAAAGTGTGCGAGATTATGAATGTAATAATTATGGCAATGTATCAATAATAATAGTATATGTAAATTGTAGAGTTCAAGCATCTAGTTTATATAGCAAATTAAAAGCAAAAACGCCAAAGCTGAATTTACCTCTTAATACGTGATGTAATAATATTTTACTTATAGCTTATAGCACTGCTCAGTATCACGAGTTGTATGTACAACTTTTATTAGCTGATAAAAAAATAAGGGTGTTAAAAATCTGTGATAGCGTTGTAAAATTCTCTATTACTCAGCCAATCTAAGGTTGCAATAAAGGACTGGTAATAGCTAGATCATGTTGGAGCAGTATCAAGTAGAGACGAGCTTTGATTTTATTCAAGTTGTTTCAATGCCATTAATTTGCTGCCGCTAATTCCGATAGGTGCGGTATTATGTAAAGCGAAAAATAAGCAAGAAAATAATATCGAATTTTCGCCGAAGCTCGCCGTGTACCTTAAGAATTTAAGGCAGCTAATTACCTTGGAAAGAAAATACATCCATTTAAAATCTACTTCGTGATTGCTTTTGCCAATTTTAGAACGTTGAAGGCTTGCTTCACCAACGGCATGTCAATCATTTGACCACGGAATGTGATCGCTCCCTGTTCGATGATGAAAATATATTATAAAATAATTAAATCAGCCGTACGGATTTGTTAGTAATAGTCCAACTGCATCACCCCTTATTGGCTTTATATTAACGTCTCTTCACATTAATTTATGATTCGACTACTGATCAAATCAAAGCTTCGTTTATAAAGCCATAGCCATAGCAAGGCTGGCTGATTGAGTCAGTCAGAATAAGTGATAAATTGAAGGTAAAGTTAATACTTTTGAAAAAAAACTTTTAATAACAATAAAAATTTTTAGTTGAAATTGTTCCGTCGGTTATCCATTTATTAGACTGCATATCACCATCACAGTGAGGTAAACAAGTCATGCACGTGTCACGAAGGGAAAACTAAATTGCCTCATTTGCCTGTATGTATACATATAGTTACTGTAAAAAAATCTCATATGACAGCTCAGTACTTACAATTCCTTCACTAGACTGTTGTTCAAATGCTCCAACCAGCTCCTTTGCCCACTCAATCTTCTCTGGTGATGGTGAAAATGCTTTGTTAACAATATCAACCTGACTGGGATGGATGACTTGTTTTCCTGCAAGAAAGGATGAGAATTTTGATTATTGATAAAAAAATTCCAATATGCAGGATTTGTGGGATAACATTCTGCCATGAATTTATGAGTACTTAAAGATGATCAAAAGTGTACCTGTAAATCCCATCTTAGCCCCTTCTATGGATTCCTCTTCAAGTCTCTCTAGATCTGAAAAGATTAGCAGACAAATATACAATGTTTAGCAGTAGCTGTTGACCTCGGCAAACAACCATCAAGTACAATTTCAGTTTAAGAATACACCATTTGTGTATATCTAATTCTGACCCTGGTCATACTATGATGACCATACCTCAATCCAGTTAGAGCTTAGTATTAGAAGCTCAGTTTTGGTCAGGATTGGAGGGTAAAAGACAGGTATTAGAGGTTTTGGATTAAAGTTTATAAATCAAGTATTTGTTGATCTGATCAAAATTTAGTTACAAATCTACAAACCTTTAAAACCAATATGAACCATGTCAATTGCCTGCAGCCCAAACGCTTTACAATGTATGACGATAGATTGACGAGCAAACATCAGTTCTTTTGCATCCTTGGTTCTTGTTGCTCCTAGGTATATAAAAACATCAGTCCTGGTCACTCAACGGCTTAGAGAACTGAACCTTATTTGACTATGTAGGTTATATACAAAACAATGGTGAACCTACCAATATTTGCAAAGAAATCATCAGACCCAAAGACGACTGCTTCAAGATTAAAAAGATTGGTTGGATCAACTCCTGCTTCTAAGATTTCTCGTAGATTTAACAAACCAATTGCTGACTCAATAAAAATGATCAGCGAGATTTTCACGTCTGGTTCAAGAGACTTTGCCACCGGGAAAATTTTCTCATTTATCTACAGAAAAAATAAACCAGGAACTTTGAAAAGAGAATACTAGTTCGCTGGAGGAACGTGCAGATGATACAGGTTTGTTCAAAAGAGTGGGTAGGGGGGGGGGGATGTTTGGACTTGTGAACTGTGAAGATTGATACAACAATGATGAAATGTCAAAGCAATGCTTTAGACTCTGGAATATATTGGATGATATTGATATCTGCCCTGGCAGCCTGTTAACGTACCCATTCCAAATGCTTGACATGTTCTACTTTGGGAACTAGAAGAGTTGTTGGGATAGTGAGACCTTGCATGAAAGTATTCATATCTTCCAACGCTAGTTTTTCACTGTCAACAGAATTTATCCTAACTGCAACTTCGCTCGAGCCAAATGATGTTGTATTGAGGACATTTGAGATGATGTCCCTGGCTTCTTTCTACAGAAGACAATATACAAAAGGAGTACTTTACAACCGATACCTAAATCTCAGATCCAGAGTTTTGGGTGGATTGAGTTTGAAACTCTACGACACCATAAACTTGAGCTACCTTACGATTCAGTGCCACACCATCCTCACAGTCCAGCACAACAATATCAGCATTCAAGCTCGATGCTTTCTTAATTTTTCGTTCATCATTGCCAGGAATATACAGCAAAGATCTCCTCGGTCGTAAAGTACCATCGGTACTTGCACATCGCCGTGGCAAAACGCTAAAACCGCAAAAACAGCGAACAGAACTTGCAAAATTCTTTCCAAATACGCTCCTGGCGACCGCCATCTTCAGTCTCTACGTGTGACACACGAAAGATCCCGCGCGAGTATCCCGGCGGGGAATTCCCTAACGGCCAGAAATGTTTCAAATGGAGAAATTGTTACAAAATGATGTTTGATAATGTAATAACATCTTGTGTGTGACAATCTTCTCACAAAATAAACAAAAAATCACAATTTATATTGCCCAAATACTACGGAAGAATGGTGTAGTTTTTTCAAGAGATGATGAGCGTGATATTTATGTTTATATGGATTCCACCATTTGATTTTCTAACTAACTTATATGTGATATAAAATAATAGATTTGTTTCACTTTTTATTCTTAATAAGTTCACCAAAATACGCTGTGATTGTCTTTACCCTTCTGTTCAAAAAATTTTGTTCAATTTCAACCTTCTCTCTCCCCTATCGAAATCTGCCAGCGATGTCAACTGCTCAATGTTGGTGTTTTTTGGTACAAAATACGCAATGTTCTCAGTGATATTTCTGCTTAGTTCAAATATTTTAAATCCATCCATGGGTATCATGGTCTGAAGGTCAAAGACTGCCGCATCGGAGTACGCTGGTCCACCCCACGGCGGGCTCAAGAACACCACGTCGGCGCAGAGGGTTGGTGCGAGCTTCATGTAGTCCCCTACAATAAACTCAATCCTATCCTCGACTCCGTATATCCTCGCGTTGTTCCGGGCTAGTTCGACTTTCACCGGGTCAATATCTATCGCTATTACCCGCTCGCAAGTGAATGCAAACTGTATGGAGTTACCACCGACGCCGCAGAACGCGTCAACGATCAGATCACAGCGACATCTATGGGCGATGTGTTTTGCGATTCGTTCGGGTGTCACAGAAAACCAAGACTCATCGTCCATCTTGATTCCCTCATCGTAAAGCGAGAACAAGCGATATCTTTGATGCCAATATTTCGCCAGGGTTTTGTCTGTAGGATTACCTTTGCTTTCACATTCCTCGAAGTCATTTTCTTTACTTTCCCTTGCAGTAGTTCTTTCACAGTTCGAACTCATAGTTGAATCTTCAGGACACGTATTCCCCTCATTGACACTAGGACAGGTAGAACTGTTCGAGTTACACTGACCTTCTTTGAGGATTTCGCTCTCCACTTCGTCTTCTTGCCCTGACTCACTCGAGCTCGCCTTGGAACTAAACTGTTTTCCCTCCACCTGATCATTCAATGTCGTCTCACAGCTGTCCGGCATGGAGTCAACAATCTCTTCACAAGCAACTGAAAACTCCTTTCCTTTGAAACTTAAGCGCGCACTTTTGTACTTCGGGCGGCCATTGCAATGTTCTTCACTTGAACCCATTTTAAAACCTAGCACGTTGTAAACGTCCCGAATATATTTTTCTTCATGGTCACGCTCTTCAACCTCCAGCAACCTTTTTCCTTGCTTATTTTCAGAACCACTAGAGTCAGAATTCATCGATTGCTTTTCACCATCCAAGTTGCTCATGTCGTCCTCTCTGACGCCATAATGCTCTTGGTTAAGCACCCCTTCCACCGGCTCAATACTGCAATCAGGATGCGTTTTAATGCCGCTAACACCAACACCAATTCTGTCAAAATCTGGTCTTCCACCTGAATGGATCTCCGCGTCAACACAATCACTTTTGGTCAACTCACATGAAGTATCCACAATTTCCTCTGTCAGCTCATTGATGTGTTCGGTAGCGAAATCATTTTTTCTTCTAGAATTTTCTCCTTTATTTACATCATTTTCTCGTTCAATATCACTTCCCTTACGATATCCTTGCGCGTACCAATAGTGATATTCATTATAATAATAATCGCAGACCTCATCCCGCAACTTCAACCAGGCTTCCTCCCACGAATTGTCATCCTCCGACGTCAAACCTTCGTCGGGACGATCGGGATTGACCGTCTCGTCGTCGCTGTACGGCGGACGAACTCCTGGATGTATCGCATTCCAGCTTTGCAACGTTAGTTCATAAGCAAAGGTGCTCCAGTACTCCTCCCATCCACTATCCTCAACTGACGTTTTTGAGCAGTCTCCATTTTCATTCGGAACAGATGGTTTTGAACAGAAATCTTTGGCTAAACTTGAAAGTGGTTCTTTGCCTACTTCGTCCTCAAAAGCCATATTTTCTTGTTCATCTGCAACTCTTTCGGAAACAGTTTTCGGTTTCATAATCTCCACATCTTTCCTTGGCAAATGATCGTTTTCATTACCAGCGTGTTGATTGGTAATATCATTTTCGTTTTTTTCTTCAACTGAAGTTGAAAAATCTTCATTTACTCTTTCTGTCTTATCATTGGCAAGCAATGCAACCTCACATATCTTGTAGTCTGTAGGATTTCCGATTACCTCTTCAATGATATGACTCTGTTCATCAAAACCTGGATGACTAACCACATCATCAGTACAAGTTGATTCTGCAAGTTGATTGATATTTCCTTGTTTAGTGCTGGCTTCTTCATATATGCCGTTTGCGAGATTTTTTGCGGTGTCAACAGCATTGGGCCCCTTTTCTTCAACAATGTTAGGCTTGCAACAATCATCAATTTTGTCACCATTGAAATGCTCAAAATCCAAATCTTTTGCATTCGTTCTTTGACGTTCTTTTCTGCATTTTTTCTTTTTCTTTTTGGCTTTTTTAACGATTCCTCCATTCTTTGACTGCACCAGAAAAAAATGCATTAGGATTGCCTAATTCAGACACCCAAAACACAAGATGACAAACCCTTGTTTTATTTTTTGCTATCAGCCAGACATATCAGTGATATATGTTCATGAATGGATTACATTTACACAATCAATTCACGCAATACTATACCTTATCAGTTAAAGGTGAAATGCTGGCCGGCATGAATGATGTTGGCAACCCCATTTTCTTCATTGCTTCCAATTCACTGTCTTCAAACAATATGGTCACTGGCTCATCTTCCACTCTGTTGTCAGAACTGTCCTCTTCAGCGGCAAATGACAGTGCTAATTCTAAGCAATTTTTATCTTCTTCAGTATTCCCAGCTTCTTTGATTTCCTACAGAAATGTCATTTAAGCAGAATGTATATTAAAATTGCACAACAAATCAGAAAACGTCAAAGAAGTTTGTAAAAAATATTATTTAAAGATTCAAGTCAAAATTCAAATAACCTTGTTTTTGCTTGGCTTCTTCTTGTTCACCAAATCTGCATCACTGCAAATTGTAGATGAAGGGTTAAAACAGTTACTGCAGACTGCAGAGATAATCTATCGTGTCAGCTGTGTGGAGTGTGGACTAATTGTAACTTGTACGTTTGTAAGATTTACAAACATAGTAATTTATTGAATATTATATAAAGTCTTAACCAATGTGCTCAGATTCACCCTACTTTATCGACTCTGTCAATCACCATAGGCTGTTTGGTAAAAGTAGTCAAGTAGTTCAAATAGCCTTTCTATAAAAACACCATGTACCAATGTCCAATATGCATGTATATTAAATTTTACTGATAACTGACGTACATAGTACGTACCTAAGTAGGGATCTGCTCAAAATAACTCGCGTTGAGCGATCCATTTCTCCCGAAGATAACTCCATACACACGACATTGCAATACCGTGTGCGCACATATTCTAACTCGTCTATTCCAGCGAGAAATTCAGGCCAAAACTCGCCGTTCTCTGAAGCCATATGTCAGTATGGAACCATTATGAGCCGACGTCTCGAAGAAGAACGTGAAAGCGGTTTCTACCATGGATACTACTTCCACTTGTTGTTCGCGACAGGATATTTTGCTTCAAGAGAAATAAAAACAAATTATTCGCCAAAGTGAAAAGACAGAATACAGAATAAACCTATTCTGTTCTAAATTTCTTTATAAGGTGTTTTGTAATATATATTCTCCCAATGAAAATTAAAAGATTTACTAAAAGAATTTCATTTGTGTATTTTGAATAACTGGCTTTGGAATATGGAAACACTTACCGGTAACTTTAAATTTAAAAACAAAACAAAACAAAAATGATTTCCGAAGAAAAAAGCAAATTTTATGGTTGTTATTTGCTGTATTGCCTCAATCCAAAGTACAAAGGGCGAACATATATTGGCTTCACTGTCGATCCAAACAGAAGAATCAAGCAACATAATGGAGGTGTCCAAAAAGGTGGTGCTTACAGAACGAGCAACAAGGGTCCATGGTAGCAACACTTTCTCTCGATATTTTCAAATAATACACTAAGATTATTCATACCAAACACAAATCCTCGCGTTTAAGGTCATACCTGGGCGAAGATTTCGTACGATATTGAAGAAATTTTTGTTTCATTTTTGTTTTTCAAAACAGGGAGATGGTTTTGACTGTTCATGGCTTTCCTAATGAAATATCTGCTTTAAGAGTAAGATAAAATCTTTATTGCAGTGCTTATATTATCTTTATAAGACCCCTAGTCTAACTGATCATATGCCTTGAAGGCATTAGGAAAACATGAAAAGTCAATGCCTCAACAATGAGTTGGTTTCTCCAATCTATAGTTTGAATGGGCATGGCAGCACCCATTTCGAAGCCGGCGACTAAAACGTGTTGTGGCAAACAAAAAATCAACGGAAAAAAATTTCGCGTTTTACTTCCGAGTGCTGACGGAGATGCTCCGCATAGGACCCTGGAACCGACTGGCGTTAACTATTCAATGGTTGAAGGAGGATTACCATATGGATTTTGACCTCCTGAAACAACCACCAGTTCACATGGCCATCAGGTTTGGGCCAATCACAAGCTGGAAGAAACCCAAAGATACCAAGGATGTTGGCTCGGAGAATGCATCTGTTCCCATGTGTAAAATATGTGATAATTTAATTGTAGTAAGTTGTCAAATCTTTCCTACAACTTGTATTCATATTTCATATCCTCCAAGTTATCCAATATCTCAAGAAGTTGCTTTCTATTCTCTCTATGTTCACCTTTAAAATCTGTCTTCTCTAGATTCAAGACCACCTCTTGCAATGTCTCCATGTCGACTGTGAGATGACCGCACATATTTTCTGTTTAGCAAAAACATTTCTATCTAGCCGTGAACAGGACAAAGACTTCTGTTTACCATTAGAAGGCGACTGCCCAATCTGTGAACAGAATTTACTCTGGGGAGAACTGATACGCTTTCAACATCAGATACAAGATATAAAACAGCCCCAAAATGTACTTGAGTAGAGAAATAATGATGCTGTTAAATGGATCGATTTCTGCAATTGGCAGATTAAACCATTGGACATAATAGGACAATGTTAATATACATGTACAGGCTTTAGGTAGAATTCTTAGATTTCGAGCATACTCACAATATTTCCCATGGAAGACGACGAAGAAATGGCTAAGAGAAATTGGACAATTTAAATGCTATTTTTAATTATTCTATTTACAATTTAATAGTTCCGATGCATTTAGCTGCAAAGGTGTTATACCATTAGATGGAAATATATATTCTATATTCAGGATTATACATACATTAGTAACGTTAATGCATTCGCAGATTTTGTACAAATTACCGGGAAATACCAACACGTACCTAAATATATTTATTGACAATTACCCCATGTGTTGGTTATATTATTCCACCCACAAACACCCCCGTCCCAATGAAATTCCCTCGAGGATATTCCACCTCGTACGCATTCGTGTTAGTCTAGTTGAGTAAAAAAATCCTGGATTATTTTTTCTGTCGGTTTTTGATAATTTTTAGCGCTTATGTTTAGTTCTGCAACAGCCTGATTTTCTCGTAAACCATGCCATCTCTCCAAAATATGGCTGTAGTTCAGCATTTCTACGAAGTTTCCTGCAAGAAAAGTAATGGTTCTCGTACATACGAACATATAAAATCCTTTTTCACCGCAAACTCGCCGTCGTCAACTGATTTCACCCACGCATGTTTATGCTTTTGAAATTCCCGTTTCGAAGCAAACCAATTTGTGCGTTTCATTACTCATTTTGAGCAGTGCTTTGAGTGGTGGAAATGTACGCAGACGGGTATACGAAATTTCACATATTTACAATAACAACTATAAATCCTAAAGGCAACGCATACAGAGAAGAAATAACTCACTCCGGCATAGGAGATCCCAATAAATATTTTTGAAATAAAAAGTAAATTGTCCAGTTACGTTGTGAGTTCAGTGACAGTGATAACGTAACTGGACTATTTACTTTAGTATTTCAAAAATATTTATTGGGATTCCTATGACTCCGGTTACCATGTCTCGGACTTCGAGTTGACCACCTCTGGAGCCCACGCCTCACATGCAACTCCAAAATAAAATAGCTGAATACAGATTGATCTGTGAAGCAAATATGATCAATGCTTACCTGTACTTTTATACAAGTGAATTAATCCCCTGTAATCATACTCTAACCCACTGTATCCATCGCCAAAAAGTTTGCGACCTGCAGAAAAACACCGAAAGTCATGATATATATTTGGCGCCATTTGAAAAGTGCACTGTGTAAGAGTTAGGCTTTTGTCCTGCAGATCGGAGAGTGTTTCTACTTGCGTAGCTCTTGAGTAAACTAATGGCTTTAACACAAACAACGCTTCCCCTTATGCTTAAGGATATCTTTGCCGAGTGGGATCCAAAATAACTGGAAATCTGAAACGATAATTCGGGAAGGGGGAGGGGGGTTGATAGGATGGGATAAAGAAGACAAACTCAGCCTACCGATTGCAATAGAGCGAATATAAAGCTGTTCTGCTTGGTCGTACATATTCATGTCATATGTGTAGAGTGAAGCCAGATGCCCCAGTGATAACGCCACCTCGTAGTCCTGAAACACACGTCAGAATGATATCAAAAGTGTCCACGCACATGACCTACATATAAACCATGGAGTGACATAGTTATGTACCTCCTTGCCCAGTAATCTTTCCTTGATTTCAATCGCTCTTTTGTGCATCTCTTCAGCCTCCTACACACAGGAAAGTCGTATAGAATTAGTTTAATGACAGAGGTCTATAGACAGGATCATTTCTTATTGATCAAGTGATGACTCAACCAGTTCCAAACTTCTCTTCCTGGAGTTCCAGTAAGGATCATCTCGTACTGGATAGCTCCACCACTAAATTGTCCTCCTTAGTCCACCAAAGATCATCTACATCCAACACAACCACTGGACGACACCTATATGCCAATATTGTCTCCTCCACATAGCTCTATCATTTCCAAGCAAACAATAATCTCATAATCAACCTACATGGTATCGCTTCATGGACTGATACAGTCTGCCAAGGTTGCCAAAATGTTTTGCTATTTGAACATTATCTTCCCCAAACGCTTGCCTGTTTATTACACAAAGGAAATGGCATTTGAGACTAGTAAAACAAAGCAGTGTTTCTTGGATTGAAACATAATTATGTACCATCATAATTATCATAATTATCATAATTATTTACCTTGCCAAGAGGAGCGATGCTAAATGAAGGTTCTGAGCCTCGTCTAGTTTTTCTTCTTCTAAATCTCTGTCGATGGCAATCTCCTCTAGGACGAGAGCTGACGAGAAAGACAAGGTAAATTCAGAAGGTATATTTGACAGAGCGAAAGATCTGTCTTCTCTCTATGATACTGTACCTTTTACTCTTTTTGACGACGCAAGTAATAAGTGATCTTGAGGCATTATTCTTGAAATAATATCTATTGCCATTTGAGCATGCCATCTGTAGAAAAATAGCGGCAACTTGGATGAAATAACGATCTATCTATGAAACATCTAGCCATCGACATTGCATTGTATGGTAGTGTGGTATATGGTTAGCAAAGCATTGTAAGGTATGCCAAACTCATGCACAGGGTACTTCTGCGGTTGAATTATCAAATGGTATGGTATTCACATGATATGCTAGTATGGTGGTATGCATGGTAAGCGTTGTATGGTATGCCAAACTCATACAGAGGGTGAAAGTGGTATCAAATGGTACATGTTTGGTATTGCAAGATATTTGTGGTACGTGCGTTCAGATTCCCACCTGGCGTTTTCAAACTCTCCACTGCTGTATTCTTGAACGTACGAGGCATAACCTAAGTCTTCATGCACCATCGCTACGCACAGATTATTCTCTCCAAACACACTTTCTCGAATGTCTAGAACCGTCTGTAATGACAGAAAGTAGTCACTGGTTACTGTACCATCACAGAAAGTACTGCGGTTCTTCACTATGCGCTTCTGGTAAACTGACGAATGTTCACATGAAAAGAGTCCCAACAAACCTGATAAATTTTCACGGCGGAATTCACCGAATCGACATTTAAAAGATAAAAACCATAGTCGACTAAGCAATCGGCGTATGTCGGATGTTGTTCGCCAAAATGTTGTCTAGAAATATGAGCGAAAATGAATGGACAACGTCAATGTAATAACACCGATAATTTTCAAATTAACAAACCTTGCAAGCTCAACAGCATGTGTGACCAAATATTCAGCCTTTCTGTATTTCCGTTTAACAACGCATGCCTAAAGGACAAGGGTATTCTGACTTTTCAAAGTGCTCACCATAACATTTGGTGAAAAATAAAACGCTCGTAAATTTGGGCGGTCATCTTTGTGGCATACCTTCGAAGCGATTCGTAAAATATCGACGATCACCTGTAAAGTTTTTAATTAAACATGTGAGACTGACTTGAAATAGATTCAAGCCAGGGGGACGTCGTTTTCCATATTGAAAACTGATCGTTACCGTATATATTTTGGTTATAACTTTCTGTGATGTTCAAAGCAAGACTAACTGAACTAAACAAGACCACAAATCGTATTCTTTATGACTTACTTTCACAGGAAGGTGAGAATTAACTTGAGTTAGCAATTTTAAACAGTCTTGATATGCCTGTAAAATGTAGCGAGATGTTCGCAAATTAAGACGCTTTTTCCCAACAATTGAAGAGTCGTTATACCGTTTTTCTGTTAATCTTCCATAACACGTAATTTCCAGGAAATGTGGGAAAGCGTACATTGAAGAACAGACTTATAACTTTTAACTGAAAAACCTCAATACCTCTCTGTAATGATTCATTGCAAAAAGCAACTGACATTTTCCTAAAGAAATTGGAATCCAACTAACAGGGAAAGAAGACAAACTCTCCAGCTGACTTGCTAGTTCAACCGCTTGTTCATACGAGTCTTTTGCAGAAGAAAATTGACAATTTGCTGTCCTAATTTGAAGCAATCTAAAAGGATTAAAAACAACAAAAGTTATGCTGTTCTCAAGAGGTTAAAGTAATATGGTGCCAAGTTTAGCTTTCTATATCCGTTTAAGATATCTTTGCTTCACATTAGGTATACCTTGTATGGCAGAATAAAATAATCTTGAATGGTTTTGGATCTAACTCTTTGCAAAGTTGCAAAACACAATAGAAAATTTTGTCCGCTTCGTAAAACCAACCCATCTCAAAAAACAGATTACCTAAAAATATTGCAAGGAAGACAGTGTCAACTATTGTGGCAACATACTCTTTCAAACACCCACGAATTGTACTTCTAGTCAGTCCAATAAACTAAATAATGAATGATTAAAAGTTCCTCTGAATTTATGAGTTATACAAGTTTGCAGTACCTAGCGATATACCAAGTGGGACAAGCTTTTGACATCTGTCGCAATCCTTCAATCTGACGTATTGTAAGACCTGACAACTATATTCTTCACACAAAATAACACCAACATTTATGCCACTGTCACACAGACTTTGTAAAGGTTTATAAAGTAATAATCTGAAAGAATAAATAAATAGTGATTGGAGGGGGAGCTAGGTTATGCTATATGTCCACATCAAAGAGAAATTTAACATACCTTAAACTCACTTAAGGTGTCATTCACCTTTACCTCAACGTGTGAAATATTTATCTGACTTATTTTATAAAAAAGGTTTTCTTCGATATCAGGTTATTTTTGGTCAATGAATTATTTTGTGTTTCTCGTTTTATATCATCTATTTTGTTTATATTCACTGGCTTTTGAATAAAGACATATAGTAGCATGTTGTTAATTATGAAACTTGATTATTGATCAACTTCATTATGAAACAGATTTATGCTGCTACTTAGATGACATTGGTAGTGTAGGATTTTGTATCAAGAAGACAAGAGTTGTATTTCAAAAGGGAAAGCTGTAATCTACTAGCTGTTATTAATTTATGATTTTTCTAATATGTTTCCAAAGGTCTGTTGACATGATTCAATTTTGTTGGATCCAACTCACTTCTGACATATGGGATTTAGTCTGTTATGATAAAGCAGTATTGCACTAGCTTGTGTTGATTTGCTGCCTAAATACATTGCAAATCAACAGACTATAAAACATCCTTCAGAAGGGAATTGGATAGAACAAAATTGGACAGTGTGAACACACTTTTTGCTAGAGAGATTAGACACAGAAGAAAACTAAAGTGAGTGAAACTGAGTGCATTGTTGGCTAATAAGTTGTCTATTTCGTCATCTATGCATCAGATATTAACCACAGTTAAAATGGGTGCGGGGCCACTACACTAAAATTAAAGGATGACTTTACCTTCTTTCACTAGCCCTAAGTAATTTAGTAACATTTTCAAAACACGTTAGTTCTGTTTCTAATGCTTTTAAATGACCACAGTTATACATCTACAGTGGAGCAAAAATAAACCAATCAGCTGTTAATACTTCAAAACAAATTTATAAAAGTATTACGCAGCAAATAAATAAGAGTCTTTTAGTTTACCTGTCTATAAACGTCGCATTGTATACCTCCAGGTAACGATCGAATAGAAGGCAATAACTTTAAATGATTTTGTACAATCGTGTTAAGAGAAAGATCAAATAAACTGTGTGGTAAGGCCATTATTGGTCTGTAAAAATCCACCAGAATTGAAGAAATTTTACCCTAAGAAAGTAGAAATAAAATATTGTGTGTAAATTTATGCGGAACAATTCCCTTTGTTTATATTACGTCACAATTATATTAGCATATTATTAGCATGCTAATAACTTCCGTCAGGAAATTTTTCCACTGCTTCATATTCCTTAAATATAAATATACGTAAAGATTTCCCCTAAAATTCCACTTTATTTTGGTATCTTTAATTAATCTTTGGACAGATTTCATACTAGTTCTTGCCATAAAACGTTACTACTTTGTTTAGGGTACTGAGGCTCGTAGTATTTTTCCAAAACATCGGCCGATATGACCGCCGAATGCATAAAAATGTCCCAACTTTGGGAATTTTCCTTGAAATTCATTAAACTTGAATTCCAAATGAGACCTCGCAACGAAATGCCAGCGGAACATTGTAAAAATATGCGCGCGAAATGCAAATTTCAATGGCGGCAAAATTTTGAAAAAGAAGCCTGAGAAATTCTAATGGTAAAATGGTAAGACAGTTTTTTAGGACTTAGTTTTAACAGTTATAAAGATTAAAGAAGTACTTCTTTTCTCAGCTGATGAAAGATTGATCCTACGATGTGTAGCAATGAACTAAGTACAATTTAAACGGAAAATTTGATAAACCTATTAGGATTTTATAAAGTTGTATATTTTTCATTTTAGTCGAAAAAGCGTGGATTAAGTCTTGACGAGAAAAGGAAACGTATTATGGATATTTTCTTTGATACGGTAAAAAATTCGATTAAGATTAAGCTCTCTCCCCCTGAATAAACTCTACACATAGAAGGTGGAGCCCCCCCCCCCCTAGGCCCAAGACTTGCCCACCTGTCTGCTTATGACAGTATCAATGTAACCAATCTATGGTACAGTAGGGTCGTGTTTATCTTTTTTTAGAAAGATTTTTTTCAACTAAAAGAAATTGAGAAGATTGCCTCCAAAGAAAAAGGCATAAGTATGTAGTTGATTTCAAGTAGTTGTATTAATGTTTTGAATTTGAAATATTTATTATACCGTACCATGAATCTACAAACTGCTGTGTGAGATTAGATGACTGCTGTTACAAAGTTGACGATTAAACATTTTAGATGCTATGGTTGTGAAAGAAATTGTCCAAGGTCTAGTCGACGACAACATGGTTGACACAGAAAGGATTGGGACATCCAATTACTTTTGGGCTTTTCCAAGCAAGGCTATGAATACGGTTAGTCTTTGAAAGAACACACTGTGCCCATCAGATGGAAAAATTTCTACTTCTGCACTTTGAATACCATATGGACTTTTTTCTTTTAGAACAAAGCTAAACTGCAAGACTTAAAGAACAACATGGAAACCTATGAAAAAAGAAAGGGACAACTTGAAAATGACATCATGGAGGCAAAATCAACAAGAAAGGACACTGTAAGCTGTTGCTTTGATCAAAGTGGCTTGTTTCACAAGCCCAGGAGTATTTCAGTTCACATCAGAATAGCCAAACAATCGTATTCATTTCCAGGAAGAAAGGACCAAGCTCCTCAAGGATTTGGCAGAGAAAGAAAGTCTGTCCCAAAAGCTTAAAACAGAACTTGATGGATACAAAGAATGTGACCCAGAAGTCTTGGAGAAAATGGTTGAGGAAACAAAAATTGCACATGAAGCTGCTAATCGTTGGACAGATAATATATTCTCAATAAAATCTTGGTGTACAAAGAACTTTGGAGTGGAGGAAAAGGCAATTGATAAATATTTTGGAATTCCTGAAGACTTTGATTATCTGGAATGATCAACTCCACATTTGAAAACTTAAGGTGTAAGAATTTTACATGTTATGCACATAAGAATGATTTTGAAAAGATGTTACTTCTTGTACTTAAGTAATGTAATTTGAAACTTTTACACAGTTAAAGCAAGCACTAAATGGTTGTAACTTGTAAGTTGAAACAGTTAGCTGTCATTTCACTAATATTAACAATACACTTCCTTTATTTCTTTAACTAGCAAATTAAAAAAAAAAAAAACATTGCTCAAAATTTACTAGTTTGAAAATAAATAAAGGCAAACAGAAAAAGCACAAAGTAGCTTAGAGTTACAGGGGTGAAACTAACGTTTTGGGAACTGTAAAACTCTCTATATTCAAAATTTATTACATTTTAAAGATGCCCATTTACTTTAGCAAAATGGTGCAAATATTGAATGTTGATTTTTTGTATAACGTTATATTGTATTCAATATATCGCTTCATAGAAATGACTCCCCTTGAAAACGAATGTTCAATATCTAAATGTTTACAAGTCATCCTCATCATCAGGAAGCGCTGTTTTCTGGGCTTCCAACAGGTCGGCTTCAACTTGCTTCTTTTGCGCAGCATCCATGACGATTTCCGGCGGTAGCAGGGCAGGCATTTCTGTAAACTCTAGGTTTGGGTCTCCTGTGAGTTTTCTAGCCAGCCATAAAAACGGTTTCTCAAAGTTGTAGTTACTTTTTGCACTGATGTCATAGTACTGTAAAAGAGAAAAGGTTAGCATTTTAAACAATATTAAATTTAATATTAATTTTTTAATTAATTTTTTTAGCATTTTAACATACAAGGGCATTATTACATTTCAAATAATGTCTACTTGTAAAAACTTAGTTCAACGTACCTGGAGATTCTTTTTTCTATGGAAAGTGATAGCTTTTGCCTTGACTTTTCTGTCTTTGACATCTGTTTTGTTTCCACAGAGTACGATTGGAATGCATTGACAAACTCTTTCCAAATCTCTGTGCCAACTGGGGACGTTCTTATATGTGACTCGTGATGTGACATCGAACATGATTATACCACACTGTCCTTGGATGTAATAACCATCACGCAACCCTCCGAACTTCTCCTGTCCAGCTGTGTCCCAGACATTGAATCGGATCAACCCTCGGTTGGTGTTGAAGTCTAGGGGATGAACTTCAACACCAAGTGTGGCTATAACAAGAGAAACAAGGTATTATGAGTATGAGGTACCTATCTGCAGAACTGTTTACATAGCTGTGTTGTATTTTCCCTAAAGGACTGCAAAATCAGGCACAAGTGAGCCAATTGTACAACTTTTCGGCAAGACTTTAAACCTACTGGGTAAGCAGGTACATGCCATTATACCAAAGATACCAACCAAGCTGCCCAAAGCATAATTATAAAATATGATTTTCAAGCCAAATGTATTCAAATCTAAACATTTCTTTTGTCTGTTTACTCTGAAATCGCACTTTTGTACACGTATAAGCAATCAACACACAAAATCCTCGTGGTACCGAAGATTTCCTTGAATTTAAATAATAAAGCTTATAGTTATGAATTTTATAATCACACCTACCAACATATTTCTTTTCGAATTCGCCGGTCATATGTCGTTTGACGAACGTAGTCTTCCCAGTACCGCCATCACCGACGAGAACCAACTATTTGTAAAAATGAGGAAGCGTTGAAAAAACAAAGTGGGAAAGAGTCACAAAGAATGATTCTCAAAGACAAAGCTTACCTTGAACGTAGCCACCGGCACTGGCTTCTGAGGTTGCATTGTAGGTGATTTCGAAATTAAAAACTTTGCTTAAACTTCAAATGAGTTTCGTGTCGATACAATAAGGCTTTCTTGGTAAAATGATATGAAGAAATTCTTAAGGATTGGCAAGGATTCAAACTGAAAAAAGTCCACTCGCTGTCAACTGCTTCGAACTGGTTCAAACCAGGCAATGAAAAATTGAAATTTGAAAATTCAAAATTGCGAAATGCCTCCTTTTTCAGTGCTCAATTTTCTTAGGATTCGCGCCAAAATTTTCCTTAGATTTCCTTGACCGGGCCTTTTTGCCGTAGATTTCGACAATACCGGGTGCCCGTGCACGTTGAGGAGTTAAAGTTAAATATACCCGGGTATCGCGTTGCTCCCTTGTATTAAATGCATTTATTTCTGAATACGTTAAATATAGCATAGTAGAAAAGGAATTGTAAAATGTGCGGAAAGATGCGTCGAAATGTTGTAATGTACAATTGTAATGTACTGGGAATTGTACGCATGCCCACGGTTAAATGCTTGCGTGAACATTTCGTGGGCGTCGTGGTTTTTGCGTGGCACTTGCGGTAAGTAAACGAGACCGGTAATAATTCCATGTTCACTAAATCCTAAATACCCGAATTTATTGAGACTAGGTTAGTATTGGGGTTAGATTTAGGATTAGGGTTAATCCTAATGAACTGCAAATCTTAACTTTTAATTCTTTATCTAATAATTCTTCTGAAAACGACTAGAGTTATTGCTCAGAAAGATTCTAAAACATTCATTCAGAAAGATTTCTAACCGAAGCACAGCACGAGTTTGACTTTCACTTATCATAGAATAAAGCTTTTTACTAGATCATTTTTAATGCCAGAGAAGGCGCGACACATGCGCACTACAGTTTAGTTTGTTGATGAAGATGACTATATCTCTGAACTTCTTGACAGTCCCAGGCTTCTGTAGCGCCTCGTATTACAAACGAGTTTGACCAGTTTATCTTTACTAAACAACGATGCGCGCGCCGATGGAGGCTGGCCCGCGTTCTTCGTCAGAAGCGGTTCCTTGTCAGAGCACGTGTTTGACTCCGAATTAATTTTACTCACGCTCAACTCGCCCAGCTTATCCTCAGTTAACGGTTTGTTCCCCCCGGTTCTCAGGTTGCGTCCATGCTGCGGGCTAAATTTCTGCTTCAGGCAGCACAACAGATGATTTCTAAACACAGAGTCGAAAAAGCAATACACCAATGGGTTACACGCAAGGTTAGCCAAAGCAACGTAGGTTAGTAGGTTGTAGAGCAATTCCCCCCTCGGGTCTTCATACCCTCGTAAAATTTGCACCGTATACGAAGTCACGACGGGCGTCCAACAGAACAGGAACAAACACGTGACGATGAAATTCATCACCAATGCTCGTCGCTTAGCGACGGGTACCTCCTCACGGAATGTCCCACAAGGAGATTTCTTGGTTCCAGGAGCCTGAGACATCTTCAGGTTTTTACGACTGGCGTCGATTTGGAGGATTCTTTTTACCATGATAGAATACACTCCGACAAGCAGGCACATCGGAACGAGGCTGACTAGTGCAATTTGAACAACGGAGTAAAGCTTGTTGAATTTACCAGAGCTGCGAGAGTTAAGGTCATTACAACGAATCAACAACCGTCGCATTTGACCTGAATTGCCAGCAAGATCGAGAAATATTGGGCTCGTTACCAGGAACGGAATCGACCAGGATAACGCGATCATGTACTTGGCTTTGCGGAGTGTTATCTTCGACGTCGGTCTGAAAATTGACAGATATCTATCCAGTGCTATTATGGTCAGTGTCAGGTTGACGACCCCCAGCGTGGCTGTATGAAAATATTGCAGAATTCGACACAAGCTCGTGTTAAGCAACCTAAAACTGCCCGTAAACTGTTTGTGAATGTGAACTGGCAGAACGAGTGTTGCCAGGAACATTTCAGCGAATGCTAAATTAACGATAAAATTGTTCATCGCCTGCGCGCGAGTCGACGTGAGCCCACAGTAGCACACAAGCCCGTTACCGGCCAATGAGAGAGCTAGGATTACGGTCAGCGTTATACCTTCTGGGATATCGACGTCGTGTGCCGGGTCTTCAATGGGATTGTTCTCGATCATCATAAGTTTGGTAATGTTTGTCATTTTTAAAGTCGGTCCTCAGTACGTTGTGTGCCAGCAAAGGCTGCGTTTAGCAGTATTCTCCACCAGGAATAAGATAAAGGACCAATTCACACAGTTGAATCGGTGCTCTCTGCTTTGTAGTATTAGTCAGCTTATTTGAAAGTATTTTCCCTCTTGTTTAGACTCGTACCGTATCGATAATGTAAATATATTGCCGTTTCTCTTCTTTCAGCCTTGATATCGTTATCAAAATACGGATTCTTTATACGCCATTACCTTTCTGTTTACATTCTGTGGATCTTTGTAGCTTGAACGTCTAAACGTCTTTCTATTAGGCTAATACTCCCTTAATATCAACCTTTCGTCTTAATATAACTTCTTTAATTCAACGTTTGCTTCAGAGGCGAAGAAGTTGTCACGTTTTATATAAATTTCCAATTCAATAGCTGTCGTATTCATCACCGCTTGGTAATTTGAATTCGCGTGTGTGTTAAAAAATATCCGGTAGGCTTGAAATGAAAAATTGTACCCGTGTTTATTGAATCTTTACGTTGTGCTATTTTCGAAGAACAATAGTCAACATGCGTGTGATCTTTTTCCTTGTATGAAGCAACGCTGAACGACGGGTACCAGTCGTGCACGTTGGATTAGAGAAAATGCACCTTAGTCTTTTTCTTACCTACGCTTACTTTTATAAAAATATCGCGAAAATTTATTGTTACAAAGCCCTAAAATATTGACAATAATATATGTCGTTAAAATACAAGAATCTTAAAATGTATCTCCAGGTTGAAAATAATTCAAGTCCTGGTGGTTCCACAAAGAATCGTTCCTAATATTATACGAAATACTTGAAACGTAATTCAATTTTACAGTACTCGAATGAAAAACTAACGTGCTCTCTGTTTGACAGGTTATATAATTAAACGACTGAATAAATTACTTTAAAGTTCTGCTTTATGTGAATATTCCTGTATCCACAAGTTATGAATGGTGCGAGGTGCCTTTAAATTATACCCTCTTCCCCGTTCCTGCAGGATGTGATCACTGCATGGTTAACCCCCCTCCCCCCTGCTCTAAGAGTGTCGCCCATTCTATTGGCTGTAACCCTAAATTCAGGACGAAAATCTTCGATCTTTAAGAACGACATGCATGCGAATCTCATAGTATTAAATTGTTCCAACGTTATCTCTCTAATTAATTGCCGGCAGAGTATAAAGTTATAGTATGTCACAACGACTGGAATTTGAAGCTGATTCTCCACTACAAACATTAAAGCATCCTGCTTCACCAAACCCCAGTTTCTCCAAACTTGTTTCCAAATTCAAACATATAGCATACGGCCCGTTTGAGGTCGAGCCCTCAGGTAAGGAAAGCTGATCAACTTCGAAAACACCATATGCAAATACCTTCTTCTCTTTCTTCTTGTCGAAAAAGCAAACGAGCGCACCTGAATCACCATCGTGCAAAAATGGGCCGGAATCCCCCTTTACAACTGTAGTATCGTGAAACAATTCACCTTCCTTGTCTTCGTAAGAAAATTCAGTAGCAACGATTCGGCCTTCATGACATGTCGAAGACAAACTTATTTTAACAACCTTCACTGGATCTGCGACATTAGGTGTCTCGTTAACTCTCTCATACAATTCATTCCATATGTTGACCCAGTCTGGGGGAGGTACATCCACTACCTTGCAATTGATTTTGATTCCATTAGATATTTTAACGGACAGAATGTCGCATTCATCATCAAAATGATTATTATGAAAATCACCAAGCTCGCGCTTGCTCTCGTCATTATCATTACCAAACGAAATAGACACATTGTCGTTCTCTTCGCTGCCATTTTCAAAATAATATTTATGCTTTTTGGCGTTTTCTTTGTAAAACGAAAGTGAGCCACGAATCTCCCGGATGCATTCTTCTTGTTTAAATGCAGCCTGTGCGCGCCTCGCATCTGTTATACAGCCTACATGGGAGCAGATAAGGGCATAGTGGTGTTTGTCTTTGCAACAAAACATCGTTAACGTTCCACTTCCCATTACACGGAGTCCACCTTTCTCCGCCCGCATTGGATTCCACTCTCTATCACCATAAACCAACACGCGACCACCTGGTACAGCTTCGACTGATGCATCAGGTGCTGATGGCTTAGACCCAACTGACGAATCATTTTCACATCGATTAGCCACGCGTTTGAAATTCGGCTTTCTTTCCGGTTCTTCAAGAAGCTCAAAATGTTCCTCAGGATCATCACAGCTGAACGCTTCCTGAAGTTGACGAAAAACTTCGCTATGCTTCACTTCTCTTTTCACGGTGAGGAAAAGATGAGGACGGTTGATTATCTTGTTTGCAGCAGTCAGACCATAGGCTCCACACAACCATGAAAAACTGCATTAAAAGGAACAATTAGCTAGAATTAGAATATTAATGGTACATTCAGAAATAAAAGACGCCAAAAACCTGGAAGTTCATTGCTTATTTAGCTAATTTTTTCGCTCCACAAGAGCACAAAACCTCAAAACGTTTTTGTCCGTATATTACGGCAATACGCATTAATTTGTTATGAGGACTCAGTGAAAACGCTACTGGCTACTATGTTAATGATGGACAGCAAATAGAGGGACTATCATTGCGAGGGGCCATTTAAAGTTAGTAAACCAGTTGAAACATTTAATACCTCTTTAATTTGTGATAAATATCTTTTTTCAACTTGCGTCTTGAGTCCAGAAACTTGTCTTTAAACCAAGTGTATTTGTTCTCTTCATATTTCGGCTTACCGTCCGTTGTTGCTTGTATTCTTAGGAGCACTGGCTCGACCCCTTCATTGGCAAAAAAATATTATGTTAGTAATATGGTTTAAACACGGAGGGGAAAGCTGATAGATAAGCTGGCCTTTGTATATTTTATACGGTTCGCAATGTCAATGTTAGTTTCTGTGATCGCAGAATTCGATCGATATGAAGCAACTCCAGTGAGCTCAGTACTCCTGGAACGCTAAATTCGCCGTCATCTTTCGTTTTGAACTTGCATGTGCAATATTTACTATTCAGTACTATTAACAAGGCTATTACTAGGCTATGTCCAATTCCCTAGGACAGTGTAAACCTCTGCTGTTTAAATTTGAATTACCACAGCAGAGATAAGCAATAACTATCTTTACCTGCATCATTGCCTGTAATTGACTTCCTGCACTCAGGACACGTTGTTGTCCCATGTTTGATTAACCTCCTTAAGCAGCTAGGATGAAAAATATGTCCACAGGACGTGATCTTTGCGCTTGACATAAATTTTGTACAGATGGAGCAACGTCCTTTTTTATCTTTATGCATTTTAAGTTGCTCTTCAGTAGCATCCGCAAGCCCAATCAGTTTTTTCCTATCTGTGTGTCGTCGCAGCCAGAAATGCCCGATTTTCAATAAGGTTTCCAAAATGAATAACGCAATCCCAATACCTGAAGTTTAAACAAAAAGTGAAACTGTCGAAAACGTCCGAATCGCTGCATGCATTTGAATAATTCTATAATATTATTGAAAGTTTATCGATGAACAACTTTAATCTTCGGCTTCTCGCATCCAATTAATTTAGGTATATAGGCTACATAGGGACCGAAGTTTGAAAAGAGACCTAAATTATATATTCCTTTATAATGGTTTTTATTGTAGTAGGTATTGTAATATATAGACGAGTTATGGTAGGATAGATGCCGGGGTGCGGAATAATATTGACACTCAAAAAGAATGGCAAAACAACAAGCCAACACCATATATCACTCACCTTCAACATATATGCTGGGTTTCATGTCTATTATTGATTGCCAACAAACGATAGCATAACAAAGAAATACTGCACACATAAGGTAAAAAATGTCTGCAATAAAATGAAGCTGGTAAATCTTTTCCTCTACTTGTTCAATACCATTCCTCAGAAAAAAGTCAAACACATAAAGTGTATAGACAGTTAGCATTTTTATGGTTTCCATGATTGCGGTGACTATTCTGAAAAAGTTATGAAACAATTCCATAATTTCCGATGTGAACAACTTTGGTTTGAAGGGCAAAGCCAAAGCCAAAGCCATGTAGATACAAAAGGATAATAAAGAAATAGTTAATAAGATGACTCTGACGTGTCCACCGAAGGTTCCCCATGATATCGTCATAGTTTGCAAACTTTCATTGCAAAGCAATCGAGCAAACCACAGATTATCTACACAAGATAATATTAAAAGGATAATAGCAGCGGTAGGATATAGGAATTGACGTGTTCCACAGTCAAGAAAATAGAGTGGGCACGGGATCAAGATGCAATGTATCAGGAAAATAGGAACTAAAATATTTTTCACTTTTACTTCTCCTTCTAGATCCAACAGGTTAATTTCGATGTCATCAACCGTATGTCTGACTGACCATTTCAGAATGGCCTGTACACACCACAATATGATAAATGAAGCATCTAGTAGCAACATCGAAAATACCAAGTACTGTAATATGCTGTCATTGGATGCAAAAAAGATTTTTATCCATTTGCCAGGTTCATCAGTTGCACTAACTGAATGCTTCCAGACTGAACCAATAAACATGATGAACCAGAAAACTCTCAAGATCCATCCTATTTGCCTATTTACGTATAGATGCTCGATAGCCTTAATGAATCCTTTTCGGGAAACCAATTGCTGAACTTCATCAATAGATTGTCTTAAATCTTCATTCAACCCAAACGCATATCCTACTGTGAAAAGACAAAACGGCATTGTGAAGCAAAGGCAGTGAACTTTACAGGATAGCCATAAGGATGCGAAAATTGCCAAAGAAATCGGTAACAATGTCTGTAGTGCCTGAACTTTATTCATCCATCTGGCGACTTGAAGGTAACACATCAGAAATTGGCATGCCAACACGTATGGAAAAAAGCCTTGGCTGTGGTACAAGCTCTCAAGGACAGGAATATAATCCATGATTGCTGAAGCGATGGTGAGAGCGAGAGAAAAGGTGAATATAAATCCAAGATACGCTTTTCTAGGTACAAGCAGCAGTAGTGCGTGAATAACCAACGCTAAAAATGGAATTTAAGATAAAAGTAAGGTGGTCGTACATAAAAATATCAAGATTCAACCTGTCAGTGTCGAAAATGTAAATACAATCTGAAACTGAGGTTTCTAATCGAAGCTCCATAGTTTTCAAAGACAAAAACGGCGAGAAATTAACTAATTGTTATAATAAACCATGTTTTTTGACAAGAAGCCTAGTTGGCGATTAACTTTTGCAATTGAACTATAGGAATATACGGCCTACCTGATTTTTGTTTTGCATGCACAAAAAGAGGATGTTGACCTGGCCTAATGACAAACTAAAGACAAACCTGGCCTAAAGACAAACATATAGGATTGAAGCTAACGACAAAGTAGAAACGGTAAACTGGGAATCTTGGTTGAGTGTTGGAATTTCATTACGTTGTATAGTTTTGAGTTAATTCAGTTTGTCGTAAACGTCAATTTTACTCTTTATCAAAAATCTCTTTGAATACAATTTTGACACAAATGATAGCGATATATATCTTAAGCATGCTCGCGCAATATATACTAACGTGACATGAACCGTTTAAAATCAACGCAATTTAAATGTAATTATCATAACTTGAAAATGATGCACGTTTTAGCTTCGAAACGTCGTTCAATAAAGATAATATCGCTATCATTTACGTCAATTTTAGCCGTAATAACTGAAGCATTCATTACCTGCGCAGTCTTTAATGAAAGCCGCGACATTGACGTCGATGAAATTAAATCCGGTGTGTGTGAGCAGCAAATGGATTTGAATAATACACAGTAATCGTAGAAGAAATTCCATCATTTGGTCTCTCTTCAGCATATTAGTAGTTAAAGGCAGGGAGAAATGAGCGTAGTTATACCACAAGCCTGTCTACTAGCGCACAATCAATTCACTAAGGTTTTGGTTTTGTATTTTTGAAACGCTTTGCCGTTACCACAGTAACTCATGCAGCTTTTTAGCCGCAAACTCTAAACTTAGGGAATACCTGTAACGAACCACAATTCACGAATTTCAGAAATTAAAATTTCGAAATACGGCGATAACTCTCGAACAGCTTGTCAACTTGACATGATATTTTAATACAATTCAATATTTTAATACAATGTTTGCATGAAGTTTTTATTTAAGTGTTCTCTGACGGGGTATAAGGGAGGCGGTGATGACAGAATAGTTTAAGTACGAATTTTAGTGAAAATTGCCCGATCGTCGAATCAGTTCCATCATTACTTTTATGTCATATATATAAATGTACTAACGTGCAGTGTACAATGTTATGTATGCAATAATTCATAATATACCAAATATAGCCAATCAGTGAATTACGTTATACGTCAGAGACTTGCGATTGTGATTATATATTTAAAGTTAAAAAACGAAGCTGCATGATTGCCTTGAAAAATGTTCATCCGAACTTTACTCCACTTCTGCGTCATTTGATTCTCTGTTTCTCCCACAAACATTAAAGCATCCTTTTTTCTTAAACCCCAGTTTCTTCAAAGCCTTTTCCAAATTCAAACATATATCATATGGTCCATCTGAAGTCGACAGGTTTAGTTGGGGAACCTCATTTACTTCGAGAACACCATAGGCAAATGCCTTCTTTCCCCCATTCCTATCAAAAAAGCAAATCAACGAGCCCGACTCACCACCCTGTAAAAATGAGCCAGTATTCCTTTTTACCGACTTCACGACTGTAGTATCCTGAAACGTAACACCGTCGTTGTAAGAAAAATCGGTGGCCACGATGCAGCTTTCATGACGGTTCGGCGACAAACTGATTTTTACAACCTTCACTATGTCTGGCTTCCCATCACTCTCATCAATAACTCTCTCATGCAATTCTTTCCATATTTCTTCCCAATCTGGGGGAGGTACATCCATCACATTACAATTGATTTTGACGCGATCGGATATTTTCACAGCCATGATGTCGCATTTTTCATCAAAATGACACTTGTGAAAAGTACCAAGAGGTATGCAGTTGATTGTATCGTCATCGGCTAAAGCAGCCGCCTCGTCGTTCTGTTCGATGACGTCTTCGGTTGAATCGTCATCAGTGCTGTTCTGGTTGGTGTCGTCTTCGTTTGAATTGTCATCAAAGGAAATAACCGCCTCGCTGTTCTGGTTGGTGTCGTCTTCGGTTGAATTGTCATCAGAGGAAATAACCGCCTCGCTGTTCTGGTTGGTGTCGTCTTCGTTTGAATTGTCATCAAAGGAAATAACCGCCTCGCTGTTCTGGTTGGTGTCGTCTTCGGTTGAATTGTCATCAGAGGAAATAACCGCCTCGCTGTTCTGGTTGGTGTCGTCTTCGGTTGAATTGTCGTCAGAGGAAATAACCGCCTCGCTGTTCTGGTTGGTGTCGTCTTCGGTTGAATCGGCTTCGAAGCAAATCTCCAGGTCAACGGAGCACTGAAAAGCGTTATTGTCGTCCTGTTCCATACCGTCTTCATAACAATACTTTTGCCGTCTAGCATTCTCATCTGTATTATGTGACAGGGAATTGTGCTCCTCTTGAATATCCCCTCTTTGATTAAATGCTGCCTGTGCGCGCCCCGCATCTGTTGCACAGCCTACATGGGAGCAGGTAAGGGCATAATGCTGTTCGTCTTTGCAACAAAACATGGTTAGCGTTCCACTTGCTATTACTTCAACTTTTTTCTTTCTCCAAAGCCCCCCCATTGGATTCGAATCACCATCAACCAACACCTTACCACCGGGAACAGCTTTGCTTGGTTGAGTTGGTTCATCAGATGTTGATGGCTCAAACTCAATGGAGGGTTGATTTTCGCATCGACTAGCCAAGCGTTTGAAATTCGGCTTTCTTTCTGGTTCATTAAAAAGGTGAAAATATTCCTTCGCATCATCACATTCGAACGTTTCCTGAAGTTGACGATACACTTGCTTATGGTCCATTTCATTCTTCACAGTGAGGAAGAAATGTGGACGTTTGATCACATCGTTTGCAGCGGTCAGACCATAGGCTCCACACAACCATGGAAAACTATATAAAAACAATATTAATAATATGTTTTAGACAGTCAGGAATACATTGGGAATGAAAAATGGCACAAATTTAATGCGTAATAGCTAAATATATACTAGTTACTGGCAGCATGCATCCGTGAATTTTCAATTATAATAATAATAATAACAATACCTCTTTAGTTGGCGATAAATTTCCTTTTTTATCTTGCGTCTTGAATTAAGGAATTTTTCTTTAAACCAAGCGCGTTTTTCTTCTTCGATTTTCTTCTCTGCTTCTCTCCGCTCGCTTTCTGTATTTGCAAAAATATTAAGCATTATTAATATTAATATATTAAGAAATTATTACTATTTACCAATTTCCAACAGTATTTACCTGTAATGCTCGCTGTTGCGAGTTCATTTTTTTCTTTTGTTGCGTCAGCATCGAAGCAAATAGCCGCCTTGTCGTTGTTGTTCATGCCGTCTTTCTTCGTATAGTCATCGGTGTCCACACGATGTCGCTTCCAGGCATTCCAAATTGGCAAATCTGGCTCCAAAATGTAAAAAACATATATTCCGCTAACAAATTCACAAACTATCCCTATAATAGAACAAAAATATTGTTTGGAAAAATTACTTTAAATTGCTTGATGTATACATGTATGTGGGTCATACTAATAGAACTAAACATTTTTCAAAGTCGAACAAACCCATAGCGTATGTTCTTTCCCGACAAGTATATAGGCATACGGGCTCGCAAGGTTATTCACTTACCCAATAATGTATGGTTTATATCGTTTACCAATAGAGCCAAGATAGCAAATATGATAGAAGCAAGTGCGTACCCAATGATGATAAGCATTACCAAAAATTGAATGAGCCTGTCAATCTTTTCTTCCACTTGTTCAATATCATTAGACCATAGTATACCAAAGCGATGCAACATATAGACAACAAGGATTACTACAGTTCGTATAAATATTCCAAGTGTTTGGAAGAAATAAATAATCCAAGTGTTTGGCTGTGTTTTCCAACTTGTGTAGGCAAAAAACCATAGTAGAAATGTAAGTAAGCCTGTTAGTAAGACAGCTCTGACATGGGCCCAGACCTTCTTACGTAATGTCAGCGACAGGGATTTCAAGGTATCCTCACAAAGCGATAAAACTAAACTAAATGTCAGTATAAAATCTACGTTAAAAAGAACAGCCCCAGCGATTGGGTATATTGATAGATCTCGCCGACTGTAAAATAAATTTTGAAACCCAATCAAAAGGTTAAGGATAGAAAGTTTAAAAAACTCATGACATGTTGTGTCCTTTATTTTGCTTCTGTTGCCTGGCGGGCCGATTTCAATTTCATCAATACTATGCGACAATGACCATTTCAGAAAACCTTGTACAATCCATGAAATTTTGCAAGCAACATCTTGTAACACCAGCGACAACGAAAAATATTGTAATATGCTACGGCTTAATTTGAAGATCGGTTTAAAGGGGTCTGATGTATATGCAGCTTTGAAGAATACTATGAACCAGAAAACCTCTAAAATCCCATGCATTTGTCTATCTTTGAAGCGATGTCCAATAGATTGAATGAATCCTTGACGGTAAACCAAATTTTGAACTTCGCGAAGGGATTGCTTTATGTCTTCACGAATTCCTAACGCATACCCTGCATTCAAAAAGCAAAATGCAATTTTGAATTGAGGGTTGTTATTGGAACAAAACTTGGCGAAAGGTAGAAAAATAATCGGGAAGAGGTTCCAGACTACCGGACGATTTATCCACTTTTCAACGACGTCTTCAAGGATGCATATTATCAATTGGCATATCAATATTCGTGAAATGAGCCCTTCTGTGTACATACATTCAACCATCGAGAAATAACCTAGTCCTAGTGGTTCAGCTACGATTGGAAGAGCGATAAAAAAGCCGAAAGTGAGTCTGAGATACATCTTGTCGGCAATAAACAGTATCATTGCGCACACTCCCAAATCTAAAGAACAGAAGTATATATAACACAAAATTTTTTCAGTCATATGCTATAGTTAACTTTAGCGGTTCCGTTTACTTTATTGCCCCGCGAGTGTTACATTTATTTTGGCAGTAATGAAATCTCGCATGCTATTATTTGAAAGTAAAAAATAAAATAACTATACCCTAAACTAAAATAATCCCTCTAAACTTTCAGCTAACTCAATTGCTCATTTTCATAAATAAAATGCAACACAACGGGGATCTCTGGCGCAGTCGAAGCTAAGTTCCAAGTCGTGCAGGAGCTAAAATATCGCTTGGTATCAGTGCATGATGAATTACTTCATGATGATATCAGATGAATTAAATGTAAGTAATAATTTGGTTAACGAAGAAATAAAAATTAAAAATACTAATCGTGTTCTTTTAAATTCCATGCATAGCGTGAACTCATGCACATGCAGGGTTCCATAATGCCATATAGAGTTTTTCATATACCATAATACATCATTCCCTGACAGTATTTTGATAAGATAGCTACTATAGAACTATCGGGCAAATTTCACAATTATCACAATTTTTAAAAATTGAAAGATGTATATATACCAGAGCTAGATTCGAAGACTGCAAATTTTGTAAAATTGATAGCGAATCTATTACTATTATTTCTCACATGCATATAAGCCTTCAGAAGAAGCCCCGGACTATCTATAAACCTGATTAAAAATGTATACATGCATGCACCTTTTTTGTATACGTGTCCAAACTCGTGTTGAAAGATATTCCGTGGTGTCATTGCATGAAAGATCAGCGTATAGACCGCGAAGGGTAGTTTTTTTATATAAGAAATTACAAATCTGAGTATACGTAAGGGTAGTTTTTTTAATATAAGAAAACAGAAATGTGCGTACGTAAATTGCATGGAATGCTAGTTAAAAGTATAGTATAAGTTCTCAGTCACAGTTTGCAGTGGCGAAAACAAAGTAAAGCAAATCGTCTTATGTATATACATTACACTCTCGCTAGCCTAAGTCGTATAGTCTCTAAACCGCCCATGTTACATAAATACTGAATTTTAGTTAGTCCTGTGGTTTGTCGCATCTTGTTCCGAGATGTCAGAGCGATCACGACAAAGTGAAATGGTTTCATGTAAAGATATATAGGAACTATAGCTATACGTAGTCGTAACATATATACTCTAGTTTATAGTGACAATGAAAACAGTTTAGCCTCAAAATCGCATTCTATATTAAACATTTGTTTCACACACATTATCACGAGGATACAATCCAGTTGAAACGCGGGAATAGGAGTTTATTGGAGTTTAACTATGTCTTTCGTATGTTTCGGTTCGAGGAAATTAACTGCGTCATGTAACATGGCGTATAAGTTACATCATAATTGTGGGAACCACTGAATATTTTCATAAAATACATGCACAACAATAGTAACTCCGAATAAAGTAAGCATTTTCATTCAACGTTTCGACTTTATTCTGATGATGAATAAATAAAGTCGAAACGTTGAATGAAAATGCTTACTTTATTCGGAGTTACTATTGTTGTGTATGTTACTGATCATAACTTCTCTCCCAATGTTTAAGGCAAGTGAAAGAAACGTCGTCGTCTAACTTGGCTACAGTAGCTTGACCGCAAACGTTAACCGGTTTGTTAAAGATACAGTATATAGCAATGTCAATGAAAATACTCAGTACCTCTACAGTTTCCAATGAAAGCTGCGACATTGACGTTGGTTTGGGTTAAATCATTTCCGATACTTGTGAGCAACCCATCGATTAGATGAACACAGAATAACCTGATGAAAAAGTCCACCATCTTGGTTTTTTAGATTTTATATCGTTTCTTTCGTTTTCAATTTAAAAACCAAGGGACAAACGTAGAACTTAGAAGAGCAGTTTCAGTTTTCGATTGCGTTTCAGACGGTGGTCAGTTTGTTAATTTTTCGGGATGGACTCGTTTTAAGAAATGTTTGCATCACAATAGCCGGAATGATGGGGGGTTGTCAAGGAATGTATTGCGAATCAGCGAATGTATTGCAGAATCGAGAAGCTAGGAACTCAGTAACTTTTAATAATATTCTACGTTTGCCTGGTGACTTTTTCGGCATATTCGACTATGCTCGAGTAAAGGGCTGTTTACATGAGCCCGGTTACTCGAGATTCAACGACGCGTGAGATGATTTTGAGGTATAAAAATAAGTCTTTATGACACCAAACAAGCAAATGCTATTGTTCTGTTGATTATACGACTGCCAGGATCATTTATCTGCTCATTTCAATACCTCAAAATCATCTCATGCTTCGTTGAATCTCGGGTAACTGGGCTAATGTAAACAGCCCCTATACCATTTTTAAGTATATTTGCCCATGGTCGAGTATGCCATTTTTCGGTATATTAGACCATGGTCGATTCATAGACAATTAGACACATCTGAAAAGTTTATTCATAATGATAATTAATATATGAAAGTTGAATTTATTTGTTGACAAAATAGCTGCCCGGCCTGTCAGCGAAACTGAACAGGTTTGGATTGTATTTGTTGGGAAATGAAAGAACCGTCAAAAAGTTCACAACAGAACAAGGGAACTCGATAAAATTTTGATGAAATTCGATAAAAATTAGATGACAGACAAATTTAGATACGTGATGATACCATTTATAAACTAGTTTCGCTTTTTCAAGACAACATGTCTCTAATGTCCCAAATGTCGATATAAACTTTGGTGAGAAATTTGGTGAAGAGGTTTGATATCATATTTACAAAGTCGTTTCGTTTTTCGTCGTAGTTTCAAGTTCCTTGGCGAGATTCATCATCTCTGCGCTAATGGCGTCCATGTCGTCTCTCTCTGTGTCAAAATGGCTGCTTTTTCTTGACCTCAGGTCTTTATTCCCGTTTGCTGAAAATTGTTAAAGCAAAGCATCTTAAACAAAGATATTACGAGGATGAGGGGACTGGTAGGCGGGAGTAACAACTGGGCAATATCTTGTGTGGGAATGTGCAGGTTACATTAACATTTTTGTCTGTAAACAAAAACAAAAATATATATTAGCCTGTGAAAAATGTTACTTTCTATTTCTGATCATTTACATAAAACATGATCAAATAATTTGAGTAAAAATTTCGTAGAACATTGCTTGCATTAAAATACAATAATGGAAAATCTTTTCAGCTTTCACTTTAAATTTCATTTTATTTTACACTTTATTATTTTATTTTTATACATGATGTAGAGGAGTGTATACCGGAACACTATTTATAAAGACAAAATGCCCATCTGGGAACAGGTGGAACTATCATAGAGATGATAAATAACAGTGTTGTTTGTATAATCTCTATGGAAACTATGGCAAACCGACGCGGCCATGAATACTACTAATTTACGAATATACAGTACTTAATGTTGAAATTTGAAACTATATTCTGAAATATGATACTTCTTTTACAAATACAATGATTACTTGTTACATAAGTAAACCGATTTCAAGATATAAACCAACAATGAGTGACACAAGACTATGCATTTGTGAAAATGCACTTACTGGATATCTGACTAAAATATAACTATGGCGATGGGATTTCATACAATGAATGTGAAAAAGCGTAATTTGAGTAAATCAATTGTGATTTTTGGCACTTCACTCGATGCACGTAAATTCCAGAGGTAAATTCTAAAGGGTCTTAATTTCGAGTGGAGTTATACACTTCAAATTCAAGCCAGGAACAGTTGAAGGAAAAAAGAGTCCAATCTACGCTTTTGCGATGCCGGGTGCAAATGCAATGCTCTCAGAAGCTAGAGTGCTCAAGTTGTCAGTTGTGAGTTTATTAAAAAATTAGGTCCCTTTAACTACTTCTTAACCCTCACTAAAAGGCTGTTATAATAATAACATTCGAGAATGGAACCACAGAAAAAAATTTATAGTAATCGAGTTGATACCGTCACAATTGAATTTTGGAAAATATTTAGCAAATACCACCTATTCGCTTAGAAATTCGCTTACCTTGCATTTTTACAGAATAGATTTGAAAAGAATTTATGCGTCAAAAGATATGAACAACAAAATGCTTTCGATATAATTGTTAAACTACTTCCTGCTGAGATTGGTATTTCCACGTATAATAGTTATGTGGTTGTAATTGCTGGTAACTTTTAAAGGCATTAACATTGCCTAGCTGAAATTTCTTCTAATATTTTAAATAGGCTGGCATATTAAATGGGAGTTTTATACAACAAAAGGTAAGATCATGTTATGGTTCTATTTCACACGATTCTGGTTCTCAACCACGCTATAACAACTGTATATATGATTCAGGGTGTCTTTCTGCTAATTGATGCGTCAGATGAAATGATTAAGAAACTTGTGACATTATATCTGAGAGTGATGAGATATTTCGTACTGATCTATCTATATCATGATCCAATGAACTGCCATTTTCAGGCGTGCTTTTTCTGAACGAATAAAGAGCAAAAATCGAGAAATCTTAGCCAATAACGAAATTCGTGCCTCTAGGACTCACTGCCGTGTGTTATATTTCTGTGAGATCGCGTACTTAGGAACGTTCGAGGAACAGTGAACTCTAATACACTGGAACAATAACTCAGGGCCCGAATTGAAGTCAACTTTGTGCTCAGTCCTTTTTAAATATTTTGTCAAAAATAAACATTTTGAATCGATGAAGTTTTCATATTAATGACGACTGAGGGAGGGAGACTTCAGAGGAAGTATGTCTATACTGTATTAGGAGTTTCGTATTAAGAGTTAAGCCTCGAGACAGCCTCGGTCCTAGCCGCTTCAAATAAAAATGAATATAGGAACACTACAGGCTTTTACATAGATCAGTGGCTAAGCAGAGGGCGAAGGCGAAGGGACCACGTTGCTATATTTTTACTTCGAGAAAGATACATTGTTTTTAAAAAATACAAAATGTCGCAAAACGTTAACGTTGAGTTTAAGGTATGTTTTTTTACACTACAATAAACATAATTTGAGAAGTAATCGTATATAAGACTAAGGTTTATGTCAAATGAACATGGCGTAGATTATGGGGGGGGGGGTTTGAGGGGCTGGAGCCAGTGGCCACTGGAAAAATCTTACTGGGATAGATCAGCTCCCCTAGAAATTTTCCAGAAGATAATAACTGCATCAGAGCAATGTTGAATCTTTGAAAAGGCATCTATATATACACATGAAAGAGTATTGCCAGTGAATATTATAATATGTCAAACAACTCTGAAAAGCAATTGCAAAATACAGAATCTCGACCGCAGCCACTACTCTCCTTATCCTTATTTTATGCATGGAGACTTTTAGATCGGCTTAAATCATACCTAATTTTAGTGTGCAGTGATAAAGTAGAATGTGCAGTGATAAATGGTATTTTCTCAACAGACCTCACTCACTGGATTTCTAAATAGTTGTCCCCAAAATGCTGGGGCCGGTTGTATCAAGCCTGTTTAGCTTAAATGGTGGATAAGTCAAAATTAGATAACACTCTTACATTTCTCTTGAATGAGTCAACTTGAATACTATGCACTGAATATGTAGTTGTGAACAGTATCTTTGTTTTAAGGTTGAAAAACATTTAGTTCGCTTCTTGAATAAAACATCAGACTTGCTTTCAGTTTTGAACTTATCCACCATTTATGCTAAACGGGTTTGACACAACCGGCCCCTGCAAATCAAGTCATAGGGACTACAGAAACTTTTCTGCAAGGGATCCTGCACAATTCCCCTCATATTTAAATTACCAATTTCTAGTTAAGACTATTTTTATCATGTCCCCCTCTCCACTATTACTATTGTGATATGTGCAGTGAAGTATATATCTAAATGAAGTATATACTTAAGTTAGCCTAGTTATATTCACTATATTGGTCATGTTTTCACACTTTTATGTTATCTAATGAATTAAAGCATGTGGTATGGAACACTTATAACTTGTTTGTAACTTTATAATAAACATGTCTAATACAGTCATACAATCATAAAATACATTGTAGCTCGTTCATTTTATCTTTTACTAGCCTTTTTACCCACCGGTCATAACTATGGGTACTGAGATATTTTCTCCGGCTATCGGCCATATAAACTACGCCTAGTCTACCGATGCAACTATATATCAAGAGGAAAATTCCTATTTAAAATGTAAATCTAATAACGGAAGGTGTTGCTAGCTAGATATAATGTATCTGAAGTTTGAACCCCCCCTCCTAGAAGAAAACAAAACTCTACACCTATGGTTGCTACTCAGGAGTTCAGCTTGACCATGTATTGTATTGTATTGTATTGTACATTTCTTCATGTTTTTCATTATAGCTTGTTCTTATTGGCGATGAAAAGACTGGCAAAACCCAGTTGTGTAGACAACTTACGAAGCAGGGGTTTGAAAACAATTATGTTGGTATGTGTGATAATATTACTCCTAAGATTATAAATTACAGCATTTAGTATTTTTGGAAAAGTGAATATAACAAATCCTACATTCTGATTGGTCAAATTTGACCTATTATGCTGTTATATTCACAGCATAATACAAGCATAAAGAATTTCAAAATGGCAGCTAGCCATTTTGTAGACGTTTCTTAAAAGAGATAAGCAAACAAATGCAGTTCTTGTGTCAATTCACTTGTGCAGAAATTCTAAAATAATTATTCGCCTTTGGCAAATAATTATTAAATATCTATCACAATAATCACTACTCTGGTTTTGAAAGTAATTCAGGGGGGGTATCTAGACACTTTTTTAATCGCACTCCTATTTGTTCCACTATTTATCAAACCAGAGTAGCAATAATTAAAATGGATTATTACATACCACTTGTCAAAGTTTTGTTTTCGTAGCGTTTCATTGGTCAAGAGCGAATCACGCGAGAGTAACAAAATTTTTATGTTGCCAGCGCGACCCCCTGCAGAGTGAGATAACGTGTTATCTCTTTGGAAATAACAACTTTTATCCATTTGAAATTATGTCTTTTATAAATAGATATTTCGTTGTTTGGTTTTTCTTTGACAAGTGGTATATAATAAAAAACTTATTTACTGAAAACTCAGAACACACAATGTTTTGTGGACCCTCGACCATCAATATTTTACTCGGCTTTGCCTCGTGAAATATCGACAGGTCTCGGGTCCACAAAACATAATGTTTCCTTCGTTCGCAGTAAATAAGTGTTAATTATATACCTGGTTAGCGTGAACTTATTAATAACTTTAACAGCACATATATTTATGATATGAACAATAAAAAAAAAGGGAAGGGTTGTTGGATAAACACAATAAATAAAATTCAAACATGGCCTCTTTTCTTCGAAAAAATACAGCTATTTGCAAGCCACCATTAACTGTGAAGTTTTTATCATGCTTGTTTACGTTTCAAACTTTTGGGTTTAAAACCAATCACTGTGATATTTTGACAGTTGGGTGGAACCTATCAAAACAGAGTCTGTGCCCAAAAAAATGTGAAACAGGTGAAATTGTGGTGATTTTCAAATTTGTGGGTCCACATAAAAATGTTTTCAAAAAAATTTGGAACATGTATAATCTGGGCAGTTTTTACATCAGATAGTCCTCATTGTTATGAGCAGAAAGGCCGTGACTTGCATTTTAAGTTTTCCACATTGTAGATTTTCATATATCGTAATTCATCCAAAAAAAATAGCAAAAACTATAGCATTAAATAATCAACAATCATTAATCATATCATTCATTTTTGTACCCTAAATTTCAAAATGTCACACGAGGCATACCCCCAGACTTTTTCCCACACTGTGAAGCAACTACTTGGCCCATAGGCAGCCCAGAACTGATCTCACTGACCTCGCGCGACGCTCATGTTGTCTGAACAGTCTTATATTATGACAAGGTAGGCAACTCTCACGCCAAATAAGCTAAAAACGCACGATGGTTGACTCAAACACCTTCACAAAACCGCAAATATTTCGTAAAAATATGACGAATAAGAAAAAAAAAGTACAACACGTTAAACTTGAATAATTTTACTACATTTATACTATATTTTTAGCATTCAAATGTATTCCTATGCATGTATAAAACGTGAATGTTTTTTGGGTTTCTGGCAAATATATTTCAAAACCTATGCTGGGGACACCTTGCCTATACCTTCGTCATATTTTTAAATTGAAAATAGAAAGCTGATTGGCTGTCGTTTAAAAAGAGCCAATCAGCTTTCTATTTTCAATTTAAAAATATGACGAAGGTATAGGCAAGGTGTCCCCAGCATAGGTTTTGAAATATATTTGCCAGAAACCCAAAAAACATTCACGTTTTATACATGCATAGGAATACATTTGAATGCTAAAAATATAGTATAAATGTAGTAAAATTATTCAAGTTTAACGTGTTGTACTTTTTTTTTCTTATTCGTCATATTTTTACGAAATATTTGCGGTTTTGTGAAGGTGTTTGAGTCAACCGTCGTGCGTTTTTAGCTTATTTGGCGTGAGAGTTGCCTACCTTGTCATATTATAAGACTGTTCAGACAACATGAGCGTCGCGCGAGGTCAGCGAGATCAGTTCTGGGCCGCCTATGCTTGGCCATACTGAAATTAACCTTAAAATTATGGTGAAAAAACCACTCCCAACAAATATGAAGGCCTACCATTTCGTTTTTCGTTTGATCGTCTGCTTTGATATCTTTCTTGCAATATTTGTCCAGCTCGTCTCTTCACTGTCACAAAGCAACGATGTAGGATCATTTTGGGAACTTTTAATAATGATCGCCATCTTGGCTCTGTTTAAGAACCTCTATAAACTCTTTGACCAGTTTCGCATATGAAAGGACAACATCTCATATAACCAAACCATTATGAACTTGAATAATTGTAAGCTTTAGCAGTGACTACGAGTATAAGTTCGTCATTTTTGCGTCAAAGTCACTGCCTTGGCATACATCGTGGTTCATGAATCATACAACGCCAATTTCCATTTATACGCCGTGCCATGGATATACAACATATGTAACGTTCGATTTGTCACAAAAAAATCCTCATTTGTTCGGTTGTATCATTTCCATTTGAACATCCATTTCTATGTGAACATGTAATTTAATAGATAATACGTGCCACCACCTTAGTGGCATAAATATCTTCCTTGTCTTCCTCGGGAATTCGGAAATACAGCGCTGCCAGCAGGCCCAGCAAGACCCAGCGCAGCAGAAAAGACCTTTCTTATAATGACGTCAAACGCGGAAAGTCTGATGTTACATGAAATTTGATTGGCTCCATAAAACTATCGAGCCAATTTAACTTCGTGTAAGATCAGTCTGTCCGCGTTTGACGTCATTATGAAAAAGGTCTATTCAGCAGAATTACACAGCAGCCTCGTCCCAGCGCGTGTCTTTGGGCGGGGCCTAGCCTTTCCTTGTGTTGGATTGGTGCACTAAGCGATATTAAAATTCCATTTAATATAGCTCAGTTGATCGGTCTTTCGCGTTTGTCCGTTACTCCGTTTAGTGGATAAAGGCGGATTTCCACTTACAGCGAAATCGTTCGCCAGCGAAATATTTGCATATTTTCTTTTGAATTTTAACGGCATAAATAAATTAGTTCGACTTGACTGTTCTCAATTCAAAAGAAAATATGCAAATATTTCGCTGGCGAACGATTTCGCTGTAAGTGGAAATCCGCCTTAAGTTCAAAATAGAAAGCAAGTCTATCGTGTTATTCAAGAAGCAAACTAAATGTTTTTTACCATAATACAAAGTTACTGTTTACAACTACATCTTCAGTGCATAATATTCAAGTTGACTTATTCAAGAGAGATGTAAGAGTTTTATTTAATTTTGACTTATCCACCGTTTAAGCTAAACGGGCTTGATACAACCGGCCCCTGAAGGTCTGTTCACACGATCCAATTTTGTTGGATCAAATTCACCTCTGATGTATGTATTATAGTCTGCTGTCTTGTAATGTATATGAGCAGCAAATCCACTGAAGAGTGAAGCCAATACACTACAGCTTCATCAATAACCGACTATATTTCAAACGTCCAACAAAATCGGAGACCTTGACGTCATTACCTGACCCTGAATAGAAATACTAAGTAATTAGTGTAGGCGATAAACGGAAATAATGAGTGTCAAGTTTCCATAGCTCCACGCAATCTTAACAGATAAAATATGTCCCTTTTTTGAAACCATATTCTAGATTTCATTTTCTCTATATCAAGCAATCTCGTTTCCCGAGCCCGCGATTCCTCTGGCGAGTAAACAAAGGCTTCTTATTAGTTATTGCTTCTTATACGTTCCTTAGTACACGCGGCGGCCCGGGGCAAAAATCTCGTATTATTTCGTCGGCGATGATGCATTCGCGTTGGCTCCAAATATGATGAAGCCATATCCCCAAAGAGGCTTGACATATTTTTAGAGGGCCTTGTCCTCCGATCCTGCGATCCTCTCCTTCGGTAATAATTTCATACCCACAATCCACGAATATAATCCTAACTTTTAATCCTAAACAACAAGGAATATTTCGAACAACTGAATATTTCCAACAGTAGTTTTTTCCAATTCTTGTAGTATTTTTAGGGCCCCTGCAAACCTGACCCTAGGGACAAATTGTTCCCTTTGCCCCTCTCGGCAGCCCTGGGAGGTGACCGGCAGCAAGGACGGCGTAAGAGCGTTAAGTGGGGACGGGGGGTGTAATATTCCTATATTTCAAAGGAAACTGAAGTGCGTAAATATCGGACACGCCGAATTCGACCGAAGCGGTTTCGCTCGACAGACGAAAATTTCGTCTCTCATTTTAAAACCCTGCCAACAGTTCCGTAGTTTGTGATTCAAATTTATTTGCTTCCTTGTAGCCACGATCGGCGCTGAGGTTCATCCTCTCGTGTTCAATACAAATCGTGGTGTGGTCCAGTTCAACGTCTGGGATACGCCAGGTCAGGAAAGGTTTGGAGGGTTGCGTGATGGTTATTTCATCGGAGCAGCATGTGGTATAATCATGTTCGATGTCACTTCAACACTTTCCTATGAAAATGCTTGCAAATTGCATAGGGATCTCACTTGGATTTATGACAACATTCCTATTGTCATGTGCGGAAACAAGCATGACCTCAAGGATAGGAAAGTTAAAGCAAAAAATATCACACTTCTGAGGAAGAAAAAATTGAAAGTATGTTAATAACAAATATCAATTTTGCCCTAGGCTTCTGTGAGTTATGATTAGGATTGAAACTGAGATTCGGATTAGGGATTATTAGCCGTTGACGTGACGTATACTACGTACTCTTTCTTTCAGTATTATGGGATAAGCACGAAGAGCAAATACAATATAGAGAGACCGTTTTTGTGGCTGTCCCAGAAACTTACAGGTGACCCGAGCCTGCAGTTCTTGGAACCCAAGGACGTGAAACCCAAGGACGTGGAACCCATGGACGTGGATCTACAAAATTAATGTGGACCACTACGCTTTTTGTGTTGAAAACTATAATACATGCAGGATTATCAGGGGCCAGTTGTGCAAAAGACTAGTTAACTTTTAACTGTAGTTAAGGACAGAATTGGCCAGTCAGAGTCAAGTATTTCTGAGTTAATCGTAGGATTTAACTATGCAAAATGTAGTTATAGAACAATTACACTATAGACTAAACGATTTAAAAAAGACGTATTTTACTGATTTACATGTATCGAAAGAATATCCCAACCTAGTTTATTGAAAAGATCGCTGGGACTTGCATCAAATTGAGATCAGTTGGTAATTACCCAGCCTCGCATTTTGCAGTTTTTCAAAACGTTAACCAAATTTAATGTGTTAAATTTAATTTATACCATCACAAAATGGGCTACAATAATCAAAATACGGTTGAATTAAAGCTCCGTAAATTTTGAGGGCAGTGCTTGTAACTATGAGCTGGGGTATACATCCTTTTAATGGCTCCAATGGCCGAAGCAATCTTTTTAGAAATGCTTTCCACATGTCGCGCCCATACGAGATGCTTGTCAATTTGTAAGCCTCTTGGAGAGGCTCTTTTAAGACAATTTGGACATAATTTAGACATACGATTTTCCAGTATATTCGACCATGGTCGAGTATGCCATTTTTCGGTATATTCGACCATGGTCGAGTATGCCATTTTTCGGTATATTCGACCATGGTCGAGTGTGCCATTTTTCGGTGTATTCGACTATGATAATCGAGTATGCCATATTTCGGTACATTCGCCCTCCATTTTTCGGTATATTCATGGTCGTCGTTATAAGTTATAGTTATAAGTTTAACTTTAATTGATTGATTGAAATACGATTCATAGACAATTAAACACATCTGAAAAGTTTATTCATAATGATAATTAGTATATGAAACTTGAATTTATTTGTTGACAAAATAGCTGACAAAATGGCCTGTCAGCGAAACTGAACAGGTTTGGATTGTATTTGTTGGGAAATGAAAGAACAGTCAAAAAGTTCACAACAGAACAAGGGAACTCGTTAAAATTTGGATGAAATTTGATAAAAATTAGATGACAGACAAATTTAGATACGCGATGATAACATTTATAAACTAGTTTCGCTTTTTCAAGACAATATGTCTCGAATGTGCTAAATGTCGCTATAAACTTTGGTGAGAAATTTGATGGGGAGGTTTGCAATCATATTTACAAAGTCGTTTCGTTTTTCGTCGTAGTTTCAAGTTCCCTGGCGAGATTCATCATCTCTGCGCTAATGGCGTCCATGTCGTCTCTCTCTCTGTCAAAATGGCTGCTTTTTCTTGACCTCAGTTCTTTATTCCCGTTTGCTGAAAATTGTTAAAGCAAAGCATCTTAAAACAAACGAGATATTACGAGGACGAGGGAACTAGTAGAGGCAAGAGTTCGCGGGAGTTGTTCTTCATCCCTTGAGGCTGAGGATTGCACGACCTGATATATACATCTTGGCCTGGCACTAGTCAGCTTAATCAGACGAATAGCTTGAAATTAGGGCAAGTTTTCATGCCTCTAAGAGATGTGTGAGATTAGGTGACATCAAGGGCACAGAGGGGACAACATGTCCCCCTGGGGACAATTAAAATAAAACGTTTTGTTAGGATTATTATCACTACAAAGTACAAACTATCACTAGAACTTGGTCCATCCAGTTTATCACCACACTTTTTAAGACAGATTTGCGCCCTTGAGTGACACGTCTGTGACGGACGTTTCTGGAGATGATACGATACATAAAGTGCGGTTTTCGCAAGCTGTTTGCTCTCTGATTCCAACTATGCCTATGTTTTCTTAGAAAATAGCGCAAACAGAACTCGCAGTTTTGTACTTGTGGTTTGCCCGCTGTAAAGAGCGCATTATATACGAGCCTGTTTGCGGAGTAAGGAACCAGACTTTTTCAGAAAAACACCCACAATATCCTCGTTACATTTGCATGAGAAAATGCCCCAAAATACTCAATCTAATCTATGAAGCCGTAATCTGAAACCTCCATGTGAAACGCCCACTGATTACTCACGCGTAAACGAAGCTCCTAGATCTTGTCGATGATCTAGTCTTACCTATTTTCATTGAAATCGGATCGGAATCTGAGCGTGTGTGTCTCAACGTGGCTAATTTCTTTGACAGTTCTGCATTTAACGATGAATTCGCGTGGGAATTGCCGTTCACTTGTACAAAAGATCGCGGTCGTTGTCTTTTTGGCCCTTTCCTTTTGCATTTAACGCCTTTTTTCGTCGTATGCTCGTTGGAAGAGGAGCTGTTTGATTGATTTTTGCTGTCTTTCCTTTCCAGCGCGCCCTCGAGAAGGCTTGCAGCCGAAGAGACAGGAGGGACAATGATGTGTTCCTTTCTGTGATGAATTTCATCAAAAAGTTTCTCGAGGTTCTTATCGCGATGTGGCAGACCATCACATTCGTCCAAACCTGGAACAAGACATTTTGCTTTGTTCACATCGAGTAATTTATTGAATAAGTAATTCAATGCAGCGGAAAATTCTAGGAAACGTCCAGAATGCATTAGAGTTGTTACTCTCTAACTTTAGTATGACTTTGAAATCATTCACCTCTGCCTCTCCTATGAAAACTGATTTTCAAAAGGGGTGCTACCCCTACCCTACCCCTCTTGATCTTGAAGCTTTGATCAGAAAGTCTACATTGGAATGGGTAAAGTCACCCACAACCCTGTGGTCTTTGGTGGTAATCTCATGAAGCTTTGGAGGGTGTAACTGTGGGTGAGAGGTTGCCCCTCATAACTTTGTCAACCACTTACTGTCAGATGTTTTTCTCTCTTTTGCCTTTGTCCAGGGTTCATCAGACAAGTCAACAGGCATATCTTCTAGCTTATCAACAGGTACCGCCATAGCTGTGAGGATGATCTGGTTGTCCAAACCACCAGACGCCAGGAGCGTGCCATCATCTGAAATTGCTATTGCTTCCACCTGATGCAGATATAAATAAAAGTTTCATTACCGATAATTGTTTGCAACCATATTCTGATCAGAGTACCCTGCAAGATTATTGTTTCTATGGTGAACTCACCTCTGCTCCAAAGTTATGTTGTTTAAGTTTCAGTAACTCTTTTGAACTAGCTAGCGGATGCCACATTCTGACAGAATAATCACCACTGGATAGCAACAGAGGGTATCTCTTCTTGCCAACCACCGGATAAAATTTGACATCGGATACAGGGGCTTCATGGCCACGGCATTTTGTGAGGGCAACATTTTGACGAAAATCCCACAATATGACCTGGAAGAATATGTAAGAAAACAATAACACCTTTGAAATGCAACAGGTTCAATATTAATACACCTAACAATGTCTATCTATAGAACAATTATGTCTATCTATAGACAGGTCTTTTTGACATCATGCAATATTTGCTTGTTAAATATTTATGCCCACATTTCCTGCCAAGATGTTAACAATAGTTATGGATAATTAATATTTACTTTCAGTCACTGCAGTAGACAAAATTAAGTCATCTGGAATTGAGTAATGCACAAAAGAGAGGCTTCAATGCTTTGAATTTATTGTTCATTGTGTTTTGCTACACTTATTTGACAATATAAACTTTGAAAGAAATTCCTTTTGTGACTTCATGATGCAAATGGGCTTGGCACAAGGATGAGCTTTGTGAAGGCCCTCAGTTGAACTCATTAACTGGCGGTGTGCCATACTTTTTTGCAGCTAAATGCTAGAAGATCTCAACCAGATGTTTTGGGGACTCGGTTGCATAGCAAATACCATCAATTGATACCAAATACCACTTTAATTCCCTGAGAAGTATTTAGTATTTTGACCCTAATCCCTTGTCAATTCAAACTTTCTCAAGTGCTATACGGTATACGGTAAACCAGATTTGGCTTTCCCTTGAACAAACCATGCCCATATCCTGTTATTCGAGTACAAAATCCTTCCGACAAAGAAAATCCTTAGTAACGTTGGTGTCTTAAATTAGAAATGGCTTTCAGTTCCGAAATATAGTCTTTGTAAGGAATATATCACGAGAATATTAGAAGTTCACAAAAAGATTTGCATAATATGAAAGCAGAAGGGTCAACGCAATGCAATACATCCTAATTAGCAGTACGAAAAAGCTGACAGCTTAAAAAAGATCGTTGAGCTAATGGAAGTTGCTTGAAAAAGATTAAGCAAACAATCTAAACAAATTTTGAAACAATTTTGTGTTGCTATCAACATAGCTTAGCGATTTAAGTGAATGTAAATGAAGGAAATGTTTATTACAATGTATCGATTAATTAAACCCATATGAGGCGAAGCAGGACTGAGTAAATAAACTTCACATGTTATTGTTACGGATTTTAATCATCCATTCAATAAGCCAAATGTATTCTAGTGAGTATCAACTAGAACGAACTGCGTTGTTTAAAATGTCATCGGGAAGAATGAGCTGGTAATTTGTTTATCCACGAGATCTGTAACACGTTGCAAAATATTTGATATGCGAAAATAACTGGTTTACGGGTGGTGGACCACATACTGCTAAATTCCGCGTTGGTAGAAATTGTTTACGAACTTTTCGATTTAATAAATCGAAGAGCAATCTGGAACAATATCAGCGTTAAAAAAAAAGGGAAGCAAACGAAAGCATTAAATTTAGAATTCTTGAGAGCGTAAAACAACACAACAAAAGGTTGCCTAGAAGAGCACGATATTATGCACGATTTAATTGCTTTGAAAGTCAACAATAATTGCTAAAAGACAATCGGAATTCGCTGGCGAATTGTAAAAAATGTCGAAATTGCTACAATTTGTTGCATACTTTTTGACTTCGAACGTTTTATTGAATGTTGATTTTTGACGTTTCGTAAATTGCTTTGGCAATTAGACACACACACATTTCAGAGAATTTTTTTAGAACGTGCATGCCTTCTTCTGTACACTGTACAGTACCGTTAATAAGTGTTACATAACATTTTCGGCTTTAGAATTTTGCGCAAGAGACTGCCCTGGTGCAAATATCAGACAAGATTGCAGACTCTGTCTTTCAGAGTTCGTCTTTCGATGTCTTTTGAATGTATAAAGATAGTAACTTTGTCTGACCACACGAAATCAAAACAGTCTGAAATTAAGACCGCATAATCTCCGCAGGACATCCTAAAATCATTACAAATATGCACTACGACGAAAGGCGAGGGATATGTTTAATTAACTCTAAGTATTTCAAAGTAATTTACCGTAGAATCTGCTGAGCCCGATACCAAATATTCGCCACCATTTCTAGACCAAGAACATGCTCTTATGCTGTCGTCGTGGCCACCGAAGTATTTCGAAGTTGTCGCCCTGGCATCCCACACTCTCAGCGAACCGTCTTCAGAGCCGGAGCAAACAATATTTGGGTTTTCAACATGATATTTACACGTCCACACGCCGCTTTCATGGTCTGTCAAAGATCTCACGCATTTCTTAGTCTCGACATCCCAAAGTTTAATGTTTGAATCCCAGCTGGCAGTCGCCAACGTGCGGCTATCAGCCGAGAATGAACAGTCAAGAACCCATCCTTCGTGTTGGCTAAGTCGAGCTAAATTTTTCCCTGTTTTACAGTTCCATAAGCAAGCTGTTTTGTCACAAGATGTTGTAGCTAGAAGGTTATACTCGCTAGCTTTCTTGCACCACGCTAAACTCGTAATAGCTCCATCGTGAAAGCCTTTCAGTTTAGTACACGCATCACATTCGCTCAAATCCCAAACTCTGACTGTTTTATCCCAAGAACCAGAGGCTAAATAAACCGTGCTGTCGGTAGATTTAAATTCCAGACACGATATTTGCCATTTGTGGCCTTTTAAAGCCGACACGAACTCTGTGACAACACTAGCAACGCTCATACTTTGAAGAAATTGGTGTTTCACTTTCGGAGACTAGCTGTCTTTAAAATGCCATGAAGTGTCAATATAACAATTTTGTCGAAGACAATAAACGCTTCGAATCGTCGCGATTTTTCACACAAAAAGCTCAGTTTCCTGAAATCTTTCTTACTTGTTATATACGTTAACAAAGGTAGTCCAACTCAGCAAAACAGACGGTAAACACAGTAGCCTTTCTGAGCTGAAGTGGTCTTAAAACCACTCGCCAATATATTGTTGATGTAAACACGAATTTCCTCGTCTTTTGGCCCACAGGCGAAATCACAAATGGTCTTGATGTTGATGCCCCGCCAGTATGCTGTCGTATTGTCACGATTCACCTGAAAAAAACAACGCGAAACATTCTAGAAGTTCGCTTGTAGTGAAATGAACTTGTGTTGTTTCGAAATTCGTTAATTGCTACAACCCAACTTCCGGAATTTGTTCACTTTACCGGAAATGGCGCCCACAGAACATTCCTGAAGCATCGGCGCGCCTTTTCCCGCGAAATTCGATTTGCCAAATTCCCAAAGCCTTGCCACGAACAGTTTTAAATTCTTGGAATTTTTTCATAATAGGCCTTAGCGAGTGAAGGTCCAAGTTACATGATACCGGTTTGCATCATCGCCACATCAAGTTCAACTGCTAAGAGCTTTCTTATCGCACACAAAACTATGGTAATAAAAGAAAAGGTCTTCGTAGAGAACAAAAGTATTTGTAGAAAAAGCGGTTATGATTTCGTTGTAGCCAAACTTGATCTTTTCACAATGCGAATCCAGTATAGTGAAACTAAGGGTACCAGGTGAGATCCTGGTTTGGTCAAACACTGGTGAACCACCATAAACACATCAGCCTCGGCCCTGGGAAACGTCGCGGGAGATTCCGTGAATATAGCATACTAGACTAAATCACTAAAATGACTCGAATACACTGCCCTTCACCAATATCCAGCGTGTTTTGTCTGGGGAAAATATAAATTTGGAACTCCAATATGGTTTTCAGAGCCATAGCTTTCAGTATGTTGTAATACTTGATGTTTCCTAATTTCTAATGTCGTAATAGACTCCAGAAAGAAGAGCTTAGAACTGATAGAGCTATCCAGTATAAATAAAGTCAGTTCAGCTTAGGTTTCCTCGTGTAGTAACACTGGATCAATAAGAGATGATCCTTACTGGACCTCTATGAAGAACAGTTTAGAACTGATAGAGCTATCCAGTATAAATAAAGTTAGTTTAGTTTAAGTTTCCTCCTGTAGTAACACTGGATCAATAGGAGATGATCCTTACTGGACCTCTAGGAAGAACAGTTTAGAACTGATAGAGCTATCCAGTATAAATAAAAGTTTAGTTTAAGTTTCCTCCTGTAGTAACACTGGATCAATAGGAGATGATCCTTACTGGACCTCTAGGAAGAACAGTTTAGAACTGATAGAGCTATCCAGTATAAATAAAGTTAGTTTAGTTTAAGTTTCCTCCTGTAGTAACACTGGATCAATAAGAGATGATCCTTACTGGACTTATAGGAAGAACAGTTTACATTAGACAAAGCTGACTACATCATAAGTAGCCCACATAAAACCTTTCCAATTTTATAGGACATTTTATCGTACATTTCTTCTCTTTAAAAGAAAACCCCATTATTATGTCGCAATATTCATCAGTAAATATTTATCTCAAACCAATCAACATACATTAATAACATAATATTTTTCAAGTCCGACGTAAATTTTCGTTGTATTTGATGCTTTAAAGTGTTATCACCGAGAAATGAGGCCGTTTAAATTATTGATTCTTTTACGTGGGATGTGTGTAACCTCTTACGTGAGAAGGGGCGAGTCAACAGCCATGGAGATGTTGAGATAACGGTTCCTCAAGGCATAAGCTGCATGCTTCGGTTGTCTGTCACGAGTCAGGATTCCCTTTCTGTTACCTTTGACTCTTTTCACATCTGCGGTGGAAAAAGCATAAATTATTCAGCGAAGATTTTATTAAGACGTATGGCTGAATAAAGAGAAAGTGATTCACACAAATTGGAACAGGTGTGAATCGAAATTCTTATGTAATTGCGGCTCCCAGCCGTTGCGGCGTCCGTTCAATATTTACCGTTTAGGCTAAACGGTTCTTGCAAAACTGACTCTGCATTGTTAGTTCGAGTCCTGGTTAGTTTGAGGGCTCGGGCGGGGCATGAAATTGCAAAATCGCAAAACCAGTTATTTTGATGTCTGTCGCCGTAGACGTCAAAAACGATAATAAGCTGCCTCAAGGATTAAATTCTTGAATAGTTAGGATTTAAGGAACATATGGAATTACCTCAAAAACCATTCGCTTGGAATTTTTATTTATCTAAGTAATTTCTTTAACGTTCCAAAACATACCTTGCTGCGTCATAAAGTCTGCGAAATTCCATATCAATTCCCCAACGAGAAATTCTTTACGGAGTTTATCAAACACAGGAAAGTATTGTTCAATAGTTCCCACCTAATGCAACCAACAGATGTCAAGCAGAATTGCAAGAGAAACTAATGAAAATATGTCAGCAAAGCCAGTCGAATTTTTATGCATTCATGATGACTATATATATTTGCTAACCTGGTAATCTTCAGTAAACATCACGGGAGGATACTATGAAAAAAATGTGACATCAACAATCGGCGTTTACCCTTAGAAGATGTAGTTTTTGGTAGGGAAATTGTATGAATATGTCTAATCTCATCGTAAAGAATTAGGTAATCATCCTAGATAATCCTGACAATGGCCATACTGCATGATGATAATGGAAAATTGTGTTTAAAAAGAAGCCCTTGTCTCGTAGCCTTTATTGATACGAAGTTGGAAGCTCAAACCTAGCTCAGGTCATAGATCCAATACTTCTGCAATGACATGCATTCGCTGTGTTCGAAGCTTACCATGTGCAAACCAGCAACAGTTCCTGCCCCATATTCCGACTGAATGAAAGGCTTTCGAAACTTTTCAAACCATTGTCGTAAGTCGTACTCGAGTTGCAATTTGATGAGCTCTAAATGCCCCGAATCTTCGTACCAGGCATAGTAATGATTGTGACAAATAACGTCAACGAACTGAACCTAAAAAAATCATAATATTCTTTGGTTATAAATTGTAATTTTTCAAGCCTGTTCACGCGATCCATTGTTGTTGGATCCAATCCACTTCTGATGGATGTTTTAAACTCTGTTGGCAATGTTTTATATGAGAAGCAAATCAACTAAAGCCAAGTGCAGTACTGCTTTATCAATAACAGAGTACATATACATATCATTCGTAAAGAAGTGAATTGGATTCAACAAAATTGAATCGTGTTAACAGACCTTTACGCCGTCAAAACTTGGTTAAACTTAAACCGTCGCATGACTTGCATCACTAAAGTTGCTTCAACAACCTTTTCATAGGATCAGTTTGGTATCAATTCAACAGACAACTGTTAAGTTATTCCAACGAGAGTTTTCATTGTAGGAATATGGTGATCCATGCGAAAATTGTACTTGTTGCCAAAAAATGTTATCATGCAGTGTATTGTTGGAAACACGGTCAAACACCCTTTGTTGACAAGTTATGAGGTTCAGTTACGGTGAACGCGAATTTAACAAAACTTACAGCGCGATCGGTGGTTGGGCTTTGGTTGCCGACAAACGTAACAGGTCTGGTTGGATCTAGAAATCGTGTGTGGTTGATGACGGTTCTGAAATGATAAAGAGGGATGCATAACATCGCGAAATCTGGTTATGAAATGAATGTGGGCTGAATTTTGTCGACTCAATTGGACTCTACCTAAAGTAAGCTTCAGCCTCGGGTTCGTTTGAGCTTGGTTCGTTAGCGACAGACCACATAACGACGGATGGACGGTTCTTGTCCCGTCTCACCAGTTCCTCCATGACAGCCAAGTGGTGGGACAAGGACTTTGGTCCAAAATTAGGTCTAAAAGAAGATGGTGGACATTGTACCATGTATTTCGCTAATTTAGTCAGAATGATCAGGGATATTAAATTTGATGGTTGCATTGGGAATGTCTTCACATCAGCGAAGATCAAAACACCTCATGCATGATTGCTCTTATCTTACTTCAAAATGAAGAGCATTTGAGGAAATCTCAGGTTGAATTAGATGTACATGAATATCCTAACGTTCTTACTTTCTAATTCCTACTCCAGGACACTCGTCAATCACAACTATCCCTAACTGATCCGCGAGGTCCATGATCTCCTCAGCGTAAGGATAGTGACTCGTGCGAAACGCATTCCCTCCTAGCCACGTGAATATATTAAAATTTTTTAATATCAGAGGAAAGTCAAGACCTTTACCGCGGATCTGAAAAAGTAAGATTTGATAGATTTATGAGATATAACAGGGACCGCGGAACGTTTTTCGTATTGCTCAGTCCTGGAAAATTTTGAAATATAGGTCTCTGAAATCGCCGCAAATGCCTCACAATTTAAGGATTAATGGAAAATAATAGATAGTATGTAAAGTTTCCAGCATGTTTGGCGCTCATATACAAACATTAAACAATATAACCATGCTTTGGTTATGATGTCAAATATTTTGAAATGGATAACCACGCTGTTTTAATGGTCAAATGCTTGTCCTATGTAAAGTTTCCAGCATTTTGGCGCTTGTATTGCTTGTAAATTTGAGCGAACTAAAAAATATTCGAAATTAAAGACTAATTACGGAAAAATTATTGGTGGGGCTAAAGCCCAGCGAGCCACTCTGCTCCGCGGTCCCTGTATAAAAGTTTGTTTAGTTTAGGTTTCCTCCTGTAGCAACACTGGATCAATAAGAGATGATCCTTACTGGACCTCTAGGAAGAACAGTTTAGAACTGATAGAGCTATCCAGTATAAATAAAGTTAGTTTAGTACTTTAGTTTAGGTTTCCACCTGTAGCAACACTAGATCAATCATCAATTCTTACTGGACCTCGTAATAAACAAGAGCTATACTATAATCTCGTGACTACCTACATCTGAGTCCTCGTGCATGTTGAATCCTTTGAAATAAAATGGTTTGTCATTGACGAGGAACTGTGTTTCATCAACTTTCACTGTCCTAAATCCTACTGGCAGATTGTAAACATCTAGAAAACCATTGCCTGACACTGTGACCTTGAACAAGAGTAAGAAAAATATGAATGATTTAAAAGGGTAAGAACTCAAGAAGTTATTATGATGATAATATAAGTGTTAATCATTTCTGTAATGTAAGTTAACAGCGACTATTTAGTGTTAAAACTACGTCAGAGCTCCGTTGCCTTGACGGACCTAAAAATATAGCAAGAACTTCCATGTTTAGAGCAAAAAGCTCTCCTATCTAAAGCAGTTTAAGAGTGTAGAAAGCAAGTTGAGTTGAGTTTGAAGGCTTAGGCTTTTGACAGCAGCCAATAGTACCTCCTCCCTCCCTCCCTCAGTGTTGAAATGCTTCCACGGCCTCTTCTTACCATCAAATTATAAAGATAACCAGGTGAGTCGCTCATTCCAATGGGCCACCAAGGTTTGACCGCATCAACGAGCAACGCACCGCTGAGCAAACCCAAACCCGACGCACGGGCGACAACATTGCATTGTTTATCAAACAGTTCGTATTTTATCACCAGCGATGACCTATATTGCACTGGACTTATAACAACGGTCTTGAACTCCAGTTTCCCGCTAATATTGTTGTTGTCGGACGAGACGAAGCTAGGAATCACGGATATATCGGAGATGTACACTTGGGGAGTGGTGTAAAAACGAACGGGGCGGTGAATGCCGGCGTAATTGAAGAAATCAAATTCATAGGTCTGAATGAAATATCCCGCAGGGTACCTGAAAAACAGAGGAGAGGTTGGTTTCGCTGAAGCTTAAAATTGCACGTGATCTCGAAATAGAAATCAATTCTGCAGTATTTATTTGATTATATCTTTTGTTATTCTTCATGAAACTAATTGAAATTTTGTGACCATGTTTAGTTATAAGAACTATAGCTCTGACATAAATTTGAAACCGAAAAAAGTATATTTCAAGAGATACTAAGTGGTTTCAAAGGCGAAATTGATTTTTACTTGACAACTAGTCCTTTCCCGCCTAATTCGTCAAAAACACATGCCAAAGGCAAAAAATGACAATATTTGTTTGTGTGCTTACCGAGGTCCCGTAAGGTATTCTATTTTCCCAGGTGGAAGTGTTGTTGCATTGAGAGTATTATTCACGGCTACCGTGATTCTGTTGTATTCATTGAAGAGAAGATATTTGTTTACTTCTGCCTCAAAGGGAAGATGTCCTCCTGAATGGGACATAGCCTGTTGTCCGTTTACCCACTAAGAAAGAGGAAATAGAGCCTATGAAACAGACTACGGTGTCATAATGTCATCAGATATCAGCTTAGTGCATGTAAATTTCAGTCCAGGAGACGTTTGTAGGAACATTTCTCGTGCGATACCTACCACGATTGTGTTGTAATGGGCACTTTCAAATCGCAACACAACGCGAAGGTTCTCGGACCGCCAGTGAGAGGGCGGGTAGAAACCCCGGTCATACCAAACCCAACCAATGAACTTTCTCAATGAGTCATCCTGCGTGATGTCATTGAAACTGGCTGGAACAGCCATCGGTATAACTGGACCAGTCTAGAGAAATTGTGAGGATTGAAATTGCTTTGAATTAAAGAGTGAATTGTATGGTAACAGAAAACTACGGGCTGTGTGACTTGACAAATGTTTTACCCCTGTCCAGCTGATCCACTACCTATTGTGGTAGCACTAAAGAAATATAAAGGTCGTCATCTGATGTAATAGGGGCCGGTTGTATCAAGCCCGTTTAGTTTAAACGGTGGATAAGTTCAAAAAAGAAAGCAAGTCCAACGTTTTACGCAACAAGCAAACTAAATGCTTTTTACCTTGATACAAAGATACTATTTACAACTACATGTTCAACGCATAATATTCAAGTTGACTCATTCAAGAGAGATGTAAGAGTGTTATTTAATTTTGACTTATCCACCGTTTAAGCTAAACGGGCTTGATACAACCAGCCCCAAATGCAATTAAAAACTCTATCTGTGCACTGAAATAAATAATAAATTCTATTTCTTAAAAAGTTGCATGAACTAAGAAAGTATTTCCGGGCTATGTTGATTGTGTACAATATGATTAACTTGATCAAACCTGTACTAAATATTTCAAGAACCATTTCTCCTCAAATCCAGCGTTTCTGTTTTGCGAGGTGTCTGCACGGAAAGACCATAGCCCACCAAGATCCTTGATCTGTCTACTGGGAGACTCTCGTGGAAAGAGCATCCCATGTTTGCCAGAGAAATCGTTTGATTTCTCCTGCTTTTTAAACTCTTCCGCGAAGTTCGATAACCCAGCATCGCCACATTTCAAACAACCGCATACGATCAATATCACGAGATGATATAAAGCACGAAAATACATCGTTTAAAGGATCAAAAAACGGCAGCAGAGCCAGAGATCTTAAACGAGGCAGTGTAGTTTGGAATATCAATGCGTCTCGGATTATGCAGAAAATCAGCACAAAATATTTTAACATTCGACTCAAATTGTAAACAAAAGCGATACTCCTGTGGTGCGTCTAACCCATGACCTTTTCAACACTTTTTAGGACTATTCATAATCAATGGTATAAAAATAAGAGATGCTAACAGATTATTAATTAGATAAGAACTTTTCTTTCTGTGGTAAAATCGTGCGGTTACAAAGATCTCAGTTAAAATGCAAACCAATTCTTTATAAAAAACGTCAATTCTATAGATCATCGTCGTCATCTTCTGGTAGTGCAGTTTCCTGAGCTTGTTTAAGCTCAGCTTCGCATGCCTGTTGCATGCTGGGATCCATGGTAACTTCAGGTGGTAGCAGGGCAGGCATTTCTGTGAACTCTAGGTTTGGGTCACCTGTGAGTTTTCGCGTCAACCATAAAAATGGTTTCTCAAAGTTGTAGTTGCTCTTCGCACTGATGTCATAGTACTGAGGAAAAAAATTGGGTAAATCTAAGCAAACTCTAATAATGGCTAATCTTAATCCTTATCTTAATCTTCAATCTCAATCTCTAATCCCTATCTCTAATCCTAATATTCAATCTCAATCTCTAATCCCAATCTCTAATCTTAATCTTTAATCCAATCTCTAATCCCAATCTCTAATCTCAATCTCTAATCTCAATTTTGCTCCTTAGAGATCTCAATCTTGCTCCCAATCTCTAATCTCAATCTTGCTCCCAATCTCTAAGAATCTCAATCCTAATCTTGAGCTTATTTCTAATCTCAATCCTAATACCAATTATCCTAATCTCAATCTAAAATATATAACCCCACTAAAGGTCTAATATCAAAAATACATTTCAAAATACCTGCAAATTTTTCTTCCTGTGAAATGTGATATTCTTTGCTTTTACTTTCCTATCCTTGACATCGCATTTATTTCCGCACATGACAATAGGAATGTTCTCGCAAACACGAATGAGGTCTCTATGCCAGTTAGGAACATTTTTATAGGTAACTCTTGAAGTGACATCAAAAAGGATTATAGCGCAATGTGCGCCAATGTAATAACCATCACGAAGCCCTCCAAACTTTTCCTGACCTGCTGTGTCCCAGACGTTGAACTGGACCACTCCACGATTGGTATAGAATTTAAGAGGATGAACTTCCACTCCCAAAGTTGCTGGAAGAAAATTTGGACAATGGTTTGAACACCAGATACCCAGCCATTCATTTTTCTTCTTATTTTCATACTTAATTCATTTCAAAACATACAGTCATGAACCTACCAACATATTTCTTCTCAAATTCACCAGTTTTGTGTCGTTTTACAAATGTGGTCTTGCCAGTGGCACCATCACCACAGAGGACCAACTGTCGTACAAAATATAAATGAGAATCCTGTATTAAAATTATGACCTGCTAATTGATGTGACTGATTAAACAACATGACATAAGTGAATGTACTGGCATTGGATTATATTATCTATAACATAATTCTTTTGAACAATGGACAATTGTAAATTTCAAAAGCTTCCCACCATCAAATCACTGACAAATAAAAGACTAAATACAGGCAGGGACAAAGCCAGAGCTTAAAGACTTAAGAGCGGGGGAGCCGTAATTGGCTAGAGTTTCAGCTTGCTTGAAAACAAGCCCGGGTTGAATAAAACAACTTGAAAGACTGAGTAGATTTCATTCTTTGTAACTAAATTAATACATTATGAAGTAAGTATATATTAGCCATAAATTTTTCAAAGGGGGGGGAGCATGGCTCCCACAACTCCCCCCTGGCTACGTCGCTGAATACAGGAATAAATGAAATAATGTGCTTCTACTTCAAGACACACTGGACAGTGGTAACACAATATTATGGTAGAAACATAGGTACCTATATCAACAGTAGATCTATACCAGATAACATATTAATTGAAAGTACCACACTATACAAATTTCTATTAAAATACTTTACATCTAATTTCTCTTAAAGCACTTTACATCGATCTAAGATAAGAGAAATATCAAATACCGTTTGCAGATAAGTCAGAACGTACCTTAAATTCGGCAGCAGGTTCAGGTTGGTTCATTTTAGTATATTATATATATATCGTCCAGTTCAATTACGCAATGACCGGTATTAGTGTTCACTGTTCAGTGTGGATTTCTTGGCAAATATTGTCCGTTTCTGGCGACCAAATCACAGCGAATTATAGGGAAATAAAAGTGGACGTCTTCCTGTTAATCGCTATCCTCTTCGGCTTTTTATTCAAAGAATTGAGGGTGTTTGAATTCAGTAACGAAACCATACGAATTCAGTGAAATTTGCGCGGGAAGAGAATGTAAAGGAGAAAAATCTTTTGAGATCAGGGGGAATTTCGCTAATTATGCACGGTGCTTTTAAAATAATTATCATAATTTCAGACCGGAAAACGCATCAGACTAATCAGAATTTGTCGTATGTATGTACTTCGACTAGCATTATTAATTTCATCTCACAATATCAAACATTGCAGCCTTTTCCGGGCGAGGTTTCCGTTCTTAAACGGTTACATTGAACAAATAAGGAATTTTTTAAAATACCCGTGCATTGTTGGCAACGTAATGGCTACAAAAATTCATAATATCACGTCTACTTATAGACCTTTAAAAGAGGTACATTCTACAGAGGCATAGACCTCTGTTTGAATGTTGGATTGCTGTTTATACACGAAAGATGCTCCGAAAAACAACATCTTATAAACACAAGATATGAGTTATATAAAACATGACATTATATTTCGACTATATTTCAAAGTCATTCTCAAGTTCGCAGCCTATGTTTCTTCCCATATTTCATCAAATTGTCTGCTAGCAGAAATTTATGCTGGTTTAAGTTTAGCCTTCAGGTTTATTCCCTGTGAAAAACTTAGATTGTCTAATGAAATTTGGCCTACGGGTCATCTTATCTTGACCTTTAATTGATCTCGTTTAAGCCTCCATGGGGGACAATTTCTATTTGAAACTGAAAAAGATATCCTTCACTATAAATTTGGAAATAGGTTCCTCTAGGAAGAAAAGTATAGAACTGATAGAGCAATCCAGTTTAAATGTAGTTTCACCTTAGGCTTAGGATCGATATACCGATTACTGATCCTGTGGGAAATAGTTTTAAGCTGATAAAGTACTTTATAGGTTTATAAGACCCTAAGAGTTTGAAGTACAGTTTTCTTCTAGAACTTCCCAGTTCCATAGCAGACCAATAAGGAATGCTACTTCTAAGACTAAGACCTCTTGACCGCCTTGAAAACTAATCACAACTGATAACGGAATTAAAACAAACCATTAGCAATCATACATGTTATCTACTTTTTTATTTCCACTATAAATATACCATAAAATTGATAGAATTTCAAGCAGTTGTTTAGCAATGCAATCGCTATTATTAGAACATTTGTAGAACGTGTGTCGTGGGCGTCGACTGGCCGTGATGAATGACAGATTAATAAATCAAACGAAATATTTCAAGAATGTTTGCGAGAGAATTTAGTTCCTTGTTCGGCCCTTATCGCATAGCTTTCGACCTTCACTCGATCTCAACTCGACAGACGACGAGTGCCGATGACAGGTACTTAAATGCCTTGCTTTCATTGGTTCATTTTGACGCCCTTTCCGGCGCATGACTTATAAAAGTTGACGAGCAAAAAATATAGACATCTAGTCCGTGCATCTGATAACGACTTACAGCCGAAACCTTACAAAATTACGAGGAAATATTGAAGAGAAATGATGATTACGTTGAAGATTCCTTATCTATTGGTTGTGGCTTTTTTTGGCCTCTCCTCAGGAGCAAGTTTGAGTAACGAGGCAACTTTTGGTAAGTTCTTCTGCGTAATTGTTTTTAATATTCTTGCACGAATTGGACAACATAACCAACTAGTAATTTGCGAACTGAGAAAGATTCGTAATCCTATACCTCCACAAATTGAAAACGTGCATAGATGAACAACTGCATGGATTGGATAAACTATAGGACCAAGAGAGAGGGATACAAACGTCCTCAAATTTTCAGATCAGATTGGTGATTTATCTGTCTAAATACGGCGCAAGAAAATAGCTCGGCATAGCTCCGAAAGATACGAATAAAAAGTTATGATTGCTTGTTATGACTAACTATGATAAACGCCGCCGGGCTAATTAACATATCGCGCGACGCACGTATTTGTTTGACGTAAGTTTTGCAAAATTGATATTTATTTTCCTTCTTGGAGGAATTGTTTGGTCTATATATATATTAGCTTTATCCTGACGAATTTGAGACCAGGAAACTATTTTCCTAATTAGGACTACAGTCTTGGCTGCACGGTTTAAAAGCACCGATATCCGTCACGTCTTTTGAGGACAAACTGGTCTAAATGAAAAAGATTTCATCGTTCAGTTCTAGACTACATTTCTATTGGATTTTCAAACCATTTCTTTTCCCGCGAAATGCAATTGATAAACCAATTAAATTTTAAGGAAAAAACAATTTAGACCTCTTGAAAGAACTGTTTAGAAGTAATGAGCTATAATTAAGTTTAGATTTCCTTCTGTTGACACTGGATCAACAAAGAACGATCCTTACTGGACCTCTAGGAAAAACAGTTTAGAAGTGATAGAGCTATCCAGTATGAATAAAGTTAGTTTAGCTTAGGTTTCTTCCTGCAGTAACACTGGATCAATACGAGATTATCCTTACTGGACCTCTAGAAAGAATAGTTTAGAACTGATAGAGCTATCCAGTATAAATAAAGTTAGTTTAGTTCAGGTTTCCTTCTGTAGTAACACTGGATCAATACGAGATGATCCTTGCTGGACCTCTAGAAAGAACAGTTTAGAACTGACAGAGCAATCCGTATAGTATAAAAGTAGTTCAGGTTTCTTTCTGTAGCTAGTTCAAAAATTTATAATTGCTATAATTCATGGAAAACTTCCAATATGACGATTTGTAGCATAGATTTCCGTACTGTTAGATTTTATCTCTTGAAATCTTGCACCCTCGTGGGATAACAAATGATTTAACGCATTCTCGAGATTATATGAATACATCGGATGTGATATTTCATTTAAATATGCCCTTATTCAAAATCCATGAACGGCATGACTTTGAGAGATCTTCTAAATATGTCCTGCTTTAAATTCTGCACGTTTCATTCTCTTTTTTGGAATAACCCATATATAGATTTAGTTGAACTCTGAACTATTTTTAAAGTGTTTTTTTTTTCCAAGCGGCTGCGTGCAATTCCATCTCAACTTCAAGAAGAAGTTGCGAGAATGTTCGAAACAGAAAGAGTGGACATCTTCCACTTCACTTCCATTCTGACAACTCCATAAATGAGAAAGTCTTGCACTTACCTTGTGTAACTTAAGAGTTCTAACGCACAAGTACTAGAGAGGATTCTTGCTGATGAATGTCACAACTTAAAGAGGTTATATTAGCCTGACAACTCTAGTATTCTCCCTTCCACTTTTACTTTCAATCTTTTGAATGCTAGGAATTACGGCAAGCGCTCTATATTGAACGGTAGACAATTATTCTGCAAAAATGATAGTGAATTCGACTACAAATATGGCTGATAAATTCTGACTTTCTCAAACAGATTTCATACAATAGTCTATTGATTCAAACGCTTTGGCGTCACAACGATAGTCAAAACACCGTGCAACAATTCTCAATTTTTGTAAGAGGATATTATTATTGTTGTCACTCGCAGAGTCGTTTAACGTCACGGCAATGCGTGCATGAGGTCTATTCTGGGAACGCTCAATTTAATTTAAAATATTTTGACAACATCATAAAATCATTAGGGTTGTTTTTCACCAACAAACGGGAAAATACCATCAAGATTTGGCAACGAAAGTTGGCAATGCAATGTTTTGCGAGGTTGTTAAAGAAGACATGCAAAAATTTCTTGACACAACGTGACAATGTCAATGGCGAAACAATTGAATTACATTCCAGGCGAAAATAAATCCATCTGATATGAGCAAAACATTTCAAGTTCAATTTATTTTTGCTTAGATGACCCCATGCAATGGCAGAGAGTTTAGATAAGAGTGTAAAACAGTCAAAACAATACCGCACAAGTGTATCCGTTTACGTCATGCAGGGCAATGTTATGCCGTATTTGTGTTCTCTAATCTCCAAAACGTGATTTTTATAAGGATTATCAGGCAAACTGTTATGACCCCACTGACAGACTTTTAATTTTTCGCTAAAAATATCTAGCACGTACGTTGCGTCTACTTTTGAACTTCGTCAGAAAGCATATCTTAGAGCTGGAAGCCGGTCGCCTTTGAATCAGCTATTTCGATTACTTTCTGCCAAAGAAACCGGCTTCTCCCAAAGCCACTGGACGCGACCCTCGGTTCAAAATTTCGTGTTCTTATTCAGACCAGCAGCCATGCACAAATGAGTATTTGAGAATCGCACGAGATCATCCAGAATCAAGACATATGTTGCCAAGATGCGATGATAAAGGTCAATACAAGCCACTGCAGAGAACCTATTCCAGCTTTGCATGTTACTACCCACACGGAGTGCTTGACAATGTCTACAATTATCAAGGTATGTGCACGTTGAAATGCATTCAAAGTTTGCTTGACGTGTGTTAGAAAGAGCTCAAATGGACAGAAATATGATTAGATCTTTTCCATCCATCCACTGAAGCTTCATTTTTCTTTATCTTCATCTTCAGAGGAAGGACCGTGCCATAAACTGAAGCAGTGTCTTAAAAACCATGCATCAGAAGGAAACGAAGATTACAAGCTGATACGCTGTGATCCATTTGGTTTGTTTGAGTCACTACAAAAATTGGAAGATGAACGATTGATTTGTATGCTGCCTGAAGGAGAGTTCCCAGAGCCTTATGGTTTTACAGCCGGGAAGAGCAATTGCGTAGGTGAGCTGGGCTTGAATATGAGTGGGCACTTTGTTACTAAGACTATATTAACAAAAGCCGAATGAGTCACTCATGGAGGTATTTGTTTCTAAAACAAGCCCTCACCTGGTATATCTTCTTTTTAGCTTTACAGCCCTGTCGTCAAACTGCGGACGAGATAGCCGATGAAGAATCGTTTCCAAGCCACACGCTGCCACGATGCAACGCCCAAGGTAGATTCAAGCCATTACAAGTTTACAACGATAAGGTGGAATGTTATTATCCAAGTGGTGCAGATTTTGCTGACTATTACGCAGGTATGTTCATCCACATGTGAGAAAAGGAACTTCCCAAAATCGTATCACAAAATGCTGGCCTAACTCGGTATAAAATCAGATGTGCTGTCGACGTTAGCAACAATGTTTGAAACTTTGTAATGTGGTCAAAACAATCCTTTTTTGACGATTTCAGGAAGAAATATTTGAATTTATTCTTCTTTTCTAGCGCGAGGGCCATGTCGTAAAGTGAAACGATGTCTCAGGCAAAAATATTATGAAACGAGGGACGCCAAGGAACACAAGTTGCTACGATGCGACAAATTTGGATATTTCAAGCCCCTGCAAATGCGAGAAGACGGGAAGATGATCTGTGTCGACTTTCAGGGAAACGTTAGAAAGCGGGTTGGTGTGACAGGAACTGAAGACTGCTTGTGTAAGCATGTGTGATTCGTTAAAATCGATTTAACTCTAATGTAACCAAAAATAGCCAGGCAAACAGCAGTAAGATTTGCGCGAATTGCTTTAAACGCGAGACTGTAACTTGGTATAGTAGTCACAGAACTATCGCTTTATTGCCTCAAGAACCATTAGCCTGTTAATTTGGTCTGACGCAACCCCGCAATTTAGTGCATATTACTCCGTCTAATGGCAGACGATTTTCAACTGAATCAATATAAGCAGTTAACACGTCTATATTTTAAATTTTAGACTCGGTCATTGTTCATTGAGAAGTCTTCGTTTATCGTATTCAAGACATTCTCAACAAAACCATACGAAGAGAATATCGCAGCACTCTTAATCTAGTTGCTTAGATACTGCTGTACATACTGATGTGGATACCTTGGCCCTTAAGACAACAATTATTAAAGACAACAGACTGTCTCATTCATTGGACAGCAATTGTCTTCATCGAAAGAAGATTTTCACAAATGAAGCATTAATGATAACTATAGATGGTGATTTAGTACTATTGGTATCACAATCCTGAAAAGAGCTAGGACATTTTACCAACAACATTTATACTGACAAGTGACAAGAATATTAAATCTTTTTAGAAAGTAATATCTAATCCTGTATATATATCCTAGATTCCTAGTTTGTTTCTTGAAATGATATAATGAATAGGGGCAGACAATACGAAAAGTACGAATTCAGTACGAATAAAGTACAAATACGAAGAGTTAAGTCAGCTAACAATTTAAAAGGCACTGTAAAATAATGGTGATGGAAGGTTTATTGGATAGAGATCTTTCGATCGTTATTTGATAATTGTGAGTCTGATATCTGTGAGAAAGTCTAAATATTTGTTTAAGATGCGTACTGCAAGCATAGTTGTTTACAAGATCTTGAGTTATATCACCTGTGAATAGTTGTATATGGACTAAACTTTTTAACTCCCGTTATTCATGACCGTTGCCGATAAAGGAACAACAGATTACACCGACTTAGTGATCAACTAGTTCGCAAGGACTTTCACAATAGCCAATATCTGAAGAGAAAATGACCTGAGGAATAATCGAAAAAGTTGCATCGAATTCAGTAGAGAGTTCTCGCTGCGGGTAGTTTATATTCACACGACCTTCTCCATAGCAATGAAATGGTTTGTTATTTCAAACGTTCGAGGGTATCAATTAACATAATCAGATTGGACTTCGATGAGCAAACATTCAGAGTGACGCACGTTTGAAAGTCAACGAACCGATTCAAATATTCCTCATATAACGTTGAAACCGCACTGCACACAGACGCCAAGATGCTGAATCGTGCCTTTTTGTTGAAATGTGCTGCCTTCCTTTCGCTTGGGCTGGCCTTGCAAGTTTACCAATTGAACGCCAAGGCATTGGTCAAATTACAAGGTAAAAATTTGTAACATTTTGAATGATGGAATGTATACATTTTGGCGTAAGTTCAAGCTTCGAAGCTTAAGATATAGGGAAATTATATGAATGGAAACAACGGTTTTTAATGAATTTGAAATTTTATTCAAATTAGTAGTGTTTCAACCGATGTTTACTACGAAATAAGGAATTTCTGGCGCACGGCTGGACAAATGCTGTTGTTTTTTTTGCGTGCATTATCTGAAGGCGCACAACTTTGCGCACGAAACCGAAATATCTTACGATTTTGCAAGATTCAGCTGAAATAAAGTTTACTTTTCAATAGGACTACCCTTGTGGTTCTGGTGCCACCTGAATTGAGATCTTGCGACCTATTACATCACATATTTAGCGCCATAGGTCACAATGATTAAGGTCAAACAATAGCGAAAATACTAGTCAAATCAAGCTATCACATTGAGAAATAGAATATAATACCAATAATTACGGTTTGTTTGTGGGCTGTTTTCACTGGTTTTGGTGTGTTTTCTCTGGCACAAAATTAATTATAAAACAACTTAAAAGGTTTTAAACTTTTACGTGTGAGTGCGTACGTGCAAAAAACGCAACAGTGAAAAGCAGCCCTATAAAGCGATGCGATCCAGTATTTCGGTGTGACTTTCAACCCCTCCGCGATGATTCAGTTACAACGTACAATTGTAATGACGGTAGATATACTTATGAATAAAAAAGCACAATTTAGAGTTTGTTCAGTTGTAAGAATGAAAACAATCCAGCATTGCTGTCTGACTTTCAAACTCTCCGCGCATCAATTCAGCCATGTAAAATTCTTGAGACAGCGATATATTCCTTGTTTCCCGGTTGGTTAAAATGTTATATGTTAGCTAGAGATATTTATATGACTTATCAAACAAAGTTCTGAGCCTAAAAATAAGGAAATCGCTGCAGTTTAGGTCAGGACAGATGAAACTCAGTTCCTAATGGGAAGTTTTGTCCCCGAGGATGAGCCGGCGTCCCCAAATCTTTTGATATGAAGCGCAGCACAGACAGTCAAATATTTCTAAGTAGGTACATGTGGCGTAATAAACTTTGTTTCCTTTTTGACAAAGCTTTAAAGTTCAAAATCTGGTTTACTCCTTGAGTAAGTTGCGCAAGGCGGGGTCCTTTCTTTTCATCTCAGATTTGCGAGATATTACCGTGAATAAAATTATGTCATTTGCAATCTTGAAAAACGTGATTAGAATTAGATTAGGTATTGATCTTGTGTGATGTTTTTGAGAAATCGTTTCCAGATTTGTCCCATCAATACCGAGCGCTTACCCTTCTTGTCTTATGAAAAGCCCGTGTCAAAATGACAAATGATTTCTCTACTCTTTGCTTGAGACTCTGTCCCTAAGGGGAACAAGGTGTAAGCCGAGAACTGGAATGTTGCAAGAGGAAATATACAGATTTTTATCTCCACAAAAACAACAGAAACTGAGACGACAATAATAAGAAAATAATGATGTCAAAATTAAGAAAGAACCTTTATTTTATTAAGGTGTTTCTCTCGACTTGAAGACGATGACACCATCAAAAACAATGGCGCCCACAGCCCCTTATCAAAGCACGAAGTCCGACGGAACACCACCAGCACCGTCGGTCGATGAGATGAAGACACCCCCCACCCCAGACCCAAGTGAGATTACGTTCACTGATCACGTGAACACGCAAGGTCAAGTGATAACATCGCCCACAGTGGACTTGTTACCACCAGCCATAGGTAATGAACCATTCTAGAAGAAACTTCTGGAAGGAACATTAAGCCGTTAGTGGCCATCACCATATAATCATCATCATATTCATCATCATATAACCACCACATAATCCCCCATGATCAGCACATATTTCCTCATCATCCCTCATAAACATCACATAATCTCTCCTAATCACCAGATAATCTACCGTCATCATTATTACATAAACACTCATTACTAACACATAATCCTTCATCATCGCCACATCACATCCTCCCTCATCACCACATAATCCTCTATCATCATCACATAGTCCTCCCTCTCCCTCATCACCACATCATCCTCCTCATCACGACATCACATCCTTCCTCATCACCACATCAGATCCTCCCTCATCACCACATCATCCTCCCTCATCACCACATAATCCTCCATTATCATCACATAGTCCTCCCTCTCCCTCATCACCACAGCCTATATATCATTAGGCGCTTTCCTTTACACAGTAAAACCAGCTAGACCGGTCTTATTTCATGAAGTACAGACCAACTACTTCAAGGAAAGCGTCCATATATTCACTATCATCAATATTTTAGAACCGCCATGTTGGAAGAAGCGAAAAGAAATTATGAATTTCTTTAGCAAGTTTGCAATGCTTGGCCTTCCACAAGATTACACCCCCCCTCGTTGTGACGATCAGGGATACTACAAGCCACTTCAATGCACCTTCGCTGGCTGTCATTGTGTTGACAAGAATGGAAATCCCACGTCAGATTTCAGCCCGTATTCCCGCATACTAGATTGCGAAACTGAAAACGTTCTTAATTCTTCGCCTTCACAATAGACCCAAGATAATCCGTTCTAGGCAACGTATATAATCAAAATTTTCAACTATATACTCCATGCTCTTATATTTATATATATTCAACAGTAAATACAATTCATTAAATATATTATATTCCTTTTTATATAAACTGTGTAAAAACAAAAATCTATTGCCTTCGGTTTGTTATATAACTTCATGTTCAGAAAATCCATGGATTTAATCCATGAGATCCAGGAACTATTACCGTATTATCTACCCTGGACCGTCTTACATAATTTCAGTTCTAGCTATTGTTACAACTTCGATTTTGTAAGGACTCTTTCTTTCTGTCTGTCTATCTATTTCATTCTAGTTTAATTCTACTTGGGAGTGTCTGGAATCAGTCCAATGTGTTCAGCGAATCTTATGAAAGATTTCATGTTTTCTTTTCAACGAATTACATTCACTTGGTGCAGTAATTTTCTGTCTATATATAATTATACCAAACTAAACACCTTGGAACAATCTTTGCTCACATAAACGAAATCAGCGTGATATTGGGGCATAAAAACAAACAATCTTTATTATTAATAGGAGGACTTGCCGTATGCAAAGCGTCAAATGAAATGATAACACCCAAGTCTTCAAACCTTACTTTGCTTATTACAGTTTAATTTCTCTTCACTGTTTCAAAACCGAAAACTTTGCTTTTCATGTATATAGCTTTGCACTTTTTTGCAGACACAATCAGATTTCTTTGGCCGTCCTGTTTAACAAGTATACTTTAAAAAACTCAAGTGTACACTGCTTCTTTCAATGACAATCACGTCAATTAATAATAAATATATAATTTATACTTTTTCAATCCAATATGGACGCTGCTGTAATTTTTTTCGACAAGATTAATTATTTCTAAATGACCGACATTTAAATGACCGAGTAAATCTCACGATTAAGCGTTTGTAAAACCAGTATCTCAGAACAACCCTGTAAAGTTTTAAAGTTTTATATCGCTTAAACTGCGCTTGTTTTGAGTACGTTTTCTCTGACCAGAGCCATTTTGATCATCTTTGCTTAAAACACTGCACGCTTCCGTAAAATAAGGCAACTGGTCGCCATCATTAAACATTAAAAAGGATGCAAAACATTCATGTTTTGTCAACTAAAAGAAACTTATTAATTCTCAGCGATGTAAAAGCAATCAAAATTAATGAAATATTTGAAGTTCCCACTTCCTCCGACCACAAGATTAACATGATAATGCTCTGGTATAAATACCGCCTGTCTGACGTACAAGGGACAATATACTAACGTATCTTTGCCGAGGTAACAACAACAATTGATGTTGCAACTGTTTGATTAAAAAAATGAACGCTACTGGAGTTGGGGTTGTTGTCCTTTTGGCGATTTGTGTGCTCACCGAAGTACATGCTGGTGTTTTGAAGAGAAGATTTGAAGGGGTAATAACAGGTAAGAGTTGGCTATAGCTATATTACCCAACCCGCTTCTGGCTATAGCTAAGAAACGAAATTTAGCAAAGATAAACTTCACCTAGTTTTGAGTTATTTTAACCTAAGTACACTGATAAAGTTTAGTTCGATGATGATTCCCAATCCAATTCACTTGATGATTTAAGCACAGATCACTATTTGGGATAATAATATTCACACCCATTGACAGTAAATATTTGAATTCAAGGCTTCAAAATTATGATTCAATCCTCCAAATTAAGAATTTTACCTTAGAAATCAATGTTTCATCCTAAAAAATCTGCATGTTTATTATTCAGAATTCACGCATTACTCGAGTAACACTAACAATGAAATATCACCTTTCAGTAAAGTTCACCCAATCTTTATTTTACCAGAACCCAGAGGACCGTGTGCGGTAAGAAAGGAAGAAGCCCAGAAACTCTACATGCTATTGGGACCGATGATGGGGGACTTCTCGTTACCTTCCTGTGATCGCAATGGTTATTTCTCCCCTATGCAATGTACCATCGCTGGCTGTTATTGCTCGGACCCGCGGGGTAATGTGGTCGAAAAGCTGAAAGTGCCTAACGAGGAGTATTGCGCGTCTCTCCGCGAGAACTGATCCGTCAAATATAACGCCGATATAGTTGGCTCCTGTTTTAACATTAAACTGAGTAAAGATTAAGTTTAAATACTGTAAATTTTATCATTAAAAAATACTTAGATTAGTGACTCAGGCAAAACCTTAAAGAATATGCTTCGCGGAAGCACGTTTTCATATAAACAAGGACGTGATGTTTCCTCTGGGAGTAGCGCCTGTAGCGGTTTCATTCACAAGAGGTTTGTTCCGCTCGAATGTCGGCCATGTCTTTTGGTCTTTCAGCTTTGCGGCAAGCTTTGTTTTAGAGAATGAACCCCTCCTTAATCTCCGTTATTCTGGCTTCTTGCAAAGGCTTTAAACTCTTGGATCGATATAGATAACCTCTTTTAAAGAAAACACGCTTGACTTAATCTTGAGCTTTTCTGAGACAAACTCGATAACCGTCAACCGAGATACCCTCTCGCAGTCTCGCTTGACCAAACCTCTCCGGTTCAATTTTCCCTTCCTGCTGTATACGCTTCAAATTATATCGTCAAATTCACAATTTTTTTTGTCTTCGTGACTTTCCTAACTTTTTCCGATCATAATGTACTTTCCAAACCATTCTGTTAAAGTTATCTCGAATGAACGAAATTATTTACGCCATTCGTTAGCTTTTAGATCTCGTTACGCCTGCCACGAATTCTTTGATTTCTGTCAACCTTCGTTGCCAGGAAACCTAGCTCTTGGCCTAAG